CAGGGACGCTGCTTTGCTGGGCTGGCCAAGGTGCAGCCCGCGCGCCCTGCTAGCGCCGCAGGGAGCGGGAGGCAAGCCGGGAAGCAGGACAAGGAGCTCCTCTTACCTTTATGTCCGCGGGGCCGCTGCCTGGTAATCCCGGYGGGATTTATCAGGATTTGGGGGTCTGGCAGACAGGGAGAGGGGCAGGAAGGATTTGGAGGCTCCTACATCACTGCAGCCGGTCCCTTCCGGAGCTCCRCGGGGCTGGCGGGTGTCACCTTTACATCCCTAAAGGAGAACCCCAGCGGGAGGGAGGACAGCAAGGAGAGATCCCGGCCCCGCAGAGCRCCACAGCAGGGCTGGGATGACAATCCCGGCGTCTCCCAGGCTCCTTCCCTGCCGGGCCTGCCGGCGTTGGCAGCATGGGTGGAGGGGACTGGGGGCAGGTGCTCCCGCTGGGAGCAGGGCCCCAGACCTGCGGACACRGTCCTGCTGCCGCCTTCCCTGGCCCTCGGCCAAACGCCGGGGATTCTCTGTGCCTGTCCCCATGCGGGAGGGAGGACATTCACTCACTGTTATCCCAGCCTCCATTTCATTCCRTACTGAATGAAAATGCCTTCAGTGCGGAATGAAGCTCCCAGGTGAGCCCCTCTGGGATCCTGAGGACCTTCGGTGCTGTTTCTCAGTGACAGGAGGTTTGTATCCTTTGAAGGAGCCAGGATATGTGCTAGCACAGGCTTCATTTAAAGCCAGGACTTATTTGTACCTTTCATTTTCCATCATCCTCAGGAGGTAGTTTTGGGCCTTAGTGTGCATGCAGCTTTGGTACAAGCACTGTGTTATGGTCCCCAGTTTATTTGTGTCCCCATTCGTAAGAATATGTCTGGTTGCTACTGCTCAGACCTTTCTAGGCTGGACAAAAGCACTGCTCTCCAAAGCTCCTGGCTTTTACCAAGTTCATAAATCCTTTTTCATTGGACTTTGTATCCTACTTTTCTTATGGTTTATACAACTTGAGCACAACCAAACAGGCCAACATGTACGTACGTGTGTGTGTGTGTGTGTGTGTGTGTGTGTGTGTGTGTTTGTGACCCGCAAATGCAGCCTGGTGGTAGCTCTTTGGATTGCCTTTGTAGCAGGAAGTTCCTTTAGGTGTCTGAGATACTTGACAGTTCAGTGGAAACAAGTGTCCAAACAATGGGCACTTGTTTGTGGGACAATGGGGAGCGGGTGTTGGCATCATGCTACAGAACAAGGCTCTTTGTCTTCCTGCCCTGTGGAACCYACTCTCCGCTTTCTGCCTCCTCACCTTCATGAGAAGTGTCCAGATCAGGTGCTGTTCACACGTGACACCTCTAACACCCGCCCTTCACGTGGGCCTGCGCAGCTACAAGCCCTCAGGAACTCATCCCCACACACCCTCCGCCCTGGCCCCAGCAGATGCCACTTGCCTCGGGTCACTGCTGCTCACTCTTCTGCACCAGCCTTTCCTCACCCTGTTGCTTTGACTGTGTCATTCCACCCACCCTACCTCCCGCTTCGCCCTCACACCCTGCAAAGGCCTCCGATCACTTTCAAGATGTTCAGCAGCCAGGGGCATCTAGGAGCAGTTTTCACCTCTCATCAGCTCACCAGGACAGACTTGATCATTCTCCTGCTGCATCTTCAAAGTGCCCTTCCTGATTTTTCCCACGCTGTTGACTTGTCACAAACATCTTCACACGCCACTGAACCCTCTTCCTTCCAGCCTCCGACTTAGAGGGCTCTTTTCCTCCTCAGTGCCCCTTGGAAGCGGTTGTGCCACAGGCTGCCGGCTCGCTCGGTGCTGTGTGCTGGGCTCCTTGGGTCCATCTGCTGCCTCTTACCTTATACATAGACTACAAAATCTTAGGCAAGGAATCCTTCTGGTGCTTGGTGTTCATAGCATAGCCCCTGTGGCAACACACATGATCTTAAGATCATAACACAGAGACACAAGATCATAACATCTTAATGACATCTTAAGGTCTTAACACAGAAATGTAGCTCAACGTTGCCAGAAGAGTCACAGCTGAAATGGTTAAGTAAAACAAGGGCCATTCTGCATTTTGTCAGCTGGGTGTCAGGGAGCCTGTGCTTGTGCTAATCACAGGCAGTTACCTGGTTTGGGACACACAGAACCTGAAAGCTCTCCCAGTTTTATTGGCTGCTTTTGGATTCCAGAGTCCTCAGCAGAGAATACGCTTGAAAAATAATCTCTCCTCCAACAGAGCTGGGCTTAAGCTGGGGAAAAAAWGTTTAGGATGGATATGAGGAATATCTTTCTGATGGTAGAGATAGCAGAGCCCTGGTATAAACTGCTTMGGGAAGAAGAAGAAAACTACTTCAGTCTGAGAGACCTTCTTGGAAAAAGACCTGTTAGGGACGGGGTAGGTGCAGTCAGGTCTTCCTCGGGCAGGGAAAAGGACCAGCTGAGTCCCTAGGGTCCTTTCAGCTCTGTTTTTCTCCTGCAATCATGGATGCCACAAACATTTTCCTATTCACATACTTAAAGTAATATTTAACATTTTCCAATTATACTGATAAGGAATCTCCAGAAAGGTTTTTTGTTTTTGTTTTTCCTCTTATCGTTACATAAATCACTTCTAACATGATCTGATATAATCACAAGGAAAAAAAAAAGAAAAAAAAGAAAAAAGGCAGTTTTCATTTACTGGATTCAGAAATGAACCGAGAAGAGTCCTCAGCCTTCTCTTGATCCTCCCTGAACTGCGTTTTGGGGAGCCCCCAGAGAAGTCTTTATGTGCCCACGTCCTTGGCTTTGCCTGCACACAGGCCTCCCCTGCCAGGCCTGTGTAGTCTGCTGCACACTGGCCTCACAGACAAAGCAATTCCTCTTTCCAAGGCTGATCAGTGGTGACTGCGAATCTGAAGTGGATTAAGTACAACAGAGCATCAGGTTGGGAACTGTTTGACTATTTGTTTCATGGAGGGCTATTTTCCCTGATGTTTATCAAAAGTCTGCTAAATATTTAACCCCTTTGTCCCAACACAGCTTCCATTCTTCAAAACAGAAACCAAGCAAAAATCCTGTGATCTGTGAGGCCATCTTTATGCCCCAGATACTGTCACCAATATCTTGTCAATGGGAAAATGCTTGGGGGGGCAACATCCAAGCACGGCTGTCATGACAGCTCTACTAGAAGATCAAATTTATCTACTGAGAGGTTGAGGCTGGAGTCTGTCTTTCATCATAAAAATTAAATAAACTTAGTGTGGTCAGACTTTACTGGATAAAATAATTGCCTCTTCATTCATATATACTATCAATGCCGCTTAAATCATTTTATGGATACCTTCATGCTGCTAGAATGAGAGCCGTGGGGTCCTGCTGAGATTTTTATTCTGTACTAAATGCCTTGTAACCCCTACTAAAAGTAAGCGCTTGCTTTGCAAAACTTACTCCAAGGGAGTGAAAAAGATGGTGGGTGTAAGTGGGGAATGATGCTGTTCTTCTAGAGAAAAGAAACAGGCAAAAAGCACTTGTCCTTAGGGAAGGCTGTAGCAAAACCTGGAAAATGAACCTAGATCTCAAGTCCTACTGCAGTGCTTATCTATAAAAATATTTTATTATTAATCCACATTTACTGGACTTATCCTCAGGCCAGGCCTTATCTGTGCTGTTGAACAGCAGGGGAAAAGAACTTGAATGCAAACAGTTTTTACAGGAGATACGACCGTGCTACAACTGTATTTGCTTCAGGAAAAAAGCAGAACTCTCTTCTTTTACAGTGAAAATGTTCTCCTAAAACGGTTATCTACATGTTTTACATTCATAAAGGGTRAAAATAAACCATCACTTTTGAAATAAGCAGTAGAGCAGCTCTGGTAAAACAAAGATTGATCTCAGTGGGACTAGAGATTGTGGTTAAAGGTTAAGAAGCAGCCCTTACTCCTCTTTTTTACATATTGAGCAATTATCCATGAGCAAACCCATTACATCAAAAATGTAGTTGAGTTGAGCCCGTTACGAGATGGTTTCCTTCGAACCGTTCACAGCGCAGACCTGTCTGGCCTTAATCTTGGCTACACTTAAGACTTATCAGTTACAGAAAACACCCCACAACCTGGTGACTGTAGGGGTGGTACAAGGGGATCAGAGAACAAGCCAATTGCAGCTAGATCCCCTCTTTCATAYAGGTTACCTATAGGCTTCATATAGGTTAGCCAAATGGCTTGCACTGTAAAGAGGGGTAAGAGAACAATCCCTCCCACCCYTGATTTAAGGGGTCCCGAAGCAACAACTGTGGCAGCTCCCCCAGATTTTTAATTTGCTTTTGCCAGGAGAATAAAGGAAAGTCTGCAAGGCTGCAGTGAGGCTGAGGAAATAAGGAAATGCAGCATTCTCTAAACTGAGATAACAGGGTACAGCAGGACTGAACTGCACGGTGGCAGTTCTTTCAGACTGCACCCCTGTCACGAAGCTTTGAACACTAAGGAAGAGTAACTGGCAGCTTGACAGTGTTTTTTTAATCTTTAAAAAAATATCTTRTGTGTCTTACATAAAATCCCTAGAGCAGCTGTTTGCTTATTGGTAGGAAAGTGGGATACATCTATTTTAGATGAGGTATGTAAGGGCTTTGTCACAGCAAGATCACTCARCAGTGCTTTGTTACTGGATTATTTTAGCTTTTTCAAGACTAAAAAGTATAGSTAAGGAGCAAGATATTTATTTAGTTCTAGATATTGTCTTTTCATCACTCTTGATGCTACATCACACTTTTGCTCTATAATCTCCATATAAAACTTCAGATTCCTTATTACTGCTGTCCTCGGGTTTCATTCCTTTGCTGTTAAACAGAGCAGGTTCTTGATAGAGGGTGGTAGATAAAGGCTTCTGATAAGTTATCAAGAATATAAACAGCTTTATAACACAGGCCTTTTTGAGTTATCATCATAAAATAATTTGTGTTTCCAATTGGCAATAAAGCCCTTTGTTTCTTGTCAGTTATTTGACTTTTTTTTTTTTTAAATAGGGGATCAGTCATAGCAAAAATCATTGGCAACAATGTGCAGAAGTCCAACAGATTTGATCCTGTCGTCAAGATGTGGGTATTTGAAGAGATCATCAATGGAAGAAAACTCTCAGAAATAATCAACAGTGAACATGAGAATGTGAAATACCTTCCTGGTTACAAGATACCTAAAAATGTGGTAAGGGACACCACTGACAAAGTGATTTACCTATTTTTAAAAGTGAATTTCAGTAAAAATTGTGCCAGTAAAGAATCAGCTCACTCAGACTGTTCAAATATGAACTGTAGATTACCCAAGTTCTGCACGAATTACAAGTACTATCTGCTATTACCTCATGATATTTAACATGTAAAAGCAAGAAGCAATTTGGTGCATCTAGTTCGCTACCTAATTCATTTATTTATTTTTTAAACCCTRTGCTGGAGCAGGACTCGCTCCTGTGACTTTTGCTTGTTCATATCCAGCTTCAAGCTAATGCCCTAGAAAAGATACCAGCCCTTCTCCCTGGCATAAACCAGCACGTCCATCTGTCATTACAAGAGTTCTGTCCAGACAGAGCCATTTCAAACCTACAGCATCTGTGAGGTAAAAACAAATACAGCGACTGCTCTCCCCTCTTCTAGGAGGGAAATCTGCAGGACAGGGAGCAGCCCTGGCCTGCAAGACCACGAAGAGCGCTGCTCTCATTCCAAAGGTGCTCTCAGGAGAGCAATGTATTGGTATCTTTAATATCGCCCTAATTTCTGACAGTAAGAATTACTTAATTTTCATGGATATTATCAAATACTACGTTACTTATTGCCTAGATTGCATATAGCTGAAATGAGTTGGCAGCTGCTGAGGCAAGGCTGGCGAGCCTTAGGCAGGGGCCTTAGGCTGCTCCTACTGCAGCCAGGGCTTCACCCGCAGAGCTCTGTGTCCCGCAGCGAGGCCTGCAGGGGCCCTGGCCCCTCTCCTACCTCCTCTCCTCCGCCTGAGCAGAGCAGCCYGTTTTCCCTCCACGCTGCTGCTGCGGGAGGCTTTTGCAGAGCTGCTCCCCGCCTGTGCGGTGCTCCCAGCGCAGCCCTCGCTCCTGGCCCGATTGCTCTTTTCCCGGCTCCCATCCTGCTGCCAGGAATTGCAGGGGCTCTGGGTTTGTGCTCCAAGGTCGTGGCCAAGGGCAGTATTTTCTCTGCATGTGAGCTGGCAGCAATAGCAGACGAATTCAGCTCTTGTTTTGCCTGTAATGTAGGTTGAAATGCTGTTAAGTGACGCTTGCATTTGGAGGAAGGCACAGCTTGCWAGGTAACAGGGATTAAGCATCGTGCTGTATGATTTTTTTTTAAAGATCAGTCAATTCACTGTATGTTGGGGAGGTGAAGGGAAGCAAGACACACAGTAAACAATAAATTCTGCCTTTTGATGGAGTTCATTGCTGAAAAGGCTCTGTATCTGCACACTAGTTTGGCCCCTCGCTCCCCAGCACGATCACTCATTGCAGCAGGACCCTGCCAGCTCACACAGCACCTGCAAGAACTACCTATAACTGCCCCAGGAGAGCAGTGCAAGCTTGAAAAACGCATCGTTAAACGCGAACCAGGTTACTTGCCGCGTCGCCCGCAGGGTGACACCGGCCGCYCCGGCCTCACCTGCGTCCCCGCTCTCGCCCTCTCCTAGGTGGCCGTCCCCGACGTGGCTGAGGCAGCGAGCGGCGCCGACGTCCTCGTGTTCGTCCTACCCCACCAGTTCATCGGGCGCATCTGYGAGCAGATCGCGGGGCGGATCAAGGCCGGAGCGTTCGGGATTTCGCTGATCAAAGTGAGTGGGTCGGCGAGGGGCCGAGGGCGGCTCTGCCCGCCCCGCTGCGCCGCGGGGGACGAGGGAGCCCAGCCYGGCCACGAGGAACGGTTTTCCTCCTGGGTCACTTCCCAGCTGGACGAGTGCAGGGGTGAAAGGGGCTGTGCGAGTTGGTGCTACCACCAGAAAACACATTTGCGATCCGAGARCTGCCCTTAGCTCTGGGCAGAAGGAGCTGCGGCTCCGAGGGCCCCTTCCAAGCACCTGCTCCCCAAAACCTGTTCATGGCAGCATTCAAGCTGCACAACACTGATAGTGTTTGCAGGCCTGAAGCAATTTCGATTTTCAATGAACTGGGCAATCTCTTTTACAAGGCTAGATTATCGCAATCTTAAAAGGGATTAATATTTTGGGAGAATCTCCAGCTAAATGGCAGAGTGCAAGCATAGAGTCTGCTGCTCCTTTGGTTGGCTGCATTACAGGAGATACCCAACTAAAGCACAAAACAGAGCGGGTGCAGGAGGAGCCCCCAGCAGCGCAGTCAGCTCCTGTTGCTGGTATCACTGGTGGARGATTTAAGGGCTGCCCTAGCTGTGGCTAATGCCAAGGAACACAACCCCAGTGTTCTTTAAACTAGGAATAGGGACCAATGGGCAAGAGGAGAGCTTTGTTTTACCAGTGCTCTGAGGTTTCCTATTCTTGCAACTTGTTTTTTGGTGATGGTCTCTTCTTCAGGGCATTGACGAGGGCCCCGAAGGCCTGAAGCTCATATCAGACATCATTCGAGAGAAACTGAACATCGAAATCAGCGTCCTCATGGGAGCCAACATCGCCAAAGAGGTGGCCGAGGAGAAGTTCTGTGAAACCACCATCGGTGAGTGGTGCAAAGAGCAAGTTACAGCCTCTGTTTAAGATTTCACTCCACGTGGGACCAGGATAATGTCTCAAGATGCAACTTGCAACTGAAATGCGGCAAGTCCTGAGAGGTTTTGGGGCTGGTACGGTGTGTACAGCCTGTGCTGAACTCGTGCAGGGAGGCAGCAGTTTTCAGGGGAGTTCAGTACAGGCATGATCAGATGCAAAATGACAGCACATTCCAGTGCTGAGAGCTGTTGGCTCGTTTCATTCATTAAAAAAAAAAAAAAAAAAACACTATGGCTAAATCATACAATTAAAAAAGTTACCTTTATCAACAGCCAATGAAGACAGTGATAAATCCATGCTGCCATTGCTGCTCCGCTGCCACGCGGTTAGAACCACAAGGTTAGAATAATAGTGAAATAATAATAGTGAAAACTGTACCAGTTTTCACTACTGTACCAGCACCAGATGGGCTGGAACTGGGCAGGAACACTGGGCAGGAACAGGGCGAGATGCAATTTGGAAAGTTAGGCAAGACGCGTTGCCTGGGGGCAGGTTTAACCTCTGCTGGCCCAGTTTTTAGCAGTGCTGTGATCATAGCTCTGGAAAGACACTTTCCCCTTGGTGCTCTCTGACTGTCATCCCATACTGCTGGGCTAAGCAAGCAGGGGGTCTGGCACGTGGCTGCACTTGCTTCCAGCAGCATGGTCTGCTCTCAAGTAACAACTGTCTTCAAYAATACACAGCTCTGTGGCTCTCAACATCTAAAGAGGCTCCTGGCCCCTTACCTCAGGTTTCTGTTACTGGCACATATTACTTTCACCCCGAAACTTTTGCCAAAATGGTTTAACTTTCATTCTTCTTTCCCACAGGGTGCAAAAGTGAAAAACAAGGACARATCTTCAAAGAATTATTGCAGACCCCCAACTTCAGGATTACTGTGGTGGACGACTGTGATACAGTGGAGATCTGTGGAGCCTTAAAAGTCAGTCCTTTCAAAAGTAATTGCTTTCTTAGGACCCAATTCTGCCCTCACCTGGTCTAACRCTAGTCCTGCTATTATGCAATCGAGTGACCTTGGCTAGCTTTCCAGCCTGTGGCAATCAAAAAACTGCACTTGAAAGAACATTTCCTTGGCATGGCCTTTGCTAAAAAAGAGCCCCAGGCTGTGTACATGTCTGGAGGCAAACATTTCAGCAGCAGTACTAGCTAATGTATTAAGGAAATACAGTCAACCACGTTATTTGTGCATCAGAATGGGATTTCTATGGGGGAAGAATTGACTTCTTCAGGGATGAACACTGGGTGCTGGGGTGGGAGGCAATGCATAAGGGCATYGTGAAGATGCTTAAGATCCCTAGATATTTGTTTGAAGCTTCAGAGAAGGCCAATTCTACTGATTATTCAGTAGACAAAAGAGTAGCAGTACTGATTACAGAGGGGAAAAACAGCCAGCCAACCAACCTGGCTCTGTTGCAGCACCAGTACAGAGCGTGATGCCTGTTTAAATGACAAAAYAGGCAGAGAAGAATCAAGGCATAGCCCAGACAGGGATGCAAAAGTAGCTGAGAGAGAAGGGTCCTTGGATCTCAACTTGAAGCTGGCAGAAAAGCAAAATGTGAAGTTTAACTCTATCTACACGATTACAATATTTACTAAGTTGCTTTGATCTTAACCCTGGGAATAACAGTGGATTCTTTAAAAGGTCTTCTAGGAGTCCAGCTACTTTTGCTTAACCACAGCTTAGGTGTTCAGCTTCTTTAACAYGAGCTCAGAGCTACCAGAATTGAACCCAGGGAACATCAGACTTGTGCAACTTCCCTCAACAGCAGCGGGCTTAGGGAAGGGTTTAGGGCACAACGACAGTACCGATGAAGTGCGTGTCTGATACCCTGGTCCCTCTGTGGGCACCTTTGTAATGAACATTTGTTTTCAGAACATCGTGGCAGTAGGAGCGGGGTTCTGCGACGGCCTGGATTTTGGTGACAACACCAAGGCAGCCGTTATCCGCTTGGGCCTCATGGAGATGGTGGCCTTCGCCAAGATGTTCTGCAGGGGACCCGTGTCCATAGCCACCTTCCTGGAAAGCTGCGGTGTGGCCGACCTCATCACCACCTGCTACGGGGGGCGCAACAGGAAAGTGGCCGAAGCCTTTGCTCGCACCGGGAAAGTAAGGAAGTTTTTAAAATATTTTCAACAAAAGCACAAGGAAATCCTCGTGTGTTCTCCACAGGCACCGTTAGCTGCCTACCTTCTTAGTTCCCAACCRGTGCATTCCTTCTGATCCAACTAATCGCTCTCCTTCCTTCTAGTCCATAGAGGAACTGGAAAATGAGATGCTGAATGGGCAAAAACTGCAAGGGCCTCAGACTTCCGTGGAAGTCTACAAAATCCTGAAACAGAAAAACATGCTTGATAAGTAAGTGCTTTGATTTGAAAAACCTGAATTGACAAGTTATGGGCTTCTTCAGTGGCACTTGGGTTCAAGGGGCCTGCRCACTCCGGTATCAGCTGCCTTCAACGTGCCAGGACTCCACTGCAGTTGAATGTAGCCAGGCTTAGCCCAGCTTGCCCTAAGCTTGCTGGTTGGTCCCAGCTTGCTCAGCGCAACTGTATGGGACAACAGTCAGAAAGCACTGAAAGAAACAAAACCCCACACTTACATGCAACAACAAAATCAAAATGATGGTATTACATTAAAAATAAACAGACTCATTAACAGCACCAGAACCTTGAATCAAGTCCAGATCTAATAAACATCCCTATATTCACCCTTAGCTATACACGTAGCTCAAAGTCATTCAGTGATCTCTTTTTTTGAGGTATATATTTGTTAAGAGAACTGGCACAAGTTAAAAAAAAACAAAACAAAAAAAAGTATCTTTAAGTCATGGAAAGAAAATCATTAGAATTTTTGTTATTTAGCTTTTTAGTCATCAGCAATGAATGCAAACAGTATGTATGTTTTGAACACTGGAGGGTATAAAATTCACTTTTTTTTTTTCAGTAATTGAAAACTCTGTAATTTTCTCTCCAGAACAGCTCTTCTCTGCTGTTACTCAAAGCAAATTGGTCAATTCCTCCTAATTGCCTTAATTTCATTCCTACTACATTGTTTCATCTTTGCATCAGTCATTCATAGCTTTCCAGGATACCTTCCTGAGTTTCAGCTAGTTTCAGCAAAAAAAACTTTATCCAGATGCTTTCCTTTTAATGTATAAAAAGCAGGGGAAAGAGTTGGAGATAATTTAAGTAAGCTTTCAAAAAAAACCCCTTTGTTACATGCTTCTTTTAGGTTTCCATTATTCACAAGCGTCTACCAGATCTGCTATGAGGGGAGAGCAATCCAGGATTTCATCTCGTGCCTGCAGAACCACCCGGAGCACATTTAGAAATACACTCCGCTTACCTGCCTGTGTACTCGTCTGTGTACTYGTCTTTTCAGGACTCTGACTTCTGCCCACTGCACAGCAAATGAAGTCGACAAATGGATTGTGCAACACTTGCTGTAAAAGCAGCACAGAATGTATTTCAATATCCTCATTCTGGGGGTAAAAAGAAAAAAAAAAYCTGCCTTCAATTTCATCATTATACCCCAGGAAGGGGAAGTGAATGGATAATTTACTGTAGTTTGATTTTGGTTACTAATTCAGGCATTAGCCCAGGATTATTTTCTTGCTGATTATCAGWAACAGTTGCCCATGCTATTTCCCCTAACAAAGTTCAGTATTGCTCACAATAGGCTCAGCATTTTGCCTACTGATGGTAAATCATGGTAAAAGTGATGGTAAAACATCACAAGATGTAGAAAATGTAAAGAGCTCCTCAAAAGAGAAAAAGTGGTATGAGTTGCCTCATATTTTTTGAGTTGCCTCAAAAATTTTTGCCTCCCAAACACAGTTATTGGGACATTTTGTAATTAGTGACATTTAAGCCTCCCTTGCTTTTGTTGCCCTTATATAAGCATCTTCATGGGGGAAAGGAGGGGAGGAAATATTGTTATTGTGCTCAGACATGCATGAATGTTCCTTAGATGGAAAAATCTGATTTTTATTTTGTATATAGAATATATTCCTTTCAAGTACAGTTTTGTTTTTTTTTTCTAACTAATCAAATACATCCATCTTGGTATATGGATTTCTTAACCGTGGTACCTGGCTTTCTTAACCAGTAGTATTTGTTAAGGAGTGCTAGCTGAGGGGAGAACAGTGAAGGAGCGATAGGACTTACACACAATCTGCTCGCGTCCTGTTCAACGGTTCCTTTGAGGACTTCAGAAGTGACCCCTCCGATACTTGACTTTTTCTAAATGCACAAAAGAGACCGCTAGACACGCACAGAATTCCTATAAAGTCATGTCTGAAAGCGAGCTGCTTTTAGACTCCTCCAGAAAACCACTGGACAGAAACCATGCAACTCCGCGCATCTTTCCCGGGACTGCAAGGGACTCGTGCCCTGATTCTGCTGTACATTAAGCAAAGCATCACACTCCACCCTCCTGAAGCGAGATGCCTCTACCTGCTTCTGAATTTTAGACACTAACTGGTACATGCACCAGTTTTTAATTTTGCTACTGACAGCATTAATTTTAGAAATTTGACTTTTTAAACSTGCTAGCTGTACTTGGGTACCTTTACATACCTGAATGTTTTTCAGAGTTGAAAGCCATCTAGGAAATGAACAGTGGCATGTTTTCTATGCTCTAATACCCATTTGAAAGAGTCGTATTTAGAGAAGGAGATGAACAAAGAGTCAGAGTAATCGACTTTTTGCTTTGCTTCTTTTCTATTCTCCAAAATACTAGTGGGGAAAGCGAGTGTTCTTTTAGTCTCAATGTATTTCCTGCTATTAAAAAAAGAAACTGCTATTAAAAAAAGAAAAAGGTTTTAGAATCCTTTCCACTCTGTATTTTAAAGGAATGTTGTTACATCTTTATCAGAGTAATATATATATATATATATATGAATGTATATTTTAAAGTCTTACAGCCTGCAAAGCATGCTCAGACTCCAGAAATTGTGTTTGTAGAGACAGATCACAGACCTCTGTGTCTCCACATGAAGAGCCCAGGCTGGAGGAGAACTGCTCTCCAGAGCATCAGATCTGGACTCTGCCCTGCAGATGCTCCTTTGGCTGAAGGAGGAATCATGTGGTTCGATCTTTTATGCAGCACTGGAAAACCAAACGCTCGCACAGCATCTGCCTTTTCAAGGTGAAAAAAAAACGAAACAAAAGACTTAGATATCAGATAGTCTTAAGCAGCAAAACCATGATGGTGAACAGAGAATTTGGGAACCGCTCTCATTTACAATCAGACTCGACTTCTGAAAAGTCATTTATGATGATGTAAGAATACAGAACGTTTTATATTCAAAGTGTATCAAGTATCTGTTTAATAATAAAGTGATCAATAAATGTGATGTAATTTCGTTTTTCAAAATTCTCATAATGCTCCTTTACTGTGCTTACTTTTCCAATTAACAACATCAGTGTTCAAAAGAAAAGGACAAGAAAAGTGGGTTTTCTACAGACATTTTATTGACGAACAGAGCTATTTCTTCTTCTGGATGACCAACTTTTACACAGTAAAATAAAGAAGTTTTACTCCATAAATAACAAAAATTAGCCCTTATATCTCAATTCCAGTCAAAATCTATGTAAAATAGTTTGTTCTCTATTTACATTCCATATCAAAATTAGAAACATGCTCAGTCAGCCAGGTCTCTCCCAAGTGTTGGGCTTATCTCCAGGGCAAGCTTGACATKAAGAAGGCAGCATTTGCACACTGGAAGTCTGCCAAGACTAAGATCCCATCTGATCTGATGCAAGATGCCATCATTTAATGCACAATATAGACCCCATCCCCAAGTGGGGCACACACGAGCAGTCACCCCTTGAACCCAGCACAACCCAGCTGTTCAGTTTGGTAAGGGAACAACCATGAACCGCTCAGCTAAAAGACATTAGTAGGAAGAATGAGGAAGGAGGGACACAGGCCTCCCTCTCTACTGAAATATATTCAGAAATTTGCAGGACAGGAAGATTTTACAAGGGAGTGTTGCTATGTCTGCTTTTAAATTACATCAGTCTTCCTAATTTAGGAGTGCACAATAAGCTACACTGCATCTACAGTCACACAACAGGAGTCAAAATTCTCTTTTGATAAGTTGACCTATATCTAAGGTTATGATCATCTCCCAGAACCTCAACCCATTTCGGGAGGAGTGGGCTGCCTGTTCTTTATGTAATTTTATTCACTGCATATAAAGCACACCAGCCAACAGCTCTTTCCTCTTCCTACAGTCTTTGAAACAGAACTAGAAAAATGTGCTCCTCAAATAAGACTTGCCTCAGGTTTAATTAAAAGTGTTACAGACTTGAATGGCTGGGTTCAAGAAAGAGACTGGAAAACTAATTTACTTCCATAATYGAGCAGGGAATACTTTCACAAAGTTAACTGTGGATATTAGATACTCAAAATATTCTGGCTACAGACAAGCTAGTTCATTTATCTTYAGGGCAGCAGAATACCTGGGAATAATGCCACAAGGCCTGGTGAACACAGAGACTCACTGGCTGTATTTGAAAGCCTTTGCATGTAAGAGATGCAACATGATGGATGTGCCACAATATGAAACCTGAAGTAGCTGCCTACAAACCCTGTGTTTAACACCACGTTCTGCTGGGAAAAATCATACTTAAGGCTACGTAAAGTGATTGTTTGAAGCTACAGTTTTTTGCTTTATGTTTTCCAGTCAAAAAATGGCTTAGGCTTCCTACTAAATTGACTTTGCTCTTAAAAACCTGAGAGGTGTTTTCCTGGGAGTCCCCGTGAGCCCTGGGGGCCAAGGAGAGGCCGAGTGAGGTAGCCAGGGTTGGGACAGCGGCTGCCGCCCTTCACAGCCAGGCTTTGCAGGCCACGTTCCYAGGAAATCACCAGTGTAAGCTCAGATTATTAAGGCAGGGACAGCTTTACTTCACTGGAGTYACTAATGCAGCTACTCGGCAGGGAGTGGTGAATCTGCCCAGGAAAACTGAGAAGCAGGGAGATTCTCCTCATCCATGCAACGCACTTACAGCCTCTTTCYTTCATTACAGTACACACTTCAGAAGTAGGTAAGCACTGACTTTTTAAGCCATCTTTCAGATTTCAGTTAGTTCTCAGGAAGAGAAAATAAAAGCCCTCAAGATAAACAACTGTGTAGAAGATAAAAAAAATATTCACTTAAATATGACAAACTTCACAATTACAGACAGGAGACCAGCACATCAAATATCAAGTGCAATAAATTAACACCAGTAAAAAAGTTCTACAGTTATAAAGTTAACCGGAAAGTTGAGACAGTGCAAATATTTCACAGTAAGAAAAAATAACCAAAGTTATCTTTCAAGTATAAAAAGCATYGTTTTTGACTGATACCACTTAAATTGTATTATTGCACAACAGACAAAAAGATACAATGTCTACCTCTGGGACCTAGRATGTACTCTCAAACCTTTCCAAGTTGCTGAGGAATTGTTTAATTCCAGCTCTGGATCGTGCATATATTAAAGTAATCAGTGTTTGCTGATGAATCTGAGTGTCACTTAGTTCCAACTTGCACACATTGAAAGCATTTGATCTCTAACTCATATTGCTTCTCAGAAACACTTACTTAAGGCTAACCTAGGCCTWGCTAAAGTCATCGCAGAGGTGCAGGACCTGCAGCAAGAAGGGGTGCAGCTTAACTAGCCCAGTGCCCGGGACTCTCGGTAGTGAGACCTTCACACAGCGACAGCTTGAGGTTCACTCACCTCAGCAGTGGCACAAGTCTCTACACAAACAAATAAAAACAGACAGATGTTGATTTTCTTTGCTGTCTTTACAATTTCAATGAAAATTTTGCTATTTAACTGTTTAATTTCTGCCAAAGAAATTGTATTCCTTGCCCTTTCCATTTACCTTTCATTTTAGAAAGGGATCGAAGCACCTACAACTTGAACATCACGGCACATTTAAAGAGCAGAGAACTTCTCTATTCCTAACTTTGCATTTTGTGGCGCACTGGGCACATCCCCTCTCTCAAGTTTAACCCTTCTCTTAGAAGGAAAAATTATTCCAGCTGGACAATAGTTTGTACCACTTAAGAGCTTATTTTTCTCTGAACTGGTTTGTTTGTCAYGCTTTATGCAAGCTCAGAAACATAAGAAGTCATCCTTACAGGGTCCTAAAGAGCACCTGTTCTTAGGGAGACAGGTTTTCTTCATTCCTTCAGCCTAGTAGATATTGTCCATTAAGGAATAAATTTTGCAGCAAGCCCTTGTGGGGTCCAAAATGTGGATTATCAACCGTATGTCCAAGAAAGGGGGAAAAAAAAAAGACAGATCAAGTGTTTCATACATTCAACAAATTAGTTCTGGCCTAAGGAAATCAATACAGTACCTGTAAGATTATAGCAGCCATCACTACTGTCTCCTCAACAAAACAGTCACCCTATTAATAAATATTTATAAATATAACATAAGAAAACCTATCCCAATTTTGCAGATTGTGTATCAGGACTGAAATGCATTTGCTTAGCAAATTACTCTGAGAATATTCAAATATTTGATGAACTAAGTTTCATACTAGGACTGACAGGCGCTAACCAAAAATCGGATTTGGTTACATTCAAAATCCGACTTCGCATCAAAGGTTTAAGTGAACCCCAAGAATTAGACATTTTACCATACAATACTATGATTTCTGAGAAGCTTCAAAGTGGAGGAATCCAATTGTAGAAGCAATTCTCAACGACTGCTGTGCTACCCCAAAACATAATTTTGTTTTCCCCACCATGAACTCTAGAAATTGCTAAAAACAAAACACACACACACACACCTATTTAGGTCTGGCGTATTAGCAGTGATCACAACTGATTTTCACCTGGCTTTTGACTAAACCACTGAGGTATATTTCCAGTTTGAGGATGCTTTGCTCCCAGTCACACAGACGATGTATTTAAGAAAAATAAAAAAATACAGAGAGGTTCCCATTTCAAACCCTAAGTTGCCAGATGATCTAGCACAGCCAGCTGAGTGGGTCTGGTTACCGTATCAAAATGAAAGGCTGTAACTCAGGAAAACACGGGCACTTTTTGAGATGACCACATAAACCCCTTGTCCTCTCAAGGTGCCTCCCTGGCACCCATCAGCACTGCTACTTGCCAGAGGGAAGAGGTTCAGCAGGTTCCAGCTGCCCGTAGAGGGAAGAAGCTGCTCTCGCTCCACAGCCCCAGGTGCAGCATCAGTGACAGCCCCGTCTCAGAACTCCTCCTTTTCCCCACTTCTAGCTCCAGGCGCAGAGAAAAATCCCCGTTAGCAGGGGAAACAAGTTGGCCATCAGGAGCCAGAGAGTGACAACCAGACTGGATGAGCAGGAGCATAAATCTAAATTAAAGACAAAAACCAAAAGAAAACAGCATATAGGTATTAAAGGTTACAGGTAGAAGTAAGAAAAAATAGCAAATACAAACTCAAAAAAAAGAAGGGTTGGGGAGAAAGGGAAATACTTGCACTGATTTATTTTGCTTTCAAGGATAGGAACTCAACGTAACAAAATATAATTATTCTCTTACTATTAGTTTTTTTGTGTTTCTTCAATAAAAAGCATTTAAGAGAACCAATGAGCAAACACACCACTAATGCAAGAGAGTGTGAAATTTAACACGACTGGGGAGAAGACATACTTCACATTCAAACTCTCGAAAGTCTCTTTTATGAAAACTCTTGATCTATATGACTGTAAATCACATAAAAACCAAATCCATAGAACACCAAGATAAGTAGGGAAGAGAAAAAACAAATGCCACCACACGAAACACTTTGTCCCAACCTCACAGGCTAAAGCAAGGTCTCTAGGATGATTATCAGAGAAAACAGGCCAGAAAGCATTTCTCTCCGTTCCTTTTCCTTCATCCGTCAGAGCTGTCCCATCATTCTGGGAGATGCATATCCATATGCATAAGGAAATCATAACTTGATTCCCCCTCCCATCAATACATGCATTCACAATTGAATTCACTGTATCACTAACACTATCAACGATTCCCAACAGTTCACTAGGAAGCTCTTGGACTATTCCGCATCTTCTAGTACCTCACACAAACCTTCAGTGTTCTCATACATTCTATCTTAAGTTTCACTTGGTCAAATCATAAGGCAACCTACCAACTGGTGCAACTCTTGTTAAGTTGGAAGCTGGAGGATCCCGCTCAGGAGGACAGGAATCACAGAAGTCCCAACAGGCCGGACAAATGAGATTCCCAACGTGCACCCAGCCGTTCATCTGGATGCTAACACTTAGTACCTGACCCGAGCGGCTGCACAAATACGCAGTGTCCTTGACCCAAACATACAGCCCTTGTGGAGAGCAGGAAACCTTAAAAGAGAGAAACAAGGTTAGCTCTGCACTGACATTTATCAATAATATCTTATGGAGCTTCAGCATTCTTTCAATTTATAAATATTGCATTYAGTAAAGAAACGATCTACTGCACAGATGAACTAGAGGCACATTAAAGAGCTCAGAGCAACTACTTGTCCTGATGACGCTTAAAGATGAGMCTTTTTTCAGGTAATTATAATGATAACTAGTCGAGAACAAATAAAGTTATGTTTCTGCTAATGCCATTTTTAGAGATGTGCCATCTTAAGTGCTACTTCCAAGCAAGGCTGCTCAGAGGAAGAGGATAAAGAAAAATACCATATGTGCAGTGCTTGCTCCTTGGAGGAAAAAGAATCAATAAGTAAATAATAAATGTGATTAATGTTAAATTTCAAAAGCAAAAGATTCTGCTACAAGTGCTTTCTGTACAGCTAAATGGAAGTATCACATTGATAAGACACAGGAAGCAACACACGAGTCTTTTCAGTAACTGTGTGTAYACTTTGATGCATGATCTAAATTACAGGTATATTATTGCAAGATACCAAATAATCTAGTGATCATTTACACTGTCAAAACACAAAGCTCATTACAGTCATCTTTCAATCCAGACCCTTTCCTTTTATTTATAATTTTAAAAAGGAACATGCTTACTTGATAACATCCACTACCCCAGTCAGGGTAACTGAGTTTCCTCCTGCATTGTTCCATGACAAAAGCTGATTTCTGAATCAGACATACAGAGTTTGGTCCATATTTCTCTGCACCATAGTTTTTGGTAGGATCTAAAGTAGAAAGAATATCTTGAGTTGCAATTTAACAGGTAAACAGAAAGTCTAAATTATTTTATCATAATTAGAAAATGCCTCCACAGGCCATTTTGGGTTTACCTTTAGGATCTTTCAGATACTTCAGACCTACATGTCTTGTGACCACTGCCTTATCTGAATATCTGAAGTGCATATGAAGTCAGAAATGGAGTGGGGAGAAAAACAATGGGTGTAGAGTCCTATAGTCCTATTCATCAGGGCCATATGGTTATATTTATCCCAGGGAATACCAGTCAAGACTACTGGAGAGATTGTGCTATTTTTGCAAGGTCTTTTTTGGTGGATTCTGCTTCATTTATAATATATAAATATATATAAAATAATGTGTATATATATAATGTATATATATAAAATCTCTCTCTAAAYTTTATATATACACACACACTCTCTCTATATATATATATGTTTATTTTTTCTTTTTCTGAGACAGTTAATATTCTACAGCATTCTGGCACTCTKCAATATTGAAGATTAATGCATTATCCTGGGCGACAGGCTCATGCTCTAGCAATTCCCCCAGCTCCTTGCCTTGAACAAAAATCTATAAAGATGGAGAGTGGAAWTATTTTTAAGAGGTTAAAAAAAGCTAGCAACAAACCCCTCTCCAAGCCACATTAGAAATAATAATAAAAAAATTAAATCTAGGAATTAAACACAAGATAGTTGGGCTGTGCTCCTCCTCCTAGCAGAGATCTTACACAGCTAGTAGTTCAAAACTAATTTCACATGCAATTAGTTAGGTATAGAGCAAGTGAATCAAAATAGATTCACTCCAGTCGTCTTCATTTTGTACATTAATAAAAAAGGAGCCTAAAAAAAGTATTGAAATAGACAAGTGAAATGCAATCAGATCAACAACTGGAGAACAGACACACCACTGAGCATAAAGAATTTGCTTTCTGAACCTCATACTTAAATGCAACTGCTGGTACTGAGCAATAGATTAAGAAGGGTAGTCTCAAACACCATACTGAAGGTGTGAAAATTTACCTGGTTGGTTTTCCAGTATTCTACAGTCCGAGCTGCGCTGAAATTCCCCACTTAAATGCCAGCTAAATTCTTGACTAAAAGGACAATAATCAGCAATTTCCACGGAGCCACCATAATAAGGCAAGTCTTCTGCTGGCACTCCATTTAGATTATCAAAATACTACAAAATGAAACAGACAGTGAAGCACATTCTGCAAAGACAAGTGTGCAGCTGCTTTTTATAAACCACACAAAATCTCTTCTACAAAGGATCCCACAAACAGGCAACGCTGCGATCAAACAGAACAAATTTCTTTGTTCATAGCAGCACAAAGCAACAGAACAGGTAAACAGAATAAAACATTTCAGGGAGACATCCTTAAAAACCACCACACAYACACTCAACTGCTTCATCTGGAATTTGGTTAAGGAGCCAAGCAACATGCTTATTGCTTCATTTAAATCACGTTGATTATTTTTAAGTCTCCAGACTTCTTGCAACAAATTAAGCATTTTTCTTTCAAAATAAGAGATTTTTCACAGTATGTATTCTCACCTACCAGTTCAGAGAAAAAAAATCCAAATATGTGTTTGCAAAATACAACAATGCAAATATCTAGTTATTTGGTAAATTATGATCTGTTATACCTGATATTCCTGAGGTAATTGCTTTGGAAACTTCTGCAAATTGCACACAGCTACTGCTCTTTGGTCCTGTCTGCAGGTCAGCTGCAGAGGGTTACTCCTCAAAGTGTCACAGTATGGACTGATTAGCTGCCTCCTTCACAAAACAAACAAGCAAATAAAGYCACATTAGGTCACATTAACTGCTTTCCGTAACTTACACGGAGATTGTCAAGACTAACCACATGTGGAGAAACAAAAGGGGAACAGAAAATCACATAGGAACATTCCTTTCTCACACAGAAGCTAATTAAAATTTAAATCATAAGGTTTATAATGAAGTAAATATCAACTTAGCAAAAAAAACAGTAAATACAAAAAGCAAAGGGAAAAAAAGTTGTTTTGTTTTTAAGGGTATCATCTACTTCTGTTGCTTTGAGTACAAAGTGGTAGTGCACCATGCTATGGCTGAACTTCCAGTTAGAAGAGATAAAATTAGTCACTTCATTAAAATCACATCTCTTCCCTCYTCCTTTTGCATAGCCCTATTACAAAATAAGTCCTACATGCAAAGTTGGTACTTACTGGTTGGAACACTTCTATTTTTARGATATGTAGTGTGCTTGCTTCTCGCCTATATTCTGCAGACATTTGTGACAGATTAACAAGAAATGCTTTATCTACCTTRATTTCTTTTTACTGAATAGCATTTCAAAGAGACAAACTCAAAACCACAAACAACCATCAGGATTTTCTCTCTCTCTCTCTCTTTTTTTTTTTTAATGATCAGTTTTCTTACTTTTGTTTCTTTTGGTCAATCCAAAACTTGCAGCTCTTCATCACAAAGTCACAGCCTTTGTTACGTCCCCAGTCTAATTTCTCTGCCATGCTGTAATTTGCTTTATACCAACTGCAAAGATATTTTGAAATAAGACAGCCACTTAAAAACAAGTGTACTGATTAGTAAGACAACACATCAAATAACTTCATGCAATGCTGGGAGGTCTTCTGTAAAAGAAACAGGGCACTTGCACCCTTTTCCCTCCGTAATTATTTTATAGTTTTACTATTTTTTAAGTCACAATGGAAGAAGCTAAAAGAAAAGGGTACTGCTCATCTGTTCAGTAGCAATGCATCCACAAAGGAACAAGGCATACCAAAAATATTTTTTCTAATGCACTTAGATAATATATACACACACAGGCGCACACAGTAATTCTGTTCTCACAYAGAAACACGGAACCTTAGACTGGATAGCTTTGCTTTTGTTCCACGATTGCTTTTTATCTGCAAAAAGTGCTGAATAAATAGTCAATGTGTCACATGGAAGTGAGAAAAAGATTTATAATAAGAAAAAGGTAAACACAGACTATACACAGAACTAAGTATTATATGTTCTTCATGAATTAAGCACGGATAGTTTTTGAAAAAAGAACATACATACTTATTAGCATTATATTAGGCAAGGAGTAATACTTATTACTGTGGGGCAAGTGCCTCAACYCTAAACAACATTTAGTGATAAACAAAAACATACTTGACTTGAAAAACACTATCTTTCATAAAGCTCTTACCCAGTGTCTTCCATTAACGCTAAGGTGATCCTGGAGAAGACTCTATTCTGTGTGTGGGATCCAGTCATTGCTTCATTCTGAAAATTATCAATGGCAGTTAGTAAAATACTGAAAAAGTGATTAACACTAGTGTTAAGCAAGAACAAGAAAGAAAATGCTTGTTCTGGAGAAGTATTTTTAGGACCACACCAAAGTTGAATGGCAATTAAKAAATAAAAACAACAATTTTGGTTAAAAAAAAATATGTATTTTTCCAGTTCACTYTCATAGAGAGTTCTGGCCTGGAACATTTCCTTTATGGTTTATCTCCCTATATACAACAATAATTATAAAGTATTTCTTCCAAATACAGCATATAATTCATAGATCTGTAGTAAGAAAGTGATAAGTAAAAATAAAGTTAATCTGGAAGAGGACACATGAACAGAGATTAAATCAAGGTAATGAGTAAACAGAATATTGAAAAATGCACCCTGTGATCGTGTTTCACTGAGTTTGAATGACAAATTTGAATTGTTTCAAAGGATTAGCACCTTTCCCCTAAAAGGGGGGTACAYCTCAAATGTAATCTTAAAGATTTAAGTATTAGTAAGTTAGAATGGTTTATGATGCATTTCAGCAATGTTTGATATCTCTTGGTTTTCAAGGCTCCTACACATACCACTATAAAAGTAAAAATACAGAGAGGTGAAGAGATTTCCTCATTTCAATGCCCTCCCTCATTTCCCATGCTAGCACCAACCTCCAACAGTCTCTTCTCCCAGTGATTCAGCTCGGTGCCCATACCACCCTGATTTTCAAGCTCCATTCCCTCCAGGATTGGACAATTAAAGTGTTTCCGAGCTTCTTCCTACAAAGAAAATATTTCAGAATAACTCTCAAAATAGAGCCACGCTCACATACGCATTTCTCACAWTTATCTTGCAAAAATATTTCAGCCTTTTAAACTGCTTTATCATATCTCTGAATGAAAAACACTTCTTTCACTGACAGGTCTAAGACAGCAAATCCCACAACACTAAGCCTGATAATCAGTCTACTTATCTTTTGGAAAAAAAAAAAAAGCAACAAAACTATCTGCGAAAAAAACCTACATACTAAATAATACATCAGAAAGTAACAGTGTATGAATACTTGCAACTCTGCTCTGTCAAATATCTTTGAGAAAAATACCTTTCTACTAGCAAGCACTAGATGTCAACTGTAGTTTTGCATGGGGAAGTCTTCTGCAAAACATCTGAAAATCTTAAACAGTTTCACARTATTGCCCTGGTCTTACAGCCAGGAGCCCAAAGTTTGCCAAGTAGGCACTGTGCAGGAGGATCAAACTGACCAGTTTGACCTGTGTGACCAATATTTTAAAATACACACGTAAATAAGTCTGCCCTATATAGCGTATTAGATTTAAAAAGAACAAGAGGATTATTTAAAATGCAAGTTGCACTTGGCAACAAACAGTTCCCAGTCCTTCTTTATTATACTTAAAGATTTTGGGGGAGAGGGTGCGTGAGGGGGGCAGGTGGCCAGAAGCGTGGAAATACTTTTCAAAGACTACTGCAGAAATTTCTTTTTAGATGTGACAATGTTAAATGTATCATTTTGCAATGGATAAAGCAACAGTAAGACGAAAATTAAAGATGAAAATAATAGTTTTTTTAATGAGACAAAAAAAGTCAGAATATTTTACAAGAATTACGCTATATAAACTATCTGTTAACAGAACAGCCTTAACAGGACATCAGCTAGGTGCCCAAGGTTTCCAAACAAGTCTATAGGAAAACACCAGAAGAGTGGAATTAAGGAACCTTCAATACCAACTCTGCTTCACCCCGTACCATTTCCTTCCCAAACCCATCACTGTTTCTCAGTATGTCACTTTATCTCAATGTCCTTTAGCCATTTTCCACCTTACTTGAATATGAGAGGAATGTCTAAACCGCATAGCCTTTGGGGCACATTTTAAGAAAAAAGGTATTTAGTGTTAGGTCATTACTTCTTAAAGGACAGTAATCTGGGCATGCAAAGGTCAAAGCTTAAGTTAATCCATACTTACAACTACACGAGGCGTTATAAGAAGATACACAGCATGGCGCAGCATTTTGCCACCACGAACATCCCATAACCTCACAGCCTTAACCACCACCTTATTGCTCCACTCATACAAACCTAGACTGTAACAAGAATCACAGAGTTATAGATATTCTCAACAGCTCAACAGACTAATGTGAATAAATTATCTCCATAATCAGACATAATCATACCCAATCTTTATATTTCTCCTTCTTTTATATATAAATATATCCAGTTCCGATTTAATAAGCCAAGCTATGCAAAAATTACTATGATAAATCTGCCAACTCAAGACTTTGAGATTAGACCTGTAATGAAGGATGAAAAAAAAGTACAAAAAATGCAGAGAAAGAATGCAGAGAAAACASAAAACTCCTCTCTATCCTTCCATCTCCAAAAAAAAGTCTAAAGGAATATTATTGCAAGGTTGTAACAACATCAGCTAAATGAATTAAAAGTGCTCCCTGCCTCCCGCCCCCAAAAACCTCCCCTCTCCAACACTTGTTATTTGTCCACATAGTGAACAAGCCATAAAAATCACGTAGCAGACCACACGTACTACTACTTCTCCAGAGTGATACATCTTCAATAATATACAAGCCTTAAATAAAAACTGAGTACATTAAATGGATTGCAGATAATAAGTCTCGATTTGGTAAGGTGTTTGGGGAGCAACTACATTTGCATCTGGTAATTCAAATGTTCAAGTAATTAAATCATCTTTGAGTTTTTAACACGTGTGGATATTATAAGTGCTTACCATCAATGTAATAAAAGGCTAAAAAAAGAAGTAAATAATGTTGAACATAATAAAGGCAGAGCATTCCAATAAGGGAATCAGGCTGCATTTTCAACAGGCTGACAGCAAAGAACATTTCTTAAAAAAAAAATCAAGTTGGAAATATCCTTCAATTCAACAGGAGAACTGACAGGTCCAAGAAATATATACATAAATAACAGACCTTTCATTAAAAGGAGGAAGCCCATCCATGGATCTTGCTGTTAAAGGTTTTCCATCATCATCACGGTAGAATGCAAACAGCCCAGCAGAGAAACCCTTTAAGTTAGAAATCAGACAAACAAAAACCTTGGATAAGTTGCACATTGCACCTCRGGGTAATTAGCAGATGAGATAAAGGAAACAAGGGGAAAAAAAAAAAGAAATGTTTCCTCTCTGCTACATGCAACATTTCTCAATTGCAGTGAGCTGGAGGAACATAGAAACTCATCACAAACTTCTACAAAAGCATGTGATAACATCAAGCCTTACCAGGGCATGGATAATCTCATGTTTCACTGTAGACAACATGCCAACAAATTCTTGAGCTTGAGTTGAAATCATATTTGGACACAAATTAGCATACCCTGCTATTGGCCTGTAAAATAGATTTAAGTCATTTTCAGTAAAATGCTAGCCAAATCAAAACATACTCACTTGAAGTAGAAAGCAACACTTTTAATCCCTCTACCGGATTTAAAAATAAATGCACACAAAAGACTWATTTAGAAATAAGTCCTTTCAAACAATTTCCTTTCATCATTTAAAGATCACTTAACCATACTGTTACTAGGTTATTATTTCCTTGCTGCAATTTTGGGGAAAAAATATCTCCCGTATATATGCAAGTCTTTTAGTTATGTATCTCCAATATTCTACGCAAATTTAGTAATAACAGTATGAGAATCAAATTTTAGGAAGGGCATTATACACCTGATACTCGTTTCAACAACTGCTACTGAGCTAGAAACATAAGTAGTGCCTATCTCCATTCTTCTTTAAATTAGAAATTATGACATCTGTGAAAAGCATCTTGTYGAAGTCTAGACAAGAGACCGTTAAGTTTATATGCTATGGCTTTATGAGTTGGAATATTATTTGTTCTGTGGTTTTATAAGAATACAGTGCTTCAGTTCAAATATATTGCATACTTATTAGCCATTGAAAAGGAAAGTGTTTTACTTCTTTATCTGTAACGCTTGTATTTTCACATATTACACACAACACAGRCAAACAAAATCTTCATATAAACTCCTAAAAAAAAATAGAAGTTTAAAAGAAAACCTACGGAAGCCCTACCTGTCCATGTCAGCTTCCAGCTGGCAGTAGGCTGCGTAGGCAATGATGTTTTCATGGCCGCACCTCTCGGTGGTGAGAGCACTGACGTAGAGCACGAAGTCGGCATCTCGCACGCCCTCCTGGTCGGGCGGGCCCACGGGCCCGCAGTGCCACTCGGTCTCATTGCACACCCTGCATTGCTGGGGCGATATTCACAGGGGGGAAGTAAAGCACGAGCTGTGACACACAAATGCTGTCATACAAAACCTCTAGCTCAAAGGCAAAAAATGGGATCGTCTTAAGACGCTTGAAAAAACAAAAAATGCTGTATGGCCACAATGAAAGAAGTAGAGCTAAAGAACATCTTTCAAATGACTATTTGGATGACTATTTCAGTTTACTGCCTTAGTGTGACAAAAAAAAAAAAAAAAAAAAGTAGCAGCTTTGGGGAAAAAAACCAAACACACCCCCCAACACCACCAAAAACCAAAGAGCTGGACACTTCCAAATTGGAACAGTTTCTTATCAATGTAAAAAAATTGTTTGGCAAAACAGCATATACAAGTAATAATTACATTTTTACACATAACTTGATCAAAACTTATTTAATAGTTTAAAAGCATCATGCAAAAAAAAAAAAGCTACACGTGGGGTACCCACAGTCTAGTTGAACAAAGAAAAAAAATTGTATCAGAGAAGAAGTTAGAAGCATTTCTTGACCTAGTTCAGTGGATAATCTAAGTGAGATCTGAGATTATCTAAGGATAATCTAAGTAATCTTTAAAASCAAAACTTATGATTAGTTCTGTGAAACTCTGACTCACTGGTAAAGGATAATAATGAAGCTGGTTRTAATTTACACATGATATTTAGCAACAACAGTTTGGAATTTCATAATCTTGGTGCACCTTGCTGTGCCGCAAGTTGGAAGAAGAACAAACAGACAGTCAACAGTTTTATTTGGCTTTCTGTTCAGCAGCATGAACTGGGAACCTCCTGTTAAACCAAGGTTTCCTGGTTTGCCGCTCAAACCTAGTGACCTCCCAATGAATGAGACATGCACGGTGAGCAGTTTAACTTCTGGGGTAATTTGGAAGTACTGGAAGGCTTAGCTTACCTGGAGATGTTTCTCGGGCACTATAACTGGCCCACATCTTGTAYGCTCTGCACAGGCTCCTCGGCAGTACCTGTGAGGGTCAGCTTTCTTCCTTAAATACTGATTTGTTGCACACTGCCTTCAATCAAACATGGGAGACAGTTAGAAGTATTTTAGAATTGAAGAAGAAACCTTAAAATAGTTTCAGAGCACCTAAATAACACTGTAACTACAGGTATTTTAAATACAATAGCATTTAGATTTCTCAGTAAAGATGTTAATTACGGGGTACTTGAAGACCTAATGTTTCCTATTGTTTCAGGAATATCTACAGGTCTGAAAGTGATTAAGAACAGGTTCATAAATGGAAACAACTATAAAAGGAAGCAGGCAGGGTATACGGTCGTTAATATCTCTCCTATCACTAATGTAGACACTGCCCACAGGCTGCAGCCAGGTTTGTGAATGCTCTCTAAACAGGATACCCCACCACCATATCTGAAGAAGCTTATTGTGCCCGCCCAATGAGCCACTCATCTGGTCCAAGAGGGAATTTCTTACGTTCTTACTCTATTGTTATCTTATCGTCTATGCAATAGAAACTTAAGTAGCAATACAAACTTAAGTATCAAATATAGGAAGTGCTTTTCAACCACTTTTCACATACCTGCTTAGTAATATAGTACCTGTAGGTTTGCGCACTTGAAAAGTCTTCTCCAAATAAGAAATAGCTTGAGGAAGGAGTTTGCTCTAAATGAACAAAAATACAGGTCACATGGTACCAGTGCAGGCACAGCTTACCTTACAAACRCTATCAAGCCACTTGAAGCTACCTAGACGCTGTGGTATGAGCAAGCAGCAGACACTGAGACTTGTTCACAGCTCCTTAGGAAGTTCAATTATCAATGTATGTTGGAACAAAATACTCCCAGATTTCCACATTTTGCTATCAGGATGACAGAAGGAGCAAGAATCCAGCTGTAATTCAGACACACAGCTCCAAAGATGCTGAACATATCTGCCCTGTACATGCCCTGAACTTACTAACCCCTGGAAAGGGTCCATGGCCAAATCCCTGGAGCTCCCACCTCCCTACTGCCCATAGCTTGGCTTTTGCTCCTTACTGGCACCAATGTCTCAAAAACAGCAAGAAGAGATACTTAAATCATCCCCAAGAGCACCAAACAGCTTTAAAACACATTGTTTAACGAGGCCTTCGGCTGCTGGCCCAGAGCAGGTACCTGTTCTACCACATCTGACCCTGCTGCTATTTGGGAGCAGTGGGAGGAACCCCCGCACAGAGAGGCGGCTCCCCCGATTACAGGGATGCGGAACAGCCGTGTCCAAAGCCTCCAATTAAACCGGCAAAGCCCTAGTTTCATCTCTGTGACAAAATATGCACAAGAGGAATGAATGAATAAATAAATAAATAAATAAGGGAGGGAGGGAAAGGTGAAATAAAGAAGAGATAAGAGCTGCTAAGCAAATATACCATACCTTAACGAGGTGCCTTTTCTCAGGAAGCAGGCTATATTTAAAACAAAACAACACAAATAAGCGCGTTTCGGGCAGGCGGACGCGCCCCCTCGGAGGCGGCGGCAGGGGCACTTACTCCTCCACGCTCCGGTCGTAGAGGACCCTGATGCGGAGCTGCTGGCCCACGCTGCGCTTGGCGACGCGGCTCTCCCTCAGCGGCACCTGGTAGAGGACCTGCGGCACAGGGGCGAGGGCGCCGTGAGCGCAGCCCGCCCGGCCCGGCCCCTGCCCGCCCCGGCCCCGCTCCGCTCCGCACCTCGCCGCCGCGGGGCACGCGGTGCTGGCACGCGGACGGAGAGGCGGCGGCGCAGCCCAGGAGCGGCGGCAGCAGCAGCGCGGCCATGAGGGCGGCGAGCGGCAGCCGGGAGCGACGGCGCCCGCCGCCCGCCTCAGCGGCCATCTTGGGCTGCCTCTCCGCCGCGTCTCCATGGAGGCAGCGCGACTGGCGGCGCCCGCCGCCAATGGGAGAGCGGGGAGAGCGGCGGGGAGGCGGGGCGGGCACGGTGCGCACTCCTGATTGGATGCGGCTCGCCCCGCCGGGAAGGGCGGAGACGGGAGTGGAGGAGCCGCCCCGGCCCCCTCGTGCCCCGCGGCTCCCCGTTGTTAACCCCAACCCCCGGGGGCTCCCCGAAAGCGCCGCTATTAACCCCAAATCTAGGGGGCTCCCGGCTGGCCGTGCAAGGCTGGGCGCRCGCCCAGCTTGTTTAGGCCGGGCGCACATTGTTGTGTTACGGAAATTCAATAAGTCCCTTGGGTTTGACTTCGAGCACGGGAGCCCAGGATGTCCCCAAGGCATCAATGCTCTACAGTGTCCGGAAGGAATCACAGCTTTTATTATCACCATCATCATTATCAAAATATTATCGTTATTATAATCACTTTAAATTCCCACAGGCAGGATTCTGCCCACCCATTTCCATGATACAGAAAGTGATGGGGAGAAATGGCTCCGAGTGGGGAGTACATCAGGGCAGGGGTGCCATGGGGAACACAAACTGTGTTTTAGGCTCTAAACGGTAGCAAAAAGTTATTGGATCCCTGAGAAAAAACTGCTGGTGAGCCCCTCGAGAGCAGGCAGCCTTAGGCACTTTATATCACAAATAGTCTATTTCCTGAAGGTAATGAGGTGCTCCGGGTACGCCTGGATGTCGCTGAAGATGACAAATATATTTGGAGAATTCACGTTATCGACCACGCTGTCATAGCGGTCGGCCGTGTCTGCCGTGTTTTTGGCCGGAGCRGTGACGAGTCCCGCGCTCCCGGCACAGTACTGCCCCGTGAGCACCCGAGCCAAGTACACGTGTTTTCTGTTGCTCGAATCCGGCCGGGAATAAGTATCCTGGGCAGAATAACTCGCCCTGACGGCAAAGTAGGTTCCGTTTCCAATCATGGCAGCTGTTTGGAAAGACATTTCCCAGTACAGTTAGTGTTCACATTCACAGAAGCACCTGTAAAGCCCCCTGCCACTTCTCCTTCTGTTATTATGATCACAGATTATAAAGATGTTTCTTATCTTGTTCTCCACCTGGGTTCAGCCCTCCTGTTGTGCCTGCAGCTCTGCCACCTAATTTTCCCCTCAGATATCAGACACGTGTGTAACGAAGCAGATACCTCCAATTTGGGAAGAACTCACCATTCTTTCCAGCAAAGCCACGATCAAATCCCCTGTAATTAATGAGACTCAGTGAGGCTGCTGCTGTCCCATGAAAAAGCAACCTCTCATTCATCCAACCTTTGTTTTTCTTATCCAGATCGCCCTTTTTGATTTGATAGGTCTGCCAGAGGGAAGGATTTTGTACTCTCTCAATCTGTGAAGTKGCAAAGTAGACCTGTGTTTATACTGGCAGTGATCATTTTAACACGACAGCAAAGCATTAAGACAAAACCGAGCCTGCAGAGTTAAAGCTGTTACCACGCTGCCCTCCTGTAAAGCCTGTGCTTTACATTGGGAACTGGGTCTGTGAGGTACGTGAGCTTCTGTAAATCGAGACACCCAAATATAAGGATACCACTTACAACAATGTTTCTGGACTTGACAGTTTTTTCATGCATCTGCCTTGCCTAATACACCAGGTATATAGGTGATTATATCAGCAACACATTGGTATTTTTTGGAAATAGCAGTTGCACTACAGCTAGAAGCAATGGAGCATTCAGGTAGCATGCGTTCTGTATACCCTAATCATCTTTACTAATGACTTTGCCACTAATGGCTGAACTGTGGCATTATGCTTAATGCCTCTCTTCTAGATCTCAGCATGAAAGGCAGCATTAGCCCATCGCTGTGCAGCCCAGCAGCCCATGAGAAACTACTCTATAAAAATAAAKCGGTAGGAGGATAGATGTTGCTGGCTCCTTATGGAAACAATCTGAATATAGCTTGAGGGAAATATAGCCTATTTGCATCCAAGTATAATCTTACAGGCATTGCTGTAAAAGTGTTCTATTTTCGGGGGAAAAAGGACTCTGAGCTTTCCATTTTCAACGGAAAATATATTCCATTACCGGATCTTTCCTCTTCAACACTAATATTTTCATGCCTAAGTGACCATACTCTGCAAGCCTAATCACAGGAGAAATTTTATTTCAAATACCTGTTACTGCACTCTTGGACTAGATGATCTCTAGATGCCCCTTCCACCTCAAGCTTTCTGTGATTCCGTGATTTCTTGCCCCTSCTTGCTTCTAAATAATTCCACATGCCCCAGGGCCATTATCTTCCCGTATGGTGTTTCACAGACTTTCCAGTAATCAGAAACAACTCCCAACACTCTGGTCAAAACCAGCCTGAGCCTGGCGTGCTCTGGGGCTCTCAGGGAAGCAGCCCAACCTGAGGGTGGTAAAGGAGGGCAGAGCTTCAGGGCCAGCCCGCAAGGTTGAGGCTGCGGGGAGCTGCCCCATCTAGACCTGGTGCAAGGCAGAGCCTCCCCAGTGGAAATATTGAATAGCCAGCGAGCAGAGCACAAGCTCAGCCTAAAGAAATGCAGCCACTGGCTTGCCATGACCAGCAAGAAAGCCGGCAGCCCCGGACAGYGCAAGCTGTAGGAAACGCAGCTGGGTTTATTGCGATGTCATGCTGTGCTTATACACACACAGGACGTGTATTAGCCTGCAGACCCTTAAGAGACAAGCACATAGGGAATCTATTAATATTTTCTGCACTATATTTTTTTTCATAGGACCTCACCTTCTCTATGGTGAAGTTGGGACAGGTTTTCTGAAACTCCTTCTCAACGTCCTGATACTCTTGGCTCGTCGGCGGGAGGTTCACCACCAAGACCTGCTTGTCCTTCATGTCCTCCCACTCTGCTGGCAGCTCTATCGCTTGCCTCACTGCGAAACAAGGGTGGGAGGATAAGCACAACCAGCCCACTTGATTTGACAGACACATCTGCAAAAGCAAGTTTTCCCACGCAACTGGATGCAGAAGGCCGAGAGGACAACACCTTAGGCAATGATTTCTGCCAACAAAATTCTCTCTCTTGAATAAATTCTTAGTTCTGTAATGCACTGGTAAGATGGKACATTTTTGCTATGGGTCTCATCATCCAAGTACTAGCAGTCAACTAAGAAAGTTTGAGAACCACAGAATTTGGCTTATTATTATTTCCTTCCTTCACCAGACTTATGCATGAAACCTGTTCTCATGTGTCACATAGGGATGGATGAGTTCTGTATTTAAAAATTCACAGTTCTGGGTTTGGTCATAATTGCCACTAAYTCTGAAACTCAAGATTACTGGCTGTGGCATGTCTGGCCAAAAATAAAAAAAAAATGTTGTGGAATAGCTTTACTTTTTTTGGAATACCTATTTCGAGTTGTATTTATCAGAATTATCATTCACTATCAATATTTTTTTTAACAGGGCTGTAATTTACCTTCATTCTTCGGCACACGTTGAATGGTTATAGTTGTTCCTTGGTCATCCTTTGCTTGTAGAGTGTTCAGATTCACTTTGTAATTCTTATTCTTAATTTTGACAGTAAGATGTGTTTTTTTAGTTATTTTAGCATCTTCCAGCTGCATATTTGTCAGCTTATCAAAAGTTATAAAAGTGTCATTGCTTTCTTGATACCTCCATTCCACCAGGCTATACACAAGCTCTGCCTTGGCTTGTTTTTCTTGAGTATCCTTAAGTTTTTGGATCATAGCTTGAACTTCCATAGAAACCAAATAGACATCCTGGCTAATACCAGAAATTTTAATGTGCGGGGGAGACTGATTGTTTTCAAACTGAATGGTAACACGTTTTCTTTTCTCAAGATCTACCAGAGCCTTAATCTGCCTCCAATCAAAACTTTCAATTAGCTCATCTGAAATAATGTTTTCACTCTGCTCCTTTAAAATCAAGTTCACTATCCAGGATGCAGCATCATCCACATTTTGTTKTCTTTCGCCACAAATTTGGAATGTCACTACCTCAGCTTTCTTCTCCAAAATCAAGGGCTGTTTCTTCTCGGTGGATTTTTTTTTGCCAAACAACAATGCTACAACAAAGTACACAATAAAAAAAAGTTAGTTTTACTTAAGTTTTTAAAAGATTTTAGTTTTATGTGCCCAGGCAAATGGAAAATGCTCCTACTTACATGTTAATTTAGATTCATCTCTATCAGAATCATGGGCATGTAATTCTTGTCTTTTCTTCATGCTTTCATAAAATTCACTGTTCATCTTAGTCTCAAAGATGACTATTTTAATTATTTTCAAACACAGCACAGCTTTTTGCCTTGCAAACTCAATTATAGCATYGAGCATGTTATCAGCTACCTTTGTTGGACTCTGTCTTGCCTTACCTAAATGAAAATACAAAACACACCACTCAGTGAACAACATTAAAATCGAGGCTAAATCAAGAAAGCTGACAGCATGCCCCAGCTGATGCGGACCAGCAGTGTCTGAACTGATTCCAATAAWTTTTCACATATCACAGTTTATGCAGTTTCTCCTAGAAAACTGTTATCCCTACTGCAACCGTTAATATCGTCCCAACTGCTGAAATCGCAACCCTGGTTGCTCTCCCAGGAAAACGCAAACCTGTTCCAATTGCYGGGAAGGCCACGGATGTGTACATCTGGAGCTCGCACTCCTGAAGCACTTGGGTCACCTGCTTCTTTATGTCCAGACTATGAATCAGGTGGATGATTTTCTTGCACAGCAGATTTCCACCTTTYGTGGTAATAAAACCCCTCTGAAGCTGCCAAGCTGGCCGACAGAAGACAAAGGAGGCACAAATTATGATTCTGCAGAATAGCTGAATGGTTAAAATAAGTTCATTAAGATAATGATCATCTCGCTTAAGAACTGTGGTATGGAATCTCTGACGACTTGCCTTTTTCAGAGCACTTTTGATTATAAGCCTCTAAAAATTGAGTCATTTTGTGAGGATGGATGGATTTATGAATACAGACTTATAAACCACTTCACTGGTCATAGGCATAATAATTGAGAGACGCTTTGCATTTGCTGAGACAAGGCTGTAGAAAAGGTTAGATTGTAGAGCTAAAGGTGAGAAAAGATCCAAGAAAGTTCATCCTAAAAGTTAACTCCTGGTCTTTCTTCAAACTTACATTCCTAGTAGTCACCCACAGCGAGCAGTGACTTAACCACCGCATTGGTCTGGCCAAGTGAAGAGACTATAGAAACAGTGATCAGGGTAACAAACAGAATTACTTTATTTCACTCAAAAATAGCAGTGTAGCTGAGAATACTAAACCAGATGCCTATTAGTTCTTAAGAAACTTAAGAAGTCGTGCATCTGCCTAGGCCAACAGAAAATATTCCATCACCTTTCCTCAGTTCTGGCACCAGTCTTAAAACTTCAGTTCCCCTGTAGTTGACAATAGGTGAGGTTAAAAATTATGCTAAAGTCAATTACAGTATTTCTGGTTTTAGATTAGGCACATGCATGGGTAATCTCAGGAATCCAGACCTTAAACTACAATAATTTCCAAGCACTCATTGGCATTAGAAAATTGTACCTAACTTCTATTCAGTTACAAGAATAAAAATTCTCCAACTGGGTGTCACGAAAACAGGATTTTTCACAATTTCTGAAAGTAAAAGCTTATTTTTCTAATGTAATAATTACACTATCAGAGTGGAAAATCATAGTAACAGCATTAAGTTCAATTTTCAGAAAAGCCTAACCAAACAAAACAGGTTGCTGTAACTTACCATACCGAGCACATTCTTTTTCTACCTGGGAACCAGCAGCATCCATAACTGCTTTGAAAAGCCCTTAAAGGAGAAAAAAAGAAAAAACACATTAAGTTGCCTTAGATACCTCTACTCAAAACTTTATTCAAATTCTGTAGTTTATGAACACCCCAAATTCCCAGACAGTGTAACACCTTGCCAGCTCCCCTATGARCCCTCCGTGACTGCCTGGCTGCAAGGAAAGTGCTGCCTTCATTCTTGACTAGGAATTGTAATGAGTAACTCCAATTTCATCGCTCTGGCAGCAAAGAGCATGGTCCTCATCAAACTTGCGGGTTGTTCTGACTTGTATCATTGCTGTCCTTCATTCTTACAACTCACACCGTCACCAAAGGACTTTCAGCTTCCTACAGATCATTTTTTTAAACCAGATCTTTGGCTCAGGGAGGGGTGCATTACGGCCAGCATTATATTTGATCTAAAAGCTATCTTCTAGTTAAGCTATAAAAATTCTGGACGTAAGTCTTCTGTTTGAGTAGTCTGCTTAATGAAATGGAATATTCAGGGCATATATAAAACCCAAGGTAGCTTCAGATCCATTTTCTGACAGATTACTACTCGCTTTCTCCCTCTCATATGAAAAATAGTTTATAAAAAAGTTTCATATACAGACAATTTTCCCCTTCCCTTTCTAAAAGCTAGCCTGAATTTACTATCAAATAACTACATATTCAATGAAATACCTGAGTTATCCTTAAATGCTGGACTTGCTATGTTTACAATAACATCTGTGTCTTCCTTGGTAATATCTCCATTAATTAGTTGAAGTGTAATAGAACCAATCTTCATTTCATGAACTCCTGGTGAGTAGCTCACAACTGGTCCAATGAAAGCTGCAAGGAAAAAAAGGAACAAAAAAAAAGCCCATCTTACAATAGTCCTGTTTTAGTTTTGGCTGTTATTCTATTATATTTATGGAAATTTTATATGATGGACCAATAGCTGTCAGATCAATTTAATTTAATCTTTTTGAGGAATGTGAAACCAACTTGATGTCATCTAGAGAGCCTCTGCTTACTTCTGCCTACCCCATCGCTGAAAATAAGCAGGTAAGGTATCCATTCTATTTAAATACTGTGAAAATGAAACCACTTCTATTCCTGTAAACTCATACACTATAAAACTCAGACAAGAATGTTGTGCCTATCTGATTGGACCTGCTATATAACAACCTTTCCAGAACTGACTAAGCAGAGATTTCAGCTTCAGATTAAGTAACACCAGTAATGGATACCCCCTCACAACCTTGGAAGTTATTTCATCCTTACCCTCACAGATACAAATGTGTGTCCTACTAGTCTTAAATTTCTCTCATTTGTATTTTATGTCTTCATTCCTAACTTTTTCTAATTAATTCTGAGAGTAAATGAAAAAGATGGAGCTATCTGTTCACAGAAGTCCCTGCTGTTGATGCAACTCGCTGTTGTTTTTCCTACTGTGTCACATTACAGTTAACTCAGAAATGAGACAGAAAGCAGCCTTTCTGCACCCCACACAGGGGATTAAAGGCACAGATGTACATATGATTTAATGATGACCTGGCGAGGTGACTCCAATTTCTCATATCCTCTCAGCATGACAAACTGTGGCTCTCCCATCAGGATCCCCTCTTCTATACAGTAGGAGTGGCTTTGAAATTGCTTTGAAATATTTCCCGTCTGCCCCATGCCCGCGACTTCCTCGAAAACTTACTGTGTTGTGGTGTTGTCCTAATGTGATTCTCAGCTACCCGGCGTTCCAGTTCACTGGTAAATGCCTACAGTGAGAGAAAAGGTGAGAGAAAGGCAACAAAACAGCAGAGCCAGCCTGCTTTCACTGACCCCATGCAGTATGCAAGTGCTAAATTACTCTCTCAAGAAAGCACTGTAATTAAAAATATATCAGTAAGGCATAACTAGAGAAGCTCTCGACACAGAAGACCTGACCGTGAGAAGAAATACCTGAATGTTACCAGCATCCTTGGGGTACAAGAGAAAATGAACTTCCCGGAGTGTCTTAGGAGAGTGATGGCTACTGAACTCGAACACTGTGTCAAACATTAATTTAGCAACAGTGGATTTGGGAAATGCAAATCCTCCAGTTCCAATTGCTGGGAAAGTGATCGAATTCAGTGCAAGTTCTTCAGTCTTATGCAGGCAAAAACTGATTATGTCTTTCAGGATCTGCAAAACACAGCAAAGATCCCTTGTTTATTTGAAGATAGATAATCAATTATACATTCCACAGAGACAACATTGATATGAGAAAAGCCCTCAGAGGCACCACACATCAAGACATCTTTAAGGTCACTCAATAGAAATAAATTGAGCTAAATTAACTGAACTATTTAAAAATCTAAATTAACTATTTTTTTAATCTTAAACTTCAGAATGGGTTCTCCAGTAGATTTCATTTCAAAATCAAAAGCTTTTACAACAATTACAAATCTACCTTCAGAGCCTCTCCACTTCCTCCATCCCAGAGGGGAACAACGGCGTGGAGCACGGTCTTGCAGAGCAGATTGTATCCACTAGTACGGAACACGGTCCCTTTACCTGCCGCCTGTTTTTGCTTTTCCTGATCAAACTCTAACTGGAGTTCTGGGCCAGCCTTCTGCAGCAGGGCTCTGCAAAGAGGCCCCACGCCAAGCTGCAGATCCACGCCAATGCTGTTGACAACAACGTCCGTCTGAAACAAAATTACAAGAAAATTCTCTGTAGGCAGATTTTGAAGAAAAATATGCGGCAGGACTAACTGGCAAAGCAAAACACAATAGGCTTTACAGGGTGCTGACAGAGAAATAACTTGATTTTCAGCATGGATTCTGCACACTGAGTATTTCAGGATGTGGGAGAAACGTATCATAGGAGTCAGAGCACCCGCTGCTATTCACAGTGCAGGTCACTCCTGCCCAAACTGCTGAGATGACCCCAACTGTAACGCTATATAGGGAACTCTTTTAAAGACAAATGTCAAGTTGGGCTTTTCTCCATCTCAATATTTCTCTTCTATTGCAAAAGGACTTTATGGACACTAAAATGACAAGCAAAACAACTAATATGGAAACAATACAGTGGTAACAACTTTAGGATGGAGCTAAAATGAGAAACAGAAATTTTACACTCTCAGACTGTAAACATCTGGTGTTTTTGAAAGAAGTAATTATAAAGAAATAATTTGTACCCCCAAAGTGAAGAAAGATCATGAAAAAGCACCTAAGTCAGAGGTGTAAACTGAGTCTTGATGGAGCAGTTGAACAGCAACAAAATGCATTAGCAAAAAGAATGAAAAAAAAAGTGAATCAAAATCAAAGCAGAATCAGTTCTAAATTTTGGCCGAGCATAGTAGCCATGCCCTCTTCTGTGGGACTGTTTTTCTAAAGCCCAGAAATTTCTATAACAATATAAATAACCTCCCCAAGCAAAGGGAAATAAAAAATATGCTACCTTCTCTGTTAGCATGACTCATGATGTCCCTAACAGGTTCTGATTTTCCTCTATACCCAGCCTAATACCTAGATCATATGAATACMTCTCTTAAAGGAAAAAATTAAAAAGTAAAATGTCTTACACGATTACTCTAGATTTGGGCATATAAAATACAGTAGGAACTAAATAGTTTGACTTAATTCATGGCTGTGCACTAGAAAGGACTGTAGAATGATAGGTCCCCATATGAAATCTGAATATCGGCCTTGTAATTCTGYTTCCTTGATTAGCTAGCACAGCGCCTCAGTTTCTCTATGTTGCAGTCATCTTGTAAAATAATTTAATCTCCTGTGCTTCATTTTCTATTTGATTGGCATCAAGATAGAGAGGACCTGCGAAGCAGAAGGCCTACCGTGGCATCCTGAATGCTTCTTTTCTCTAGCTTGATGCACAGTCCTTCATTTGTTGTAACCATCTGCAGGTTCTCTTTTCTCTTGGCTTTCTGTCCTTCCTTTAAGCTATGGCTGTCAAAGGGTTGGGGAAGCAACGTCTGAAAGCGTGATTTAGCAGCAAACATTTGTTTTACTGTCTCCCTCAGAACCCGAACTGTTTCGTCTGCATCGCCCACAAGATGAACCTCTCTCAAGCTACTATCCCTCCTGGATTCTTCCAAGGTTTTCTTGAGGGATGACACAATTGACCGCGCACACAGTTCCATCGGGAAGCTCAAAATCCCAGCATGTATAAAAGGGAGAGCAATGGAGTGATGATTGCACRTTTCAGCCAGCTGTATAGAGTTCCTCACTAACTTCCTTACGTGGTGCAAACATCTTTCTCTCTCTTTTTTCCTCCACTTGGGCCCACCAGCATGAAACACGTGCTTGCAGGGCAGTTTCCCCGCAGATGTCGTGACAACACACCCAGGCTTCAGGTGCCCATGGGTTTTCATRAGATGCTGGTACTCCCTTTGCAGGTCCGGCCCAGCCTCTTCTAGAAGGGGTCCAGCAAGATCATGTTTTGAGTCTTCATTCAATACATTTACCACAACATCCACTGGGTAATTAGACAAGTTACCTTTACACACTAACATTTTAACTCCATCTTCCAGGGTTTCCTCATAGCAGAGCTCTCTTTCCCCTTTATTAACAACTTCTCCACCTTTTTGCTCATGTTCTTCTACTTCCAGCATAATCAAACAGTTGTATTTCTGCTTTACCTCCAGAACATGCAAATCTTTCTTCTCCATGAAAATTTCTTTGGCTCCTGGTTTATCAATTGGCACATTTTTATAGCACAGCAAGGAGAGAATTTGCTCGAATGTGGTGGCCGCCTTTGCCACTTCTGGTTTTGGGCCACTCAGAGAAATACAAGGTGCCTTGGTGTCAAAACACACTTTCACACCTTTCTTCCCGAATTCAAGGCAAACACTGTTTTTTTCCTGCTCTACGAACTGCACTACTACTGCTGACTTAGCTGGGATTTCTTTTTTCGTGTGTGTGTTTCTATCTGCTAAATAAAAAATGTTCTGATAAACTTCTGCTACAGCTTTAGAAAAGCCAGTAATGGTCACACTGTTTTCTTTTCCAACAGGTTCATTGATTATTATGGTTTTCTGGGAATAATTGTACTTCTTACAGGAGAAGTCAATAAGACTCCTCCATTCCTCCTTTTTAATGATTTCAGAGTCCTCCAGATCAAAGCACTTATAATCCAACTCTGTCTTTATTTGCTTTTCTGCATCTGAAAGATCTTTAGGAGAGTACCCAAATAGCACTATAGTACCATTCTCAAGCTCATAAAAAGCCTTGATTTTTTTCGAAGAGAATAATCTCTCTGACATTGTTTTATTATCTACACATCGTAGAAATTGGAAAACCTGAGGAGTGACGTTAACTGATTTAGATGGCATGTTCTGTACCTTCTCCAGTAAGTGCATTTTGATTTTATACACTTCCACAGGTAACCCACACAACTGGAGGGCTTCTTTTGTATAATCATAAAAGATCTTTACGTGCGGATATTCTTTGCAAATATCGTCTTCTAGCCCAGCATCGTGCAAAACTGTATACTTCCCTGGTATCAGCGACACAGACGTTTCTATAATCTTGTTTTGCCTTTCCCCTTCTTCCATGGCTTTTTCCATGCATTCCCTCACTTCTTTCTCTGCCCTGCTCATGGCTGCTCTGTTGCTAGCGATCACCACCGTAAACTCAGAAGCATCCATCACGTTCAGAGCAACATCGTTCACCAGCCTGGCTTTCACGTCTTCCCTACACGAYGGATTTACTTGACACTTTAAGGCTGTGTAGTGAGACATGATGCGCGAGAGCTGCGCAGAAGTGTCTTGCTTCCACGTTTTGATCAACCGAATCATCGGCTCTTTCTGTTCAGAGAGGGATGATGAGGGACACAACGTAATCTCTGGGTATGCACAGTCGGTGTGTGGCCATATAACATCACAGTGGCAAGTTGCCATTTCCTGGTTTATATCCTCGATCAGTTTGTCCTGCCTTTGTAAAAACTGCCAGACRTAGGGATTCAGCGGCCAGCTAAAGGGCTCCGGCATCTTGACGCTTGCCCTATTCTCTCCATAGAGGGCTGTTCCCAGGCAATGGTAATAAGGATACACAGAAATCGGCGTTTGTTCAAGTGAATGCTGCTTTGCCAAGACAGCGCTTAAATCTAAAATTTAAAACATATATATATGTATATGTATATACACAAATTTATATATGTATACACACGTATTTCATTAACTCTAAGTCAAGCAAATAAGTTTGTTATTAGAACTATTATGTGGAGTAAAATAACTTGGTTTTACATTTGAAAGAGCTGTTTTTATGTCCTTGTGATTTCCCATCCATTCTGAAGGGGACAATTACCAGCTAGCCTGGTAAAAGTGCTTGTAGCTGTACTTACCTCTAGAGATTTATCCTACTTTCCTTTTCCTACAGAAACACTAGCTTAGTACAGGACCATATGAAAATTTTAAGCAGGAAATGTTTCTTATTTTCCACATTAAATCTGAGCTCAAGTCCCAGTACATTCCTTTATGTATTCTCCACATCTTGTCAATAAGGATGGATAAAAGAAAGCAATGATAGAGTTTTCAGGCACTTAAAAACACACTGCAATGAGTCAAATTATATATACGCATTTAATGCACAAAATATTCTTAAGCAAATGCTGGGTGTATTAGGAGAGAGTCAGTCACCTGGCAGATACCTTTAACTAAAAGCAAAGGAAATTATTAAGCTGTAACAACTGAACTTTGCTGTCATTTGCTTCCAGGTCCTCAGAGCCCGTCTGGGGCTCTGGGCGAGGCAGCTTTACCTTTGGGATTGCGGAAGATGATGATGGCCGAGCGCTCCTCAGGCAGAAGCTGGACGTTCACCACGGGCCCAGCCCCATCGCTCACGTTCTCAAAGTACTCAGTGATATGGTCTGTAGAAATGCCAGCTGGTATGTTTTCAGCCTTGATGCTGGGCGTCAGCTCAAGAAGCCTAGCAGTTATTTTAAATTTCTGAAGTTGCCTGCTTTCTGCACAGAATTTGACAAATTCTTGAGCATCTGCAAACAGAAAAGCGGTAGTAATTGAGCACATTTTRCAGTATGATTAACAGTTCCAGCTACACCTATCACCAGCATAGTGATGAGCTGAGTCAGTGTACTGGAGTAAAACTCTTCAGTGCACAGAAATTTTCCTGCGTTATATTATAAGGTGAAAAACAGAAGCAGACATGTGAYTCTGTGCTGTTCACTAGCTCTATATCTCTGTGCAGTCCCTTGCCACTCAACTTGTGTGTAAACAAATCTTGTCGTTTTACTGTCCTGTCAAACGGAGACTTAAGTGAAATTCACATAACCCACCTCCATACTCTGCCGGTTTCTACTTCTTCTTTATCTATCCAAAATAACAAAATGCTGCCACCTGATTTCAACTCATGAAAATACATCATCTTTTTCACTGTAAATCTTGGGTCAGACAGGTATTTTAAGGGCGCCATGTATAACAAGACTTGCATCCTTCTTGACAGACTATCTCCCAGACAGACATTTTTTGTTTTTTTTTACTGTTTGAAAAGAAGCGAACTCGAGCTCTGAAAACTGCTATTCATAAACACACACGCCAACAATCAGCGAGGCTCATTTAGTCTTACCGATACTTTTTAACAAGGTAAGCACAGCAGTGCTTTTCTCAGGTATCATTTCCACATGGAAGTCTTCATGGACCCTGAAGCCRCTGGCATTCTCCAGCAGCCTACACAAGCCTTCTGTGCTGAGGTGCTGCACATTTTCCAGGGCCACCAATGGCAATATCTTTGTGGAGCACTCTGCAATATTCTCCATGGAGCAGGACCTCTCCTGCAGCTCAGTATTCAGAATAAAACTCTCTTTTGCCCTGCAGGCTCCTGCTGCTTCACCTACAACAGAAGTAAGTCATGTTACATACTGGCACGCATTTATGGAATAAGCATATTTTGCTTTCCAGTCTTTATTTTCTGAATGCTCATCTTGTCTACAGCTCTCCAGGAAGAAAAAGAGAAAGAAAGAATCGCAGAAGACTGCTCTCCACATGCCACCATGGCTTTATTAGCTTCTAATTTGCTGTGTGAATCAGCAGCTCCATGTCCAGTAAGATAGGTATGAAAAAGGCAAAAATGAAAACTAGGTTGATAAAACAAAAAATATTAGAAGGAGCATCTGGATTTTTTTTTGTAATATTTAGTGCTACTTTCAGCATTCCTCTCTAGTATAAATTAAAAAGATACAAAATTTTAGAAAAGTGTATGCTAAATTTGAGTATATAAACTTCAAAAGGAGGAAAAGTTTAAAAAATATAGCATTAAACAAGATTTCATATGGAAAGAAGAAGGTATGTGTGTAATCACTGAAGAACTTCCTGATTAACTGATCTTTCTCGGGGACTGGCTATTTACACTAGTGCAGATGTATTTTGACATACTGTACAATTTTCTGGATTGCATTTCAAATCATAAACCTTACCAGAATATTGCTGAAAGAAGACCTAACCAAAAACATCAACGAATTACAGAGATGCATCCCTGTTTTTCACAGAATCTCCTCAATATAGAGAATACAAAGGCACCCATCTTATTAGTTTCCCATTAAAAGTTTCAGAACCTGTGTTTGTATGTGTATATCATTTTAAAGCAGGTATCCAGAGTAAGGGAAATAAATCCATCTCTGGAGACATTCCTCTGCTTTAACAGATATGTTAGAAACTAGAAACAGGTGTGTGGTTTAAGGCAAGAAGAACTCCATCCTTGGTGATCACATCTAAAGCACTGATGACTGATTATCTTTCCATGTAACATCTAAGTCAGGCTGCCAAACTCACAAGAGAAATTTTCAGCACAACTCCCTGCAGAATTGGGAGACCTCTGCAGAAAAAAAGGGCACTGACACTTTCATTTTCTTGAAGAGTTGTTCTGCTCTCTTATACAAAAATACATAAAAGATCTGGTGATCTTTTCCAACCATAATGATTCTATGATTCCATGATCCTGGTTTTGAAGTTTGCTCATGGCACCCGGAGCATATAATAAAACAAAACATCCACGAATGATTTGGTGCTCTCACCAATATTTCAAAGCTAAAGTTAGGATTACATTTGCTGTTCTCCTTGGTAGGAACTAATTTTTCTTCAGATGTCTCCTCTTTGGTGGCTGTTTCCACCTCTGTGACAACCAAGTTCAACTTCCCCTTTTCTCCCAAGTCCAGCTCATGAATCTGTCTCTGAAGAACTCGCTGCCTCACTGAATAAAAACAGAAAACAGTGACAGCATTCAGTGGCAGACTGCACAGAAACACTACTTTTGAACTGCTAAGCATTTTCCTACCATTACATTATGACACATGCACTACGCCAGGAAATAAAAGGACTGTAAATTCGCAATGCTTCGTGGCGGGGGCGAAGGTTTCGTCCTGGCAAGGAACGGGGAAGAGAGGCCATCCCACAGGCCCTCTCCCAACCAGCCGTGCAGCAGAGACTGGGGCAGCAGCAAAATATAAACAAATATATGCACGTACAAGACATATATATGTATATAAAATACATTTACAGGCAAATACATAATATGCTATGAATGAACTTCATCTATATATTGCATACATGTAATTTTCAGAGTATATAGCTTCACAAAACCAGAGMTGAATGCTTTCCATCTTTCTTCAAGTTAATGCATAACTTTGAYATGTGATATCATACAATACRCAGCATGTTACATACAATACAGCATTCCTATACTAACCKACATTATAGCACGTTCTATCAAAGTGCCAGAGACAACCACTGCATATCGAAATTAGCATGTGTTAACGTACAACACAGGCCAACTTACGTTCTGGTAAGCTTTCTCTCTCAAAATTCAAGTTAGAGAGTAGGATGGAGCATCAAAATTACGTTTATATGTATCATTTAATAGTCAGTGCACACCACGTAATACACTATGGGCTATATATACACTATATCCTACATACTATACACCCCATATAAATAGTTTTATCTTTCAAAAGTCCATCTAGAGAATAGGGTTGAGCTTTGCAATTAAATTTCGATGCATAGATAGTATATACTCTACACCTACTGTACTATATATTACTAAATCATTGCAGTTTACAGAAGCTAACACGGACRCTACAGCTAACGCACACGAGCACGTTAAGCGGCACGTTCAGGTCTAAGACACGAGCTACAGCTGAGGCTCCTGGGGCACCTAGCAGGAAGGTGGGATGGGAGGGGGGTCCCAGCGGGGTCCCGGGGCTCCGGCGCTCACCGTCGCGGCGGGCGAAGCAGAGCAGGAGGCTCCCGGGCGCCGGCCCCGCTCGCAGCTCGCACTCGCCGCCGCCCGAGCGCTTCTGGCTCTGGAAGTAGCAGAGCAGCTTGTTCCGCAGCGCGCCCGGCGGCTCGGCCGAGCCCCAGGGGCCCCGCACCAGCAGCGGGAAGGCGCCCGGCGGCGGCGGCGGCGCCTCTCCCTGCGCGGCCATGGCAGCTCCGCAGCCACCGCCGAGCTCTGGCCAGGACCGGCGCCGGTCCCGGCCCCGGCTCCGCCCGGCGCTTTCGCTTTCCTTTCCCGGCAGCGCGGGCGCGGCTGCTCCGCACCCTGCTCCCTCAGTTGTGCTCGGCMCCGGGCGGGTTTGGCGGGGGCCCCGAGCGCAGGATCCGCTCCGCACCCTCKCCTAAGCAAAGGAGCGGTCGCCTCAACACGGCACCTGGGAGAGAGGACACCGCTCCTCACAGGACCAGGTGGTTAATCACGCGCTGAAACTTCAGAGCCGTGCTCTGAGCTCTGCTGCAACCGCAGGATGCGAGGGCAGGGGGCTGAACTGGCCCCCTGGGAAACCTGTCTACGGGAACTCACCCCCTGCAACCCTACTAAGTTTATTCATTTTAGATTCTTGACCTGACTTTAAAGCACGGGGAATTCGGTCAGCAGTTCCCAGCATGGCTATAAAACTGACTTCCTCCAGCAAGAGAAAGGCCAATGCTGCTGTGTCAGCGCAGAGGCAGGGAGCGGTGGGGTGSGGTTCCAGCTGCCAGCCTCATGTTGATGGTTCCACAAAGACAGCAGCAGGTTCAAAATTATTTTCTACTTCTGTGAAATGAAATATGGTCCTTGTCCTTGCTTACAGGGCACAGGGTCACCTGCAACGCAGAGCCCTGCCTTGGCTCTGGGAGGTGAATGGCCAACCAGAAAGCGCCGCTACAATTAAAAACCATCCAGTTTCCACCAAGGGCTTCTTCCATTAGTATTTAAAAGAAGATAAAGCAACAAAAAAACTTTACCACCCCTGTACAGGATCTACATTCCAATATCCAGAGCCTTCTGCTTAAAAAATCTAGTACTATTCTGGGGAGAAGTCTTTTCCATGCAAGAGAATTGCTGCGCTTACATGTCCAGTAGCAGTGCAGATGCTCCAGSCCTTTGCCCAGCCCTCCGCAATTCAGCAAGTGGCTCTACCTCTCTRGACACACGACTGCATGTCTGAATTCTGCTAGCACTGTTTATCATCTGCCTTATTCGTTTTAGCCAGATATAAAAATGCACCTGTTCAATCTGCAAATAAATAAAAGGTGATAATGATCAAYAATAAACCCTTGACAACATTGCAGAAAAGCTCTTTTGCTTCCAGAACCCCTCTGGATTTCTTTAGAGGGCCTGCAAGGGTTAACTAGTGTTAGTAGAAAGCTAATACTATACAGCCTAACTAGATATATCTAAACCCAACATCATTTACTTTGGTGATTTCCTCCTAACCACCCAACCAAGAAGAGAAAAACAAAAAACCAAAAWCAAACAAACAAACAAACAAAAAGTGCAAAACCAATTAAGTCAGAGTAGTGCCAAAGGGTTTTAGAAGCTGAAGGYGCTGCAAACCCCTGCTTCTTCAGTGGAAGGTGCTATGAGACACGATACACCCCCAAAAGGTATATTTGTGTATTCTCACAAACACATTGTACAAGTGATTACGTTGCTTTGCTTTCTCTGCAAAGATAAGCACTGAACTTGAGCTTGATTAAGGACTACCCTGCTTTGGGGCACCTGTTCATTCAAGCCCCAAAGAGGCTTTTTTTTTAAGCAACCCTTAGGGCCTTTCTCACTTCCTCTAAGGGACATTTGAAATTCAGTGCTAAGCAAGGGTCTAAACAAGGCGAAAGAAGGGTTGTATCTTGACTGCAGTTCATTCTGCTTTATTGAAAACACTGTAAATGTGTAAATGATTTGGATTTTTTTAAAATCATATCAATGTTTAATCATGTAATTGATGTAATCATATTAATGTTTAATCATGTTAATGTTTTTTAGATCATAAACAATGTTACAGGAAGAGTGAGATACTTCTAACAGCAAAGTATGTTGAACTGTAGCTGAGATCAGACACTCCTGACCCTATCAACACTAACCACCTTTTATTGCAACCAGGAAACTGRGACAGCTGTACACTGCAAAGAAAGGCCAAGTTCCAGTGTCCTAACATGTACCCAACAGGTAACCCATAAGCAATTATCAGTAGAAAAGAGCACTCAAAAGTGTTAAATGTTTTCCCCTCTGTACAGCAAAAAAATATTTAAACAGTCTTTTTCAGTACTATTAAAAGTTGCCTTTGGGTTGCTTAAATGTAAACAAGCTTTAAGAAATCAATGAGATAAAAATAGTTTCTGCTTTCACTGCATTTTTTTGTTACAAGAATTATAAGATAAAGACTAAAAGACATGCAATCTTAGCTGCAATTAAGATTGCTTATTTAGTGAAAGTGATGAGGTATTCCGGGTAAGCTTGAATGTCATTAAATATGACAAACATGGTTGGTTGGTTCACATTATCAGTTGAACTATCAAACAGATCTATAGAGTTACTAGAATTTTTTGGTGACGGAGTAATTGCTCCACTTCTCCCCACAGAATACTCTCCAACAAGGACTCGAGCAAGGTACATGTACTTCTTCCCCGTGGCATCTGGTTTGGAGTAAGTGTCACCTGCAGAATAGTTGGCATTAACAGCAAAGTAAGTTCCATTTCCATAGCTCGCACCTGTGGTCAGAAAAAAAAAAAGAATAAATAAAAACAAAAAGCAACAACAGACATTTGGGAGTCATAAGCAATAATCATTTATTCGTCACAGGATTCACAAGCTTTCAAACTGGCTATTTTGCTTTTCTTTGCAATAGCTAACTTTAGCAAAACAAATCATTTTGCATGCAAGGTAAAAATACACAGGGTGCAGAGCAAACTGCTCCCAGTCACACTCARCAAAACAAAGTGCTCTGAAATTCACCTTACCATTTATTCCAGCATAGCTCCGATTAAATCCACGGTTGTTAATTAAGGTTAATGAGTCTCTACTAGTTCCATGAAACAGAAGCCTTTCATTATTTCTGTTGCCATTTTTCTTATCCATTTCAAGCTTTTTTATTTGGTAGGCCTTCCAAGAATATGGGTTCTGTATCCTTTCAATCTACAAAGTTTGAAAGTAGGCGATGTTATTGAAAGTACTGATGGTTTTAGTGAGACAGCTTAAAAAACAAAGAAACAAACAAAAAACACTGCCCAGATGCTCTTCCTAGCTATAATGACTGTATACATGATTTATAGTCAGTGAATTCACTTGGTACTTTTGCATGACAGAAGGACAAAAAAAAACCTGCTTAAATCTTAAATAACACCATTACAATCTGCTTCACTTAGGCCTTAGTTTTTCAGTGAACATCCTATGTAAACTCTCATGTAGGACTTGCCTTTTGGGCAGCTGATGCCTACTATAGATGAGGCAGGTAGTCAGTCCACTGTCATGTCAAAAGTAGCTACTGCTTACAACCAGCTGGACACTAGATAACCTCAGAACCAACTCCATATCTTCAAGACAGCCCCACTCAGAATATTAACATTATAATCCCTTGGGTGATTAATATGCTAGCAAGGAGTCTGGCATATGCTACCAACACAGAAACAAGTAACACGAATGAGAACATTCATGTAAACAGTATACATAAAACACAGCCTTCACTGGCAAGTAGGTTTTTCATTCATTTCTGGATACGAAATCCCCTCTAATTACTGATTTTCAATTTCTGAATAAGTGGAAAATGAAAATTCATACAGGAAAAGAAACAGTGTGTACAGGCAGTCCCATTAAAATTGCCCTACTCAGCATTCTCTTAGCATCATAAACCTTGGTCCCAGAAGCAGATTCTTAAGAGCAGGGGGATGACTTTACTATAGGTTGAAAAGGCATTAACCTCACAGTTAGCAACACCTGTAGGGCTATCAAAGAATTTTATTAAAGATTTTGTACATCTTCAGACCATAATTAAAAGGAAATCCATATGATCCAAATAAAAATGGAGTAAGAATGCAGATCAAAACCGTGTCCCTTTCTTTTTCCATAAAGACTCATTCAACTTCAAAAATCTCATCTGACTTCATCATTCTTCATTAGTCATTATCAATGTACATATGCTCAGGAATTACATTTTTTTTTACCTTTTCGATTTTGAATGACAAACAGGTCTGTTGAAATCTTGCCTGCACATCTTTGTATTCTTTCATTTCTGGTTTTAGCTCCACTATTTTGACTTGCTCTGTTTGCACATCATCCCATGTTGCAGGGAGTACTATTGACTCTTGATCTGTAAGGGAAATCACATCAATTTACCAAAATCTTCTGCTTAAAATGATACTTGCCCTGTCATTTGAATGCTTGTACATCTATTTATCGTCTAGTTTATCCCTTGTGTCTGATGGCCTTTGGCAGCCAAGAATATTCCATGGATCTTTTACTAGAAGATTAGGGTACCTAACTTTGTTTTGTTTGTACCTAACTCTCCTTTGTTTCTCACTGTAGTTCCTTTGTACATTCTCCAGAATGTACAGGTCTCCAGACCTGTACAAAACTTCTAACAATGCTTGGCATATCTTCACCATTCCTTACTCCGCCTCAATGCAACCTATTTTTACCTGGCAATATCTACCTGTCAAGGTGCTTTTACCTACCTTTAGATTTATCAACACGGGCGATGACYGTCTTTCTTCCTTGAGCATCTATAGCATGCTTGGCTTCTATGTCCACTCTGTAATTCTGATTATTAATAGAGACTGAAATATATTTCTGCTTTCCTAAGAAAGCCTTTTCTAAATGCAAATTTGTCAGGTTGTCAAAGGACACAAAAGAATCATTTTCAAAGTATTTCCACTCAATTGAATTTTTTAGGAATTCTGCCTTGATTTTTTCATCTTCAGCAGCTTCAACTCTGTGAATCATATTTTGGATTTTTGAATGAGCAAACCATACATCTTTAGCAACACCTGAAATTTTAATAAAGTTATGTTCCAAATGAAGAATAATATTTAATTGCTTCTGTAGGTCATGCAGTTCTTCATTTTCCCTTTCACCAAAGCTCTGGATAAAGTCATTTGTGATTACTTCCTCATGCTGGTCCTTTGAAATTGCATTTTTGATCCAGGTTTCAGCTTCTTCCACCTGCTTTTGGTTTTCACCACAAATCTGAACAACAGCCACTTCAGTTTTCTTTTCCAAAACTGCTTTGCTTTTTTCCTTCGGGTTACATTTCTCAGAGCTCCAGCGTGCTACATAGAAATACAAACGCTACAGTTAGCATCACCTGATAATGGTTAATATTAAACAGATGATCTATGATCTGTATTTAGAAATGATAACTTACGTAATAGGCTGGAAATAAATGATTTGAATGGACCTTTTTTACCAGAACGTTCTTTTTTGAGCATGCTTGCATGGAACACACTTAGCAGATGGGGCTGAAAGATGACAACTTTCACTGTTTTCACAGAGTGAACAGAGTTATTTCTTGCAAAGTCAGTTATTGCATCCATCATTTCATCAGCTGCTGTGGTCGGATCCCGACCTGCTGCACCTGAAACAAATAATAAACATTTTGCATTTTTAAAAGGATTAACAGCTTCTACAATGGGCTAAAATATCAACAAAAGAACACCTCTCTGTGCTCCTACCCACAAGAACTTTAATCGTGAACCAGTCACAAATAACCTTACACTGGCTAGTTAGGTTTCCAACTAGCAGGGAACGAGGCTCAAGACCAGCTTTAGAGCAAGCAGGAAAGAAAAAGTTTACTTCTGTTAACATGCATTGATCAATGTGCATAAATGACTCAAGAGAGGGAGTGAGGAGGAGGGGGCCGGCCTCTTTTCAGTGGTGGCCAGCAATAGGACTAGAGGAAACGGCCACAAGCTGAGGCACCAAAAGTTCCACAGGARCTTAAGRAAAMATTTCWTAACAGTGAGGGTGACAGAGCCCTGGAACAGGCTGCCCAGGAAGGTTGTGGAGTCTCCTTCTTTGGAGATCTTTAAAACCCACTTGGATGCAGCCCTGTGCYACGTGCTCTAGGTGCCTCCRTGCGCAGTCAGGTTGGACTAGATGACCTCTGAGGTCCCTTCCAACCTTAAGCATTCTATGATTCTATGCACTTGATCAAGTTATGAAGTAGAAGGCTTGGTTGCCTAATAGGCCAGAGGACTTGCATTCAACAGCTTAGCAGCCAATTTTTGGCTTCAGAAGCAGGCCTAGYTTTATTCATGCAAGGGATTGTACACATTCTGTGTTACTTAGCTAGCATTTTTTTTACTAAACTATGAGAAAATAACAAGTGATCCAAACCATATAATCAGGCCATTTCGACAGGTTCACATTCAATACATATCAACTTTATTGGGCTCCTACTAAGAAGATTTGCATTATCTTCCGATTTTAGCAAAGAGAAGCAGTTCCCTGGAAATACTCCAATGAGCTGCTGAGACGAATACGGTTCTCYATGAGGCACAGACATATGGATCCCTCATATTAGAGAACAACAACAAAACAAAACAAACAGAAAACAACTCTGAAGTGCTTCATTTACTCCCTGCACTAGCTGACACCATGGAGTAAAATTTTTCAAGTCTTTATTATGATTATAACTTTTGGAGAGATCACAGTTTCCACATACCTTTTCACTAAAGAACAACCTTTTCCAGATAAATCAAACTGTTTGCTTGAGCCATGATTTCACCAGAATCACATACAATGAAACCTATTCAAAAACAGACACAAACCTGTTCCAATTGCTGGAAAGATGACAGAGGCATATTGCTGTAATTCACACTCCTGAAGCACTTTGGAGACTGGTACCTTGATATCATCCTGGGTAACAAAATGGATTATTCTTTTGCATGGCAGACATCCTGCTTGAGTGGTTATAAAGTCAYTGTTAGGCTGCAAGGCTGAAAAATACACAGGAGGAAGCACACAGTCAACAATTATCCACAGYGTAAACTCGTGCTAATCCTTGTTGAGGTAAGACAGTAATGACAACAATGCCCCAGGACAAGCTGCGAGGTTCCTTCCATATGAATCCCTCTCCAATTTACTTTCCAGGCCCAGAGATTCAATTTACACCTGCAATTTATTTGCCTTCATTCCTAAGTCTTCTAAGCCTGCAGAATAAAATCACACAGACCAAAGCTGCAGTCAGCCTTCGCACAAACAAATATGCCATATACTGCCATGCTGTCTAGCCTGAATTGTCCTCTTGGCCTGGCACAATTCAGGCCAACTTTTCACACCTCTTCCACATTATTTTTCTTCCCTGTGGTTGAACTTCTGATCTGACCTCCACACTAGCCTCTTTCCATCTTCCCATTATTTTGTGGGCTTTTAAGTCACATTATTTTTCCATTTCGAATCACCATTTGTTGCTGGTCATGAACTGAATTTGGTCTACAAATAAATGCCTCTTCTGAGGCAGGAACCCAGCTACACTAATTTTCCTTTTGGTCATGCAAAGAAGGTGGTAAAGTGTTGCTGCTTAGGCCAAGAGGAAATATTATTATGAATCTTCTCTCAGGAAGAAAACAAGTTCCAGATAGACAGCTGCTCTAAAGGAAGTATGCTATTCTATCAATGTTTCCGCCAACACCATTCTCTGCTCATGGCTCTGTTTGACACAGACTTGTTTTATTTTTAGCATCAAAAGTTTTAATGGAATAACAGGATGCAATAATGAGTAGATTAAGCTCTTTGTATTTGTTTATAGGCTGTCTCAATTTTTTTTCCCTTTCTCTTCCTTCATTAGCAGTTTTACAAATACCACGTTAACCAGCTAAAGAATTAGCTGATACAGCACAGTACATATAACAGCTGGATGCACAGTAGGCACTTAGAGGGCTCAACAGCTATATGAACACCTTTAGAAAAGAGATCAGAAATGCTGCACCATACCTAATTGGGTACACTCATCTTGAACAGCTTGTCCAGCGCCTTCCAGAATCGCTTTAGAAACACCTTAGCAAGAAGAGACATACGACTTCACTGTTACTACTGTTAATATTATTAAAGCCCCATCTAAGACACAACATGGTACCATRTATCACCTACAAATCTCTAATTTCTGACAACAATACAGGTTATAACCAATAAACATTGTTGCCTAAGAGTTTGGCTTACATTTTTTCAACTCAAATTGATGTCCGAAGTACCTAGCAAGTTTTGCTGAGATCCTCACTGAGGTTTGTCTTTTTATTTAGCCTGAAAAGAGATGCTCTATAAAAAGATTCTATGAAAACAACAAAAAGAAGAAGAAAAAGAATTACTTTTGCTTTTCCATGGGAATGTTAAACATGACATCCTGCAACACAGACTAAATAGTTTGAGATTTGAGAATACCCTGAAGATTTTTATCTTAAATTTTTTTTTTTTTTTGATTTTCTTACATTGAAAGAGAGAGCAAGAGACAGTCTCAGATGTTTCCTAGGACTTTCATACATTAAGGAATAAAATGGGAACTACACTATAAAACAAAATGTTTTAGAATACTTGAAAAAAAAAATCCATATTCTCCTTATCCGGCCCTTCCAAGCACATGTTCTGTTTTCATCTATAATATCAAGTAAAGTACCTTTTCTGAGGTTAAAGCTTCTGTTCGTTATGTTTACAATGACATCTGATTTTTCCTTAGTAATATCTCCCATAAACACCTGGAAAACGATAGAGCCAATCATCATTTCATGTACATCTTGTGCCGGGGTTGAAACAGGGCCAAAGAAAGCTGCAGGAAAGAGGCACACAGAAGAGTAAGAGAGAGCAGAACTTCCTTGGGCTGAACGACCTATTCATGGGTATAACATCTACAGAGATGACAGTCTGGCCCTAGGCTCAGCCAGTGTCATCCGCGTGAAGGAGAAATCTGAAATTTGATCATTTCTTTTCACAGGAGTCTCTGAACAGCCTTCACTCATTCCCATCACTGCTTCCCACCACTGCTTCCCACAATGATGTGGCACACAAACTGTATTTTGCTGCATGCCTGGCGTAGAGACACTTCTGTGCAACATCTTATCCTATAAGACTTGGCTAAACTTGGAGSTAGGAGAGAGGCAAGCTTGCCAAGTCTCGCTCGCTGCTCCTCTCTCTATATTTTAAAATAGATTCTCTGCTACATGACAGGAACTTCTCACCTACATGTTTTCACAATATAACTAATTTTCTGCACTCTGTAGTTGTTTCAGGCTAGATAGTAACCAGAGTTTGTATCTTTACTAAAACCAAAGCTGAAATAAACAGGCAAAAGACTTGAGAGTATTTCAAAGAGGCACGCCCCTTGAAGACATGTACAAGAAGATTTTCATCTGCATTCTCAGGAGACAAGAAATTGCCCCATTTAGGATGCGGTCAAGTACAACAGTAATAACAGCATCATTACTGCATACTCAACCAAAAAGCTCCAAAGCTGAATTTGTACATTCAGCCACACTATAGCTTTCAGGAGCTGTAGCTTTGGGAGTGTTTAACCAGAAAATGAATCCTGTGCTGAATGAATTCTTGGTGCAGGCCTTCATGCCTGCATCAGCATTTCAAATATTACACACATATCCTGAAGTTACTACTGATTTCTGTCTATATTGCAACCACTTCAACTCCAGTATTAACAGTTCTTACTTGGACTTCAGGCATGACATACTCACCAAATGCTTATCGAAACACCTATACTGAACACATTTCCTGGAGCACTTTATTTATTTTTATGTATTTCAAATTATATATATATATTATATTTTATATATATAAATTATATATATATTTGAAATACATAAAAATAAATACAATACTTTTTGAAAATAACCTTACTTGTGCTTTGGCTAGCCTCACTTGGAGCAGTCTCCTGCATTTCGCCTACAGTACTTCCACGTCTCCGCTGCAGTTCATCTGAAAATGCCTGGAACAGAAAACTACAGTCAGCCCCTGTAGAAAAGTCTTTACTTGGTCACTGTAAAATTAAAGTTAAGAAGCATTTACAAGAAAGATAATGCAAGTGCCTTAATAACCATCTGCCAAAGTGCTGATGGATATAATTGGAAAATAACTTCTAAGTCAAAGCCCTAATTACCACTCCAAAAGGATACATGAACTGAGAGCACCTTTACTTTTGGGGGCTACTTCACACTAACTCAGGTCTACTTTTGTTAGTTGCAGCTCTGTGCTGTAGCTCCGTCTCTATCACAACAGCAGTCAAGTTTGGCCTCTCAAAAGTATTAGCTATTGCACATACATCAGAACCTATCAGATTTTGACACATTTCCTGGGYATTATTTCACAGCGTGACTGCATTCTTTTAAGAGATTCTACTGTGAAATGAGAAACTTGAGTGTGGACGTAGAGAACTTGGGCCATTGTGACAGTGAAAAAAGTGGGATGCAGAATCATGTAGGAAACATTTCTGGACAATTCAATTCTTGAGACATTTACCAGCACAACAATTCAAACACAGTTATTCATCCTAAGAAAGATAAACCTGCCCAAAGTGCTCCTTTTTTCCAAGGATGGAGGTAGCTATGCAGGGGTTGTAGTAAATTTATCTGTAGACAAGCACTACAGAATAATCACACAAGTGCATGAAATGAAAATACAATTACTCYGCTATTTTTATCACTCCCAGGGAATAAAACAGGACAGGAAGGAAGGAAGCTGCCCAAGAAAGACAAAATTCAAAAGAGAATTTTCACTACAGACAACAGAGACTGTCAGCAAACTGCTCTTTTCTCCAGTAGAATGAACACACTTTGGATACTTCTGAGGTCATCAGCTAGCTAAGTACCATTTGACGAACCCAAGCAGGAAAAACTCACCTTCACATTACATGTGTCTTTCGGATACAGTAAGAAGTGAACTTCTTCAAGGGAATTTATTCTTTYTTTATTGCTGAATTCAAACACTTTGTCAAACAGTAATTTGGCAACAACAGGCTTCGGAAATCCTAAATTCCCTGTCCCAATTGCTGGGAAAGTGATCGACTTTAAAGACAGCTCCTCGGCAATTTTCAGGCATTCTGTGATGATATTTCCAAGGATCTGAAAAGCATAATTATTACTAAAGTTTTTTTGGTTTTTTTTCCTAGTATGTGAAATTCAGCATTTTTAATACCAAAAGACAGCTAAAATAAAACTAGCATGGTTACATACATCAAAAAGTACATATTAGTCAACCACACATAAAAGAACAGCCCAAACTCATCTCCTAYGAATTTATTTCAAAGGAAAAGTTGCATTAAACCCACTGCAAGGTGCAACCAAATTACAGTTTAAAATCCCATTTACCTTTTTTTCAGATGAACAGCCCTGTGACCACCTAGGTAAAATGGTGTGAAGCACGTAATGGCAACCTAGACCGTATCCTTTCGTTTTCAACACGGATCCTTCACTGGGTGTACTTTTTAAGCCTTCTTCCTTTAAGGCTGTCTGAAGCATTGGCCCTGCCTTGCTTAGCAAGATTTTGGAGAGTGGCCCTTTAGTAAGCTCCAGATCTTCAGCAACACTGTTGACAAYAATGTCTGTCTGAAAAGAGGTGGGGAGAGAGAAACAGTCACAAACTCCAGTCAGTGCAAAAATTAAGCTTAAAAGCTATCAAAATGCAGCCTGTCTGCTAACTTACAACATGAATTTTTGAGATAGCTACCTGGAATGTAACAAAGATTTGGAATAAAATAAACAAAAAAAACTATGTTCAGTTCCAACACCCTCAGCCTGCTCACAGAAGTAGTGGAAATTCTGCAGAAGAAAGTTAAAAGTCTGCATTCTTGGTCTACTTCGTCTACCTCCCTTTAAAGAAACATTTATCCTCTACAAGAAGCTTGAAGACCAAGTTCTGTGTCCAAATTTACTACCTCCCAGCAAGATAGAGGTAATACAAGGCAAAACTCCTGCTCAACTCTTTGCCCATTTTGCCCTGCAGTCTCAACAGACGCAAGCAGGAACTTAGGTATGCAATTGGTCAAAAAAAAAAAAAAAAAGAGAGAGAGAGAGAGAGAGAGAAAGAGAGAGAGAGAGAGAGAGAGAGAGAGAAATAAAAGCAGAAGTTGTAGAACAGAATTGGAGGAAGAAGAAAGGGGAAAGAAAAGAAAAATGAGAAAAGCAGCCATTTAGAAAGGAAAGAAATAAAAAGGGCTAAGAATATTGTATCAAGCCATCTTCACCTCTTGAGGAAACACCTCTCTCCATCATATTTTTTATCATATTTGTTCTGCTCCAGGCAAGTGGAGAGGTTCTATATATACAAGTTGTAGGAGATGACCCCTCCTGAAGGTATCAGCCRGTCACTATGTAAAGAATTCTGAGAGGAGTTGCTTCCAGTTGCAGTGATCCCAGTCAAGTAATTTTCAGGCAAGCTAATAGGAATTTAATGCTGAAGGTAACTGGAAATTGGTAAAGTTGGTGCCAGGCAGGGTATGAGACTGCAGCTCTACGCTGCTTTCCAATGATCACCAGTAATGTTAGAACAGCATTTCCCCAGTAAAACACTGGGGCAAAAGAAGGAACCCTATTTTCACTGGATCACTCAGAAGAATTAGATCAACTGATGTGTCAAAGTCAATGCCTTGATGTTTGAGAGTATTAAAAGCCATATGTGAGGAAACAAGCATTCACCTCAAAAGCTGAGACAAGTCTACAGGGGTCCCCTGCCCATCAGGGCACAAGGTTACCTGGAATGCAGATCAAAGTCCAGGTAGAGCTACTCTGACTCCAGGCAAAGGGCTCAGCAGCACCAGCATATGATCAGATGAGTGGCTGTGCTGCCCTAGCCTCCTTGGGGAGCTGGAAGCAGCATCACTTCCACGTGGAAGGGCACTCATGTGAGCTGGCACTCAGTACCCTCTTTTGCTTCTGTGCACATACTATCTCTTTACTAACAACACTCCTGTGATCAGGGTTTCAGGAAGGTCAGTACCACATGTGAGTGGTTCCTGCCCAGCAATCTACACAGCAAGGTTTTGCTGAACCACTTCTCTTGAAAAAAACAGTTGTTTCTGCAGAACTGGGGCATCAGGCACTGCAGGGATCCATTTATCTCTCTGTATGTAGCTATGTAGCATTGCCTTGTGTCATCAACTATGGGCATCCATCATGTAATAACAGTTGCTGTTCAAAACAAAAATTATCAGCCGTGACTGCCAATTCCAGTAACATAGCAACGCAGATGATCTAAGTTCCTTTTTCACTTYGTCCATACTTTAAAAATGAGTTTTACTTAAAACTAGACCAACAGCTGATAATTTAACACACTTACTGTAGCATCTGCAATGCTTCCTTTTTTCAGCAGAATGTCAAGGCCTTCTTCTGTTGTTACCATCACGAGGCTGTCGCTATTTTGAGAACTTTGGCTTTTCCTAGGCTGATTAATCTGACTGACTGAACCCTGGGGATGCAAATTATCCAAAAACACTTCTTTCAGTGCCTCACTGAAAGCCTGAATATTTTTCTCTGCAACATCCACAAGATGAACTTCGCTCAAGCTATTGTTCGCCATGGATTCCAAGGTTTCCTTGATGGATGATACAACTGAATATGTATACAGTTGCACTGGAAAGCCAAAACTCCCAGTACTTATAGATGGGAGGGCTATGGAGCGCTGATTGTATGTTTTGGCCAGGTGTAGGCAATTCTTCACTGTCTTTCTTAACAACAATACACAATTTTGTGCTTCATCTTTCCTCCAGGTGGGCCAAACAGCATGAATCACATGTTTGCAGGGGAGCTTCCCAGCTCCTGTGATAACAGCACATCCAGGTTGCAAACAGCCCTGCTTTGTCAGCTTGTCACACTCTTCTTGGAGCTCTGGACCGGCCGCTTGTAAAAATGCCTCYGTAAGTTTTAAGCCTTCATTTGATGCATTTACAACAACATCAACATGATGAGTGCACAAGTCAGCTTTACGAACTTCTATCAGAATTCCACCTGCAGTCATCTGCACGTAGGGCTTGCTTCCCCTACCCTGCTCTTGCTGTTCTGGCTGCTCTTCCAGCCTGACTATACAGTTGAAGGTGTTTTTTGCAGTGGCAGCATAAAAGTGTTCTCGTTCTTTCAAATATGACTTGGCTCCTGGCTCACTAATTAACACACGCTTATAACACAACCTGCAAAGAATCTGTTCTACTAAAGTGACTCCCTTCAACACTTCTCTTCTTGGCCCCCTCAAAGAAATAACGCTATCCTGCCCTTCTGTGCCAAAGTTGACTTTCACGCCATTATTTTGCAATGTAGTCAACACCTTTCTCTTCTCTTTCTTGAAGAACATTACGACTGCCGTGGGCTTTCCTCTGATGAACTGTTGCACTTGAGTGTTTCGATCTATAAAGTCAGAGAACTCCTCATAAGCTTTTTCCACGGCTTGAGAACAGCCAGCAACAATGACCTGTCTTCCTACCCGAGTGACTGATACAGCTGCACTAAAACAATTCTGGGTGGTGAGCAACCTCCATTCTTCCTTCTGGAGGACAGACTCATCCTCCAGATCAATGCTTCTGTGGTTCAGTTCCCTCTCTATTTCATCTTCTGCTTGTTGGAGCATTTCAGAAGTACTCCCAGTCAACATAATAGCTTCCTTTTCAAGCTCATAGAAAGCACTAATTTGTTTTGACATAAACAAGCTCTGTGACAGAGTTTCATTATCCACATACTCTAAAAACTGCAAAATATGAGGGTGAACATTAACTGATTTCTTTACCAGTTTGTGCATATTATCTAGGATTTCACCTTTGACTTTATAAGCTTCCTCAGACACTCCACGGAGGATGATTATCTTATGCAAGGGATTATAAATCATCTGCAGAGTTGGGCATTCCTTACGAATTTTTTCTTCAAGTCCAATAACCTGTAAAATTGCATACTCCCCTGGACACACACTCACAATTTCTTCAATTTTTTTCTTCTCTCTTTCAATTTGCTTGGTGGCATTTTCTATCAGCAACTTCACCTCTTCTTCAATATCCTTCAGAAACTCTTTGTCACCTACTAGAACAAGCAACTCATTGTGAACAAATGGGATTATCAAGACTCCATCTGGGGCAATGCTATTGCTAACAGCATCCCACACCTCTGCACTTATTTGAAATGTAATTGATGTGTACTTTGATATACTACATGAAAATGCTATGGAAACACTGTTATTCCATGTCTTGATCAATCGAGCCATTAATCTCTTCTGCATGGACAGATCAGCTGCAAAATGCAAAGTAACTTTTGGGTCTTCACAGCTGGGTTCAGGCCATGTTAGCAGACAATTACACTTTGCCATATCACAATTGATTGTCTCCATTAGACTATGATTTTTTTGTAAGAACTGCCAGATATAAAGATCCAGAGGCACTGTAACTGGATCTGGCTTCTTTATTTGAGGCCCTTCCTTTCCATAGAGAGCTGTTCCCAATGACTTATAGTAAGGATAGACAAAGATGGGGACTCTGTTGAGTGAATGCTGCTTTGCCAAGATATTGAGCACATCTAAAACACACAAAAAAGATACAGAGGAACAATCAATCACAGCACTTGAACTCAAGGATCTTTTGCTCTGTTTTTCTTTCTTTTTTTTTTTTTTTTTTTTAATTATATACCATATATTTTTAATATATGTAAGATTTTACAGCACTTTTCCCCCCTTCTTTCAAAATAATTCCAAATTACTAAAGAATTACTGTTTGTAAAGACTAATAAAATAAATTAGGAAGAGTTAGTTAAGTACTGACTCAATCCCCCTTCAAGAAGGAATAAACACAGGATGGGGCTGTCTCTGCCCCCACTTCTGTTATTACTGAGTTGTGCTCTCTTAAGTACAGTATATGTCTGGGCTACTCATCACCAGCACCAAGTCCCACCTCTTCCAGCCTCCCCCTTCCTTGTCCTTCATCTTCCACAGAGGCTCATTTTTCTAGCACTAGGAGGACATGCTACAGCACCTGCTGCCTGGTCAACACTTTGCCCAAGAAATTGCTCTCGAATAAGCCCAACAGCACAAACTGCCTCAAGGTGGCTGATAAAATAAATGGCCTCCTGCATGCTGTGCAGCTGCGCTCACCCCTCTTGAGCTCAAACGGTAACCTACGGAGCAACTCCAGGGTGAACTAATAAACTGTGCCTAAAAAGAAAGAAAACCATCTTGCCTAGCTAGCCCAAAACTTTAGTTTGAACTCCAGTTATTAGAGACCTGCTGACAAAGCATCTGATATGCTGTTTTATAATGGCAAAATATTTTTTTCTTTAAGAAAAAGAAAATCATTTTAAAGTCAAGGAATCTTGACGAAATAAAGATTCTATTTTCTGTATTACCTTTATGATCACTGAATGTAATGATAGCTGCACCTTCATCATGCAACTGCTGAACATCCACCACTTGTGCACTTCCATTCTTTTTGTTCTCAAAGTAGATGGTAATATAGTCATTGGGGGTGTTAGGTGGTATATTTTCAGCCATAAGGCTTTTCGTCACCTCAAGGCATCGTGCAGTAATACCATGTTGCTTTGCTCTGTTATTTTGATTAAATTTTCTAACAAATTCATCTGTGGCTAAAAAGAGAAATGATAAAAAACAAACCACAGTATCAAACAAGCAGCTCACTTTTCTGCTAGTAAGTTAGCAGACCATCACTGCATGCACTGACCTAAGCGCTGAGTTATGAGGCATCAGTTAACCTGATGCTACCCACAAAGCTACTTCTTTCCATTTATTCAGTTTCTGCAGTCTGATGTTCAACAAATAATTTATTACAACTGCTGAGCAACAATTAACTGTAACCACAATTTGTCACTACTTTACCAACTAAGTAACACTTTTTTTTTTTTTTTTAAACCCCAAGACAATCATACTGGAGTCATCTATTTAAATTTGTATTCTGTGATTTGTATTATACTCAATTTTGGCTACTTTTGTTTCCATTATCATCATGCAACAAGCCAGTTAAGTCACTTTTAGGTCTATCTGGTAAATGTCTAATGAACCTATTGAAGGGTGTACCTATATCCTCAAGGCTAAACCAGAAATCTGGAACTGAACCAGTGTAAGAGGTTGGCAACCCAGGCTCCTTACCAGTATTTCCAGAAAAAGTAATTACAGCAGCATTTATTTCAGGTATCATTTCCACACTGAAGTCCTTGTCTTCCTCTGATAAACCACTGATATTCTCTACCAGCATAATTAACATGTACTCTCCTACTGTCTCCTGCACATCTTTGAGCACAACTAAGGCAGGAGGCACAGATTCTTGAGAGTTCTCCACTTGGAACAGGTCCTGGATAGTCTCCACCTGCCAAGGCTTCACCAACAGCTCAATTTTCTTCACTGAGTGATGATCTCTTTGCAAAACTTCCTGGGCATCTAGTTTCATAGAGGGGAAAAAAATAAAATAAACACATACACACACATGAAGGATGCCATTTACATTCTCCCTACATAGAACAGATAATACACCAACCTTCTTCAACTGCAAAAAGGTCTTCTCCAAATTACTATCATCTAAAAAATGGCAAATAAAGAAAGGGCTTTCCAGCCTTCTTGTTCTATGAATTTAACAGATTAGGAGTTTCTCCTCTATAACAAMACAGTTTCCTCATATTGTGTAGGTTCTTCACCTACTAAGTAGTAAACAATATTCTGGCAGAAGGAAAAAACATAAATAGAAGCTATTTTAAACTTATTTTCTCCAAGAAGGTGAGACAGCACTYTCTCAACCTGCTACTGATCTTATGACATGAATTAACAAATACGTTTTTCAACAAGGGGTCCTGCTGGCTCTTGGCTTATGCCAATATGGGTTTCCTACCGTACGTGCACACGGGAGCTGAGGAGCTGTCAGTCCTTATGGGAGTGCTCAGTAATTCCTATTAAGTACCTAAATTTATTCCTCGGCCACCTCTTACTCATTATTGTATCCACACCAAAAGATTTACTAAAGCCACTTGAAGCCTCACAAAAGATCAAGGCAAASTCAAAACAGCATTTTCTTTAAAACAACATTTGGTTCCTATAAATTCATGGCATTTACTTTCTTTTTTCCTTTCAGTGTCCAAAACATCCTGGCAGCTAAGATTAATATGAAAGTAAATATAATAGGAGCGTGTTTACTCACAATCTGCAGCTGTGCTCTCTTCCACCTCCTAAACTAGCATGAAGCTTTCTTATTCTGTAGCGCTCCTCCCACCAGTTCTGCATTATAATGTGTGGACCTTGAATCAGGCATCCAGAATCGCTCTGGAGAACCACCTCTTTCCTAAAGGGTCACTAGAAGTACTGGTAGAAATATATCTGCACTGAATAAGTCTGTTCCTTTTACATACAACCTTTCTCTCTCTGGGAGTACACCACTTTCACACTRGCAAAGACCACAGAAGATCCACCTCGAGCAAAGGTCTTTTTCTAAAAGGATGCTTTAGTAATATTAAAAAAAAAGCATAAAATATGATCATACCTCTCTCATCCTGAAAGGTAATGATTATTTGCTGATCCTTTCTGATGCACGACTTAATGGGTCCCCCACCAGACTTCTTCTTATTTTCAAAATACATTTCTGCAATCTCATCTTCTATTTCCTCCCCAGACGCTGTGGTTACTACTATGACAGATTCCCCAGAAACTGCTGTTTCTGCTCTTAAGTTCCCAGATGATTCTGAAATCAAAGATTACACTCTGATGCCTCAGTCAAAATTAGGAGACAAAAAAAATGATAGACAGCAACTCAGTTGTGTTTCATGGTATTTTTTAAATTCAAAACAAGCTGATCATATCACCAGTGGAAAATCAACAGGGGATGAGTAAGGGCTTCWAGGTATCCTCAGGTAGGGACAGCAAAAGAAAGGGCTATAAAAGCTTCTTCAAACACTCATGAAGAAGAGAACCATCATTTTTCTCCCTGTGCCTTTCCCCATTTATGTTTCCTGCTGCTGCTATGAACTACCATGGGTCCACAGATGAAGCCGTAAGCACTGTCAGGTGATCCTGGGCTACAGATAGCTAGTGACACTCTATACCACATCACCTAGGTGGGATGAGAGGCCTTATGCCCTCCTCACAGCTGGGGCTGGTGACAGCCTCAGCAGGTTTGGGTAGGGACAGTCTARGGCACCCATTACATGCACTTCCTAAGAAGGGACCTTTCTGAGAGAGTAAAAGAAACAGGAAGTTTCATCCTAGAAAGATTCATACACACGAAACATGAGTGATACTTAGCCTCAAGTAATGATTTCTACATTATATTAGACAACCACTACAAGTCGTTTAGTGTTCCTAACACTGCTGCAGCATAAAGGTCAATGGAAAACCAACAAAGTGAGAACATAAATGTGTTTACTTGAAAGGAGGCATACTTACCCCTTTGTTTCTGCTCAGTATCGCCCAAGGCCTCCTTACCCCCACAGGTTGGAAAAGACACCTGTGGTTCTTTAACAACAGACAAATTAAAAAGCTATCTCAATTACTGGGCACTTCRAGAAACAAACGGTCACAGTTCTTAGTTCAACACCTTGCATAGCCTGAATCTAGTTGATACTGCCAGAATCACTAACATGAGTTTATCTTTAGTGAATGTTGAAAGAACATTCAGAACAGGGTGTTCAGAAACACCCTGTTAGCTCAAAGGCTAAAGAGGAAGTGCTCGAGGAAAGAAGAAACAGAAAGCCTGAAGCCAGCCTGAAACACAAGCGCTTGACAAGACGCCGTTTCCCACTGCTCCCCAGGCCCCGTCCCGGCTGGAAGAGCCGCGCGGTCCCAGCGGGGCGCGAGTCACGCGGCTCCTACCTGCTGCCCGGGCCGCGCTCGCCGCTCCGGCCCCCTGAAAGCACAAGGACGGGAGAGGCGTTAGGGGCTCCCGCCGCGGCCGCCACCTCCCTCCCCGCCACCGCCGCCCGCCTCACCTGCGCGGCGTCCCCGCCCGCGGGCGGCTCCGTGACGAGCAGCGCCAGGCGGCCCCCTGGCCCCCAGTCGAGCTCGTGCGAGCGCCGGTCGAGCACGCGCTGCCTCACTGCGAACAGCGCGGGCAGCGGCTGAGGCGGCGGGGCGACGGCCGCCCGCGCCGCCCCCCGGCAAGTAACGGTCACCCGCGCCCCCTCCCCGGCAAGTAACGGTCACTCGCCACTCCCCCCCTCCCTCAGGTAACGGTCACTCGAGTCCCCCGCGCCGCGCAACGGCCGCTCGCGCGCCTCCCCCTCCCGGGCAACGGTCACTCGCGCCCGCGCCCCGCTCCGGCGCTCACCGTCGCGGCGGGCGAAGCAGAGCAGGAGGCTCCCGGGCGCCGGCCCCGCTCGCAGCTCGCACTCGCCGCCGCCCGAGCGCTTCTGGCTCTGGAAGTAGCAGAGCAGCTTTTTCCGCAGCGCGCCCGGCGGCTCGGCCGAGCCCCAGGGGCCSCGCACCAGCAGCGGGAAGGCGCCCGGCGGCGGCGGCAGCCCCTCTCCCTGCGCGGCCATGGCAGCTCCGCAGCCACTCCTGKCCTCGGGTCCCTGGAGGACCGTGACTCCCTCGCCGCTTTCGGTTTCATTTCTCCGGCGAGAGGAAAGCGGCAGCGCCGGGCTCCGCCCCGCCGGGGCATGGAGCCGGGGGGACACGCTGCCCTTCTTCCCCCTCGAGCTGGGGCTGATGGTGCGAGACCCCCCGGCGCAACTGGGGSTGTGTGAGGGGTCTCGGAGCATGGCTCAAACGGACAGCGTCTCTAACRGGGATTTGGGTAGTGCCCAGATTCCCAAAATGTCCTGCAAAAGGCAGTTATCTAGCTTTTCATCATTTAGTGCAAAAAATACTGCTAAAAACCGCTAAGAGTGCAATGGATGAATATTTTCCTCCTGAATAATATTTAACCCAGCTGAGAAGCATGCCTGGTATCTGGAAGTTTAGAGGTTCCTATAAACGCAACTGTTGTGGAGGATGGTTTCAGTTTCTGTTCTTGGTGCCTATTTTAGGTTAACCCTTGATACTTAAACTTGATACTTTAAAACAGTGAGGTAAGTGAATAATCCTYACTGCAATGTCACTAAGGAAACATTAATTAATAATCAAATATCATTAAGTAAAATTAACACATGTGGCTGTGCTGCATTGTCGCATATCCCGAGGAATTCCTTTGTTTCATAGCTCCCGCTAAATCCATTTCCTCAACTTCTCTTTTCTCAGCAGGTAGTCTGGGTACATGATTTCTTCCCTTACTGTCCCCAGGCAAAATAACTGACTTTGACTGCAAAATTGTTTATTGCTGAACTATGCAGCTATGATTAGGAGATAAAAGGTTGGTGCAGCTCTCGATGTGGAATAAAGTTTTGGGAACATTAAGGAACATGTTCCCTGACTGCTATGCTGGCTCTCGGCCTAAAAACCTTACCCAGATAAAAGGCAAGCAGCTGAATTTTCACTAAGGGAGCTGATATAGGCTGGGATCTAATGWGGGTTGGGAGGGAAAGTAAAAAGACACAGCTGAAGAAGGAGGGGAAAATTTGAGCTGCACAGCTGGTTCACTATGCAGAAGCAATTTGGTAAGCCTGGATATTTAGGAACAACTGGTAGCTTGCATCTCACTGCACCGAAGATGGAACAAACTTAGAAGCGCAGGAAAATGTAAAACTAAATGAAAGAAAAATAAAAGCACGGAGTGAAAAACTTTACCAATGCAAATAGAAATGGAGAAATACCCACTATAAAGAAATCTGAACATCAAGGAGATGGACTGGTATTGCCTGCTAACAGTGTGGGAATCTAAGGATCATCGAGTCCAAATCACTTTGCASAGATGGCTTGGAAGCTCTTAAAAATACAGAACTCTATCTAAAACAGGAGGAATTTTATGGAAATTTTAAAGAAGAATGCAACTGAGCAGATGATATTTTTACCTCTGCGCAGTTGCCTTTGAAATTTTCATAGTTCACTAGCAATTAACAACTGCATTAAGTCAAAGCTAATCATTTTACAACATCACAGTCATCAGCAGCATGGAGTAGCAGCAAATCATCTTTATAATAAAATTTAAATAATATGTTGAAAGCAATGGGAGGAATACAGTATTGTTACATGTAAAGTTGACTTAAAAGTTATATTTAAGCCTAAAATACAATGAAAAATTCAGAACTMGGGCCTTGTTATCAGAGCTGCTCTTAAGCACTGATATCCCTCGGCTCCAGTGAGGCTTTGAGCATTAAGTATTCCTGCAGAGTTAAAAATCCATCAGCATCTACATTCCCTACAACATTATCCATGCTAATTCCATGTTTTAAACCCAAACCATTAATGACATATTCTCTCTGAAAAGGAAAAGAAGCATTCTGATACTGATACTAGCTACAAACACTTCTTCCAGCTACAATCCTATCTATGGTGACAGTTGTTTAATTAAAGAAAAGCCAGTAGTAGAGAGTGAACCTCAGATTCATTCATTCAAAAATGAGAAAAAGATACAATTTTGATATTTGATTTTACCTAATTAATTTGAGGTTAAGCAAAAGTTTAACTTCCTTTCTAAAAGAAAGGAATCTTCTGAAGGATTTTAGCCAGAAAAAGATGAAGCACATTTTAAGTATATCTTCTTCTGCATTGCATTTGTAGTCAAAGCTTTTGCTGAATTTAGCCCATATTTGAAAAGGTTTAATTTTCTTAAGTTCTATCATTTAGTAAATCAAAATTGATCAATCATGAAATAATAAACAGTAAATATTAATGCTGCACTCAGAAGACTCAAATTTTCCAAGTTACTTACACAAGAAAGCGTGATGTAAGTAAGTAAAAGCTTTGTAAGAAGAAAATGTATCTTGTGATTAAAACACATTTCTTTAGCTGACTGTGAAACACAAATGCCTATGGCAGTTCTACAAAGAAACAGTAGATTTCCTGTATGTTCTGTTATTACACTTGAAGGCAGAGAGTTGATAGGATTCTTTATTCAATTCCTTTTGCTTTCAGTTCTGATCGGACCCTCTTCAGATAATCAGGATCAGGATAACCAAACCTAGGAGAAAAGGATAATAATTACTTGGGCTACTTCTGCAATGAAGTACTTGACAGTTCTACACARCCTTCCCATACAAATTCCTTAAAACATTTTCAACTTTTATATGCTTACTCTRAAGAGAAGACAGTCCTCATTTCACAGGTGTTAGAAGTGGTACACAAAGGGTAAAGCTAAAAATTTACAAAATATACAGCTGCTGAATTTGGGTGTCCAAACTGATACTAAGAAGGTGATTTCCAGAGTTGCCTACTGTCTTATTTGAAATCAGGATGGCACTGGGGTATGTAGCTTTCTAAAAACCAGACTGGAAACGGCTCCAAGTGAGATGTCTCAGTGGCTTGAGGGGTGGCAGCGGATCAAGCACATCCTTGTTTCAATTGCCCAGACTGGTGCTGTGTTGCAATGCAATACTGTCTGTGCCACTTGAACTGGTGATGCTAAGCCAAAGTGTTCTGGTGAGGTGGGAACCCACCATGTCACAGCCAGGTGAAGGGTGTGGAGGTGGATTAAACCTGGACTCATAGCACAATCCACAATCCCTCCGCCAGCGACAAGCCAAGGAAGGTGATTTAGGCTTTCCAGGGACTTGCCCTGCTATTCAAAAGCTCAGATGTGGAAAGCACTCGGGGTGGCCACTCTGCCACATCTGAATARCAATAAAATTACTTAAAAGAAAGCTACTTACTTTGTAGGCCCTCCATCCTTTCGTGTTTTATGGTGAATATCATTCCACGTGATAACATCATCTGAACCAGTAGAACGCGACTGCCCCACAGTGAAAATCAACTTTTGGTCAAAGGCTTTTCTAAGGAGATGCAGAATTTCTTGACCTTCCTTATTGTCAGGTAAATATGCTGTTCGAATGGTTCCACTATAAGGTTTCCCAGGGTTTGGATGGCTGTTCTGTTTTGTAGAAAAGCAAAGGGAAAATGCATTGTGTATAAGGAATTCTTTAGAAGTGTGAAAAATCACACRTCCCAGTATTCTTAGTGTCTAATCCCTATGTTCATTCCATTCTGAATGACACAGCATGACTGATTATTTTTTTCTCATTATAGCATTTCTATCATGCATGTTTTGTTCACATCTTGCCATCATGCATTATCCATTATTACTTTTCTATATGTCTTTTCTTTTTTACTCTCATAAATGCATTTCACCCTACTCCTGACTTTTTGATTTGCTACATTTTCAAGCCTAGTTGCAATTCCAAGCATAAACCATGAATTGATCTCTTATCTCAAATGCTTACAAATCAGCCTGATACTAATTTTATCAACAGCTGTCAGTAGCTAAGATAATGACCCAAAGAAGTTTCATTATTACTTAGAAGGATGTAATGTAGACAAAATTTTGCAATTTCAGTTCAGTTATTCTCAATATAAAAATTGATGTAGCTCAATCTTGATGAAAATGGAGGACTACCATTTGACTACCTACAGTATYATCTAATCCAAACCAAAATTACTAGATTAAATGCTTGCAGAGTTGTACAGAACAGAGAAATCTCTCTGGTGCATATATGAAAAGGACGGAAAATACTGAACTTTACATTCAATGTTGGTTTTAAAATATATTTTATGAATTTCTAAATATACTTACAGTTTGAATACCGCTTGGCATGTCATATCTAATCTCAATAGTTTTACATGTGGGATAACCAGGGAGTTGTCCCGGAATTATTTTAGATGTCATCTTTCCTTCTGGTTGATCTCCTTGCATTACTCCATAGCAGGTATTACAAAGAGGACAGACTTTCTTGTACATCATTGCCTGCTGGATGCAGCTTTTGCAAAACGCATGCCGGCACTTGGTCAGTACTTCTTTATCGACAATGCTACCCATGCAAATAACGCACACTTCTTCTTCCTGTTCTTCATCCTCTGCTTTCTTTTCTTTGGAGGCAAGTTTACTCTTTTGCCTATCATATTTCATTTCGGACACCCTGGAAGCTTCTTGAGGCCTGGGATCAGAAACTAGTACTGTTCTGTTTCTAGCTTGCGCAGCCTCTTCTGTGTCAAGAACACTCATATTGCAGTTTTCAGCACCATGAAGATAGTTTGGTAAATTTCCTGAAACAAATTTGTCTTCCTTCAACTTTACAGGCAGATTTTCCAATTGTTTTCCATCAATGTCCATGTTTACTCTTTTTTTATTATCTTCTGAAAGTGTCCAGCTGATGCCTTTTTCTCTCAGCCTTGCAGAGGCATCCTGAAATGCACTGATGAAACTTTCAGTAGCATGTGAAGACATATCAAAAGCATAAGTCCTAGGCTTAAATCTAATTACCATCTTCTGACCATGGGAAACGTTATCCACCATAGTATCAAAATTTTGACTGATGTCTTCAATTTCTTTACTTAATATTGGTTCCAACAGTTTAAATTCAGAAGCATCAACTTCAATTCCATTCCTGTATTTGTAAAGTTCAGCTGATATACGCATATTCTTTTCAGTTTGGCTCTTCTCACTTTCCTCCGCTAGAAATTCTTGGGCAGCTGAAATCTCACTTGTTGGACCACGGAGTAACAATTTGTTCCCTTCCTGTTGGACAAGAAGATTAGGCAACCTAGCATTTATTTTCATTTTAGCTTCTTTTACCTCATTACTGTTTCTAAAGGGAATTCTTTTCTGATCCAGATCTTTTGTACTTCTCAGAAAAGCAGTGGTAAAAGCTTCTTTAGCTGCCTGTATCCGTGTGGGGTTTGTATCACAAGTGAAGCATATCTGAGTGTTTCYACTATCACTGTTCTTACTTTTTATGCCCACTCCAAAACATAGCTCTTCAATTTTTCCTTTGTAGGCATGACAAAAGTACTCATAGTGAGCGGTCGGAACACAAAGCGGTTTTTCAGCATCCAGACCGTTCTCACATTCCAAATCACTCTTAATTTCAGAATATGAAAACCTGTGGCTTTTCTCATTGCATGCAATGAGATCCTTGCAGTAGTGATACAGTTTTTCAATATCTGTATAGTCTCCTGTCAGTTTCTCATAGCCATCAACATCACGACTTCTTTCTCTTCTTAAATTCGGACATATCATAGTGATTTCCTCTCTTTGCTGCGCAGTGAACATACYGGCATTCAAAGTCACGGATACGCTAGTAAATATCTCAAGAGAAAAAAAAGAAGGTATCAAAATGTGTGTTTTTCCCTTCCCACAAAGCTCTCAGTTTGCTTTTGTATTTAAGTAGGAAAAACTCCGTATGTCTTGGTAGGACCAGATTTTATGTTGATAGGATGGAAACACTTGCATGCAGTGCTATCTTGCTTCATGTCTACAGACATCACACATATGTAAGGAAAGTAATCTGATTCTATGTCAGCAGGAGGACCGGAATTTGTTAACATAAACCACTGCAAGAAGAGAGAGAATSAGGTATTTCGCCACTTCAAAATGCATTTTTTAGGAACGACATTGCGCAAAAGCAACATGTAGAACAGAGCAAACTCCTTGTCCCCGACAGCCGCGTGTGGGTGTCGTGCGGCCGGGCTCGCCCCGCTGGTGCTCACACACTGCTGTTCTTTYCCGTACGACTGATGCTTCAGGGTGCCTCACACTGCCTGTTGTGCTGCCGCCCAGCCCGGGGCTTGGTGTCCTACAGCACGCAGCACAGGCGGCACCCAACACCCAGCCGAGCGCCCTGGGGCCGCCTGGGGCGCGAAACCTGTTGAAACAGCGCCGAGCTCCCAGGGMGCAGTGTGGGTGCCCGCCAGCCCCCCAAACCTGCGGGGCTGGGGGAGCTGCACCCAGCGCCCACACCGAAACCCCTTCCATCCCTTGGGACAGCACTGCTGCCGTCTGCCCGGCACGAAACATGGAAGCGACACTGCCAACCCCTGCCCAAGCGCCCATGGAGGAGCGCGGCCACGGGCGAGGCTGCGACACCCTGGGTACCTTTCCGGTCATGGCCTCGGCCGTCGGTTGCTCTCTGGGGGGCTCTCCTCCCTGCTCGGGCTCCTCCGGCTCCACGAGGATCTGCAGGCTCTGCTCGCCCACCTCCAGGACGTGCTTCCTGCGGCTCTGCACGCTCCTCCTGTCTGCGGGCAGCGGGGGCTGCCTGAGGCCGCGGGCGGCGGGCGGCCATTTCGCGCCCCCCGCCTCCCCCGGCGCCTACCTCGCTCCTGCCTGAAGCGCACGCGGTAGGTGCCGGGCTGGCCGCCCGCCCGCACCTCGCACTCGCCGCCCCCCGAATCCCTCTTGGACTGGAAGTACTTCTCCAGCTTGCGCCGCAGCTTCTCGCCGCTCTGGGCGTCGGGAACRGGCTCGAGCCGCACGAGCAGCGGCSGCGCCGCCATGCCGGGGGCCGTCGCCATGCCGGGGGCCGGCAGCAGCGCCTTTCGCTTTCGTTTCCCGCACGGCGCGGAGGGGCGGCCGCGGCGCTTGGGGCATGGGCAGCGGGAAGGTGAGCGGCGGGGTCGGGGCCATGGGCAGCGGGAAGGTGAGCGGCGGGGTCGGGGCCATGGGCAGCGGGAAGGTGAGCGGCGGGGCGACGCCTCGGCGGGTCGGGGCCGCTGCCCGCGGGGAGAGCCGGGCGGCGTCTGCGGAACGCCACTTAACGGTTGTTCAATAACAACCTGTGTTTTCTTTCCCGCGTCCRCCAGAGCTTGATTTCAGGGATCCTGGAGGGAAGGAGCAGTTCAGGTGAGCCCCTTCCTTTGGCTGCGCGGCGCCAAGGTGGGACGCGTTSGGGGTTGCTTTGGGTGCAGCTGGGCAAGGCCGAGGGTCAGCGTTAGGATGCACTGCTTTGASAAGCCTGGCCTGCAGCTCGCTTCTAAAAGCAGTGCTCAGAAGTGCCTTGATGAATCACAGTGTGTATATATATTTATATATATATATATATGTATATATATATATATATCATAGAAGTACCCATTCACCTTAGGTAACATACATGGGTATGCTACCTAAGCAGGTGACATACATCAGATGAAAAGCTTGATGAACTCAAATCGATTTTGCTCCAGTCGGTGTGGAAATTTCTGCATATAGTTCTGCTCAAACCTGGCGGTGATCCCGGGGCCGTGTCTCTGAAGGCAGATTGGCCCTTAGAGCTCAGCCAAGCTCCTCCGTTCCTGAAGCTCCCATTGAAGTGACTCATCAGAGGGCTGCAGTGAAGGAGGGGGTCTTGAGGAAGGGGGGTTAGCAGAGGCCACTAGACCGGGAAGTCAGTGTGGATATAATAAGGAACAAGACTTCCTGTAAGAAAAAAAGGTGTTGGCAGCCAGCGGGAACAAGCACAGATAGTGCAGTCCCTCCTCTAAAGCAAAGTCCTCATGGTCTGTTTATTTTAACTATTGAGACCTTGATTTCTTTGCTCTATTTGTGCTTTCTAAGCCTCTGAAAAAAGACAGAAGATCAGACTATGCCTAAAAATACTACAAAGTGAAGACTAAGCTGAATTAGAGAGCTCTGAAACACTGCTGTATTGAAAAACRTATTGACAGTGGTTTTGTGGTTTCATGGTTTTCACTTTATGTTACTTTATATCCTAGGATCAAGCATGGTAATGGATGAGGAAAGCTGGATGGTTCCCATCAGTAAAGATGCTTATGAAGTGCTTCGGGGAAGAGAGTCCAGTCTAAATGAGCTCTTGTACAAGAAGTTTGCTTGTACGTTGGCCTTCAAAAGTATAAAACACGCCAGTGAAGTATATAGGAAAATACTAAAGGATGGGATCCACGTTTCTGTTTGCAAAGATGATCTCACGATGCATGAGGCTGATGCTTTGGTGAATGCAGCCAATGAATATCTGCATCATACAGGAGGTCTTGCTCTTGCCCTCTTGAATGCTGGAGGGCCAGAAATAAAAAATCAAAGCAATTCTCTCGTTCAGCAATATGGAAGTGTCTCAGTTGGCCAAATAGCTGTGACAGGTGGAGGAAAGCTTCCTTGTAAGAAAATTATCCATGCAGTTGGTCCAATATGGCACTCCTTCCACAAAGACAAATGTTGCAGCCTACTTGAGCAAGCCATTGTGAATGTCCTGAAGTATGCTAATGCTCCAGAAAATAATATAAAATCTGTGGCTATCCCAGCAGTGAGCTCAGGTATTTTTGGCTTCCCAGTTGATTTGTGTGCACAAGTGATTGTCATGGCTATAAGGGAGTTTGTTGAGAGAAGTCAACCAGGTTGCCTCAAGGAGATCCGTCTGGTGAACATTTGTGAGCCCACAGTTGCAGAAATGAAAARAGCTTGTGAGATGTTGCTAGGTGAGGACAGTTTGTGCCAGGAAAATCTGTCAGCTCTGCAAAGCCAGCCTCCAGCTCTCATCACAGATGGACGCATTCGTTTGCGTGTCAAAAGAGGACTTATTGAAAGGCAGAAGGTAAGTCTGTCCTGTAGTGTGTTGAACACAGAGATGTCCTGGCTCTCTAAAAGATTGGAGCCCAGGGGCTACGGACATGTAGTGTATGGATTCACCGAAGAGTTATCTTTTCATCTTGAGAAGATTAAAACAAATAATAAATTGTATTTTTGTGGGTTAGTTTTTAGCAAGGTTGAATGTTAGAAAGTTTTATTTCATTTTTGTATGCACACTACTGTGGGAGAATGGGAAGTTTTTAAAGGTTGGATGATCAAATATAACATTCCTATGTCAGTGTTTGTTATCAGCATTGTAKAAGTCCATATTTATCATGCATTCCTTTGAAATCTAATTTAATTTTTTGCCAAAGCTTTTTCCATACAATATAATAAATTTTCCTTCAGGTGTCAYTACTCAAGTTATTTGCCAAACACTGAAACGACTGAAATTATCTTACACAAATGCCCATTTTGTTTTTAAAGAGAGTGCGTCATTTGTATTGAACTATTTGATTCTTTTAGCTAGAAACTCTGATGTGGAATATGTGGACTTGGTCTCGAGGAATCCATGAGAATTGTTAAACTGGAAGCTGAATCACAAGAATGAAACTTGCTTATAGCAAATAAGAGTATTTCAAACTCAGCAGCACTAAAAAATACTGCCTGCCTTCATGGCTTTTGGTGAGGTGGGTCACATCTCTTCCTGAGATAATAATTCTGTTGAATGAACTCTGATGACTTSAACAGGCCTCATGCATGTTACTTGCTGCTGAAAAATGCACAGAAATTTCCTGCTCCGTGGTGTTCGTTGYATTCCAGCACTGCTCTAGCAGTCGTGAGGGAGCCTTTCAAACAATTCATCTGCTGACATCAGGACTTTTCACAAGAAACTGTTCTTAGAGGAAATACTGTGTGTAATAGTAAGGCTTGCAAATGTTAAACTTGGTAGTATATAATAATATATACTAAATATATAATATACTAAAATATACTACAACTTTGTGTTCTTTTCTTTCAGACTACAGCTATTGTTAATTCGGTGCTCAAGGATAGCAGTGTTTTCCGTGGTGTTCCAAAGGGAATACTGCAGTTCGGAGGTCCAGCTCTTCGAAGTGAACTTATGTCTYATTTTAATTCTTCATATTTTAAGAAGCTCATAAAAACACGTGGGCATAATCTGCCCTGCGAGTTAGTACTGCATGTTGTATGGCCACCAGACCAACACAAGGTGTTACTATGCAAGGTGATGATCAGTTAGATTGGATTKTAGTTGGTGATCCTCATGTCGAGTGATGGGAGAACTAAAACTTTTCTTTCCCCTCCTTTTTCCGTGCAGGAACTAAAAGCTGCAGTGAAAAGCTGCTTGGATTACATTTCAAATTGGGAGGCTCCTTCAATTTCCTTCCCCACAGAGGGCATTTGGTCGCATTATCTGCCTGTGGATGTAATTGCAGGGGTCATGACTGAAGCAGTTCTTAATTTTGCTAGGGAACACCCCAAGAGGCAGATAGATGTACAGTTCGTGATCCACCCAGATGACTATAATGCCTATCAGGTAACGTATTTGGTGTTAACCACCAATAGGGAAAACTCAAAATAATCGTTTAAAAAAATATATATATATATTGCAACAAGTTAAAATATTCTGAATTCTACACTATTTATAACGTATCTGTGAGTGGCAGGTGTCTCATGGATATCACTCACCTTTAAAAGTCTCTGTTGTTTCTTCACTAATTCCAAAGTCTGATAGCAAGGCTATTTGTTGCTTAGAGAAAGCTCTTAAATTCTCAGGACTGGCAGGGACTGTAACAAAGACTCTGTCCTTAGTTTATTAGGGAATTAGAGGGAATTAACTTTTTTTTTTCCCATTAGGAAATTTATTTTTAACCAATTTCTTCATATACCAGGAAAAAAAAAAACTGTCAACACAGTATGTGACCCAACCTGCAAACAAGCAGTAGTTTCTGTGGCTCATTTCAGCTGCAGGCTGCCATTTCCACATTTGGAGTATTGGGCATAGTTCATTAATACACAGCTATCTTAGATCACCATCTATTTCAAAATACACAATTTGCTTTCATTCCTATTTAAGGCCAGCCATACATTCATTCAACAGGTGCCACAGAATTGGAAGAACCAATATGCATTTGATCTTGCCAGGAATAACATTTTGGGAAAACGTGACTCTGTGTGAGCTGCTATGGTCCCTTCAGAATTTGTTGTATGTAACTGCAACTGTAAAATACTCAACTGATAGAACTTTGATGAGATAAATTGCATGTCTGATAACAGGTTACAAACCCTTCTCAACTCTTCTCTCTTAAGATTTTCCAGAGCAAACTTTTTTCTGCAGCAAACAAAGTGGAAAAAAACCAACATTACAAGAGCACTGATGGTTTGAGTAAGTAACGAAGAGAAGGGGCTTTATAAATATATCAGCTTTGCAGATTCGAGAATTTAAAATCACATTTCTGTAAAAAGTACCTAATGCCTGCATATATGTTGTGGGGAAAGGAGAAGGCAAAAACATGAGTGAGCTTTGCGTTTTGATAGTATTAGTGGTTGACAGACTAGTTGTTAAACAGATGAAATGATCTAGAGAAGTTCCTTTGCAGGTGGGAAAAAGTGTTACATTTCCTTTCTAATTATATTTTATAAAAGTAATTTTAAAAGATACAACTAATAATGCTTAGTTTCCTTTTACATATTCCTTCCTATTATAAGTTACTATAGAAATGAGCTGAAAGTGCTAAATTAATGTCTGAAACTGATATATTTTGTCTTCAGAAGTTAGATCAAAAACGGGAAATGAGTAAGTTCAGTATCGTATTTTCCTAAAAAGGAATCCATGTTTGAGGAATCTAGCAGTGTCACTTATGAATTTGTTTCTAGTTAGTCTTCCTTCACCCAGTTTCCACCATGTCAGGAACCAGTGCCTATCAATAAAATTGGAGCAAAAGTTGTTTAAAACCCAAGTTACATCTCCCATATACCAAGCAAGGTTATGTCAGCCTCTCTTCTTGTTCCACCTTCGCAAGGTGTATTTTTCAGATATTAGTTTTTCCTGGCTTAATTCTTATAAATATCATGAAGCATCAGCAGGTCCTTCCTGATACATTCACATCTGTGCTGCACAGCTTTGTCACATGGAACAAGTGCAATAAACTGGTATCTYTGGGAAGAGTGGCCTTTGCCCTGTCCCCTCTGGTTAGGGGTAGGATACTGCCAGTGGGCACTAGAGCAGACGAGGAGACATGACTAAAGCGGGTTTTCAGTTTGGAGAAGTGCAGAAATTGTCCTGAGCCCTTTCACAGAAACCAGAGGGAGAGTTGTCCATAGAGGTTCCTGGGTACAAGTCAACAAGGCGTCAGGTTTCTGCAAAGAGCTTGGGAATCATGAAGACACCTGTCCCAGGAAAGGTTTGAGCACAGAAAATGTGTTGTCCTTTGAAAGATAGTAGTGCAGGGTGAGCACGAATGAAACACTTACTTGCATGAGCTGTTTCATGCTTAGGGAAAGATCACAAATCTAAAATGCATCAGTTATTTYTTTCCCCAGCAAAACTGCAAAAAGGCATCCCGGTTTTGTTAATTTTGTCTTTATTTCTCAGTTTTATGTGATTTGCCACTGACATTAACAGGGATGGGATCGGGTGCTCAGTTAGAAGACTTTCAAAAGTAAAAACAACAGTCAGTGCCTAATTGTTGTCAGAAGTGATTCATGGACAGCAAATAAATTCCACGTGTCTGGGATTATTTTTTTTCTTAGAAATGTTACCTCCTGGTGTTTAATGTCTGCTTTGAGCATACCAGAAGAATAGACTATTCCTTACACACTCCATGGTCTTAGATTAGAAACAGAAATTTGTGACAGCGCTTGAAAGTATTTTACTCCTCCCCTGTCCTTATTTAAAGCAATCTTTATTCCAGGTGCAGAGTCAAGCAGGCAAAGAGAAAATAGAAACAATGAAACAGCTATTGAACTTAAGGGGTGCATCCTTGCAACATTGGAGGCAGCAGAACTGTGGATCCAAAACCTGCTAGAAACTCAGGAACATCACCATGCTGCGATTGAAAACAACTACATCTTTAGCCTTGGTAAAAAAGAGTTTGCAGAGCTAGCTCGAAAGCAGCCTTCCAGCGTGCAGATATCAGAAGAAGTGAAAGAAGGAAAAGCAAGACTAAAATTTCATGGCCCCCCCGGTGCTGTCATTGATGCGGTGCTTGCAGCTGAAAAATTACTCCTTCGTATGCAACAGAACACTACAGCCAGACAGGAAGAACTGCTGCACTTCTGGGGTATGTTAAGTAAATAAGAGATATAAGTTGGCATAAACAACAAGTATGAAGCAGCACAGATTGCTGTATTGCCATTAGTGGACAGATGTGTACAACAGTTCACAAGYATAGTACATTACTGCAATTCCTGAGCTATTGTGTTTTATTGAGCGAGCCCGTGAAGGACCAGTGAGTAAGATTTGTTATCTTGCTGACTTGAGCTGGTCACTGGCCAGAATCCCCAGCGGGTCACACTTTGTGCTGGGCCTGCCTCTCATCGTGCATCCACCTCTGAGGCTGGCTGCCTCCAGGACAGCGTAACTTTAAAGTCTTGACTACCAGACACTTAGCAAAGTTGCACCAAATTAGCCCAAACTTTTGCTGCACTCTTTTGTTAGCTATTCTCTTTTTCTCTGCTTCATTTACTAGATGTCCAGAAGTAACAATATGAGCAGAGTTCCCAGCAGATTTGGTTTAAATATTTCTACATCTAGACAGACTTTTTTCTTTTTTCTTTTTTAAGGGACTGTGTGTTCCACTAACTTTTAGCAACCTCAGAGTAGGGCCCAAAACATTATCGATAAATGTTAATACTTGTATTTCTGTCAAAATAGAAAAAAATAATAACAAAACCCCACACGACACTTTAGCCATAAGCACATCAGTGACTTAGAGGAGCTATATAACCCTTAGAACAAATAAACAAAAAAACGAGACACTGAGTCCCCTCAGTCCTAGTGCTTGGCATCACTGTGCTCTTAAAAAGTCCCTCTGAAAGACAGGTGAGTGAGGTGACAATGTGGCCTTTTTATTTTTTTGTCTTGGCTTCAGGAAAGTATTCTTGCTTCTTAATTAAGCTGCCAAAATAAAGTATTGGATCCCTTCTGCTTGCTTTTACTCAGGGTATTGTTATGTATAAAGTGTTTATTCCCTTGTTTGTATTCAGGCCAACTGGAAGCAGCTCATCTTTCAGAACACCTTGCTGTGGCGAACAGTCCTGCCCCCTTTCAGGTTTCAGTGTTGGAATCAAACCAGCAGGAGTTTACAAACAGACAAAAAGAGTTTGAAAAAGCTGGGCTTCATATTCTCAAGGTAAAGAGGTTATTCATTGCAAAGTTAAATCTCAACTGATAAAATACATTTGAATTATTTAACTTGCTTAAATKCTGCTGAATTATTTCAGTATATTGCTTTTAAAGATTAAGATCAAATTATTCTAAGTCTTAAAATAGACCTGGGCTTCCAATAAAAGGATTTATTTTAAAATAAGTACTTTTTCATCTGTTTTTTTTTTTAATTTTTGATTTTTAAAAGTATTTTAAAAAAGTAGTAAGTAGTTACTGGAAAAGTATAGTTGAATTCTTATATTTTTAAAGGTACTATGTATTTTGTCTTCTATTTTGTGCATCAAATATTCCTTTAAAGGACTCTAAAAGAAATATGAAATTCGGATATTAAAATGAATAGTGTCTTTAAAGCACTTTAACGTGGCATCTCTTCTGAGCTTGACACTGAAAACTAGCAGCCGAGTTTGTAATTTGATGAGCAGCGAGTTGATGGTGAGCACTTCTTTGGAAATCTCTGCCTAGTGTCTGGGAAGAGCTCGAGTTTTTTAGCTGAGTGGTGAGAAAGAGTCTGGCTTTGCCAGCAGGGCCTGCTAGACTATTGCCATAGGCCTGCCGTGTCCRCTGGGCCTCCTGTTAGTTAGACATGCTGAAGATGTGGTCCCGCCAGGGGCATCCATGGATTTTACTCACTGTGGTCTCTCCCTGTTCTCACACTGCTATTTATGTTGCAGATAGAAAAAATACAGAATCCTCTTCTATTTGCTGCATTCAAACAAATGAAAACAAGAATGGAAGAAAAACGAGCTACCTCCAAAATAAGCCACACGTTGTACCAGCGAGTCCCTGTTCAGTTCTGTGGCTTGGTCTGCCAAACTGGATTTCACAGGACATACTCGCCACCGGCAGGTAATTACTTGCTTTTGTGTCTTCCACCAGAATGAACAGTGACTCGACTGCTGAAGTTGGATTAAAGTCAGGAAAAAAAATGACATTCCTACACACAGACTGGTTCTTACTGCAGATTAAAAGATTAAGTTTGTGTGAGTCTAAATAGCAGTAAGATTTTAACATTTTAATATTTGGTTCCTGCTGTTATTGGCAGAACTGCTAACAAACGTGCAATGCCATCTCTGAGCCTTTATTTTGTTGCATTACTCTTTAAACAAGAGGTGCTTATTCACTTGTTGAAAACGCACATTTTGCAGCCTAGCCTTTAGAAGGTGGAACATGCTGAACAGCAACAGGCTGAATCAAGAAGCAAGCTGTTAGTGCCCCACTTCAAAGAGAAGTAATTCTTAAAGATGATCATTTAAAAATTTTTTTATTTCCAGAGCAGAACTATGGAGCTGGCATCTACTTCAAGAGGAACCCCAGAAGCCTAATCCAGTTTAAAAAGGAGTGGAAAACAGATTGTATAATGCATGTGTTTGAGGCTGAGGTATTAACAGGCTTATACACTCGAGGTAAAGAGTCCTATATTACACCACCACTCGTGGAGGGAGATGGCAGGGCAGAGTATCACAGCGTGGTAGATGATGTAAACAGCCCTGACACCTTTGTCATTTTCAACAGCATTCAGGCCCTTCCCCAGTATTGGTTGACTTGTACCCYGATTCAGGGTGGAGGGTCTGGGTCTTCTGAGAAGACCAGCAGTTCCCTGTATGTGAATTAATCACAACTCCAATCCTGCAGAGACCCCCTCAAAACAAAGTCTAGCACTTTGACTCCAAGAGAATGCTCTTAAAGCATGTTCTTTAAGCAAAGTGCCTTATGACGCCTTGGAACCATCCATGAAAYTACACCTTGATCCCTGGAGGAGTTTGACAAAAAATCATCTATGCAAAGAAACAGTCATTCAATTTCTTAGCATGCGACTGTCTAAGAAAGCATAATAGAGTTTATGTCATCTGAGACAATACATACATTAATGGAACAAAAGAAATCTTGATGGTGCCTTTGATTCTTCAATTTTGGTTTGACTTAAGTGAACAGGTCCTGTGAATACTGTTTTCCAGCCAGGGCTGTGCTCCCACAGTCCCATGGCCAAGATAGAGGAAGCAATACTTTGATTCCTAGCAATTGCTGTTAAAATTTCTTTTTAAGTGATTCCGTAGATACATGTATTCAAAATAAAAAAGTATGACAATATTGGCCACTTATTTCTTCCTGCAGTATTAAAAGTGTGACTTGCTCAGTYTGTTTGAAAGGCTACAAAAACATAAGGGAAGCAGTTCAAAGGGCTTGAAACTGCTCTTCTAGCGGTGCAAGCAGAGTCTAAGTCAAACATTCTAAGGACAACGTTGTAGCTAGATGTCCTCCTGCTACTTCTCCAGCAACCTGGAGAGACACCCTAGAAATGGTAAGAATTATTACACTGATTTTGATTTAAATAGGGATTCAATGCAGCTCTTGGGTACTTTCAAGATTAGAAACCCTGAAACCACCTTCTTCTGGCTTTAGCAGAGTTTAAGACAAACACCATTGCCCCAAACTAATGCCTACCACTAAGTTTATCCCTCTGAATGTAAACTCACAACASAGTTTCCCAGCCACTCCAAAAGTTTGTGACTTACAGAAACTTTAGCAGGGTGTCCAGTTTCTGGCCAAATGTACAATTTATTCTAAATCCTCTAAATAAGAGGATGATGAAAGAACAGTTTTCAATGATCAATATTAATACTATTACTACTACTACTAATACTACTAATACTATACAATGATCAATATTAATACTATTATACAAATATTAGAAACATAATGCATTTCTGTAATAATCTTTATTGACTTATGACTATGCCTAACTGCACCTGAAGAAACATCGAATGCTAGTGTAATAGAAAAAAATAAATAATTTATTAAGAAAATTAACAGCTTACTCCAGTACCCAGCATGTACTTTCTCCTCACTCCCACCATKTAAAAGAATATAGTCGTACTGAATATGAATATCGCCTTTTATCATAGCAAAGTTTTTTSTAATATATAATTTCTACTTTACTCCACCTGCCCTCCTTGCATTTAGTGTAATATATATAACAATAAAAAGGGTTATGTAGGTGGTTTTGTATAACTCTTTTCATCTGGTCCTTAAAAATATGAATTTCAGATACAGAAGTTAGAAAATAAAACCAGCACAAAGCAGATGTACTAAGTAGTACATATTAAAATAATTACCACAGTAATTAAAAAATCCTGATTTTAGTCCTACAACAATCAGTTAAGAGGAGGCTACTCCACAGCCTCTGGGATTTCTCTGCCATCCACAATAAGGGTATGAATAATTCCTTCCTTTCGTTTCCCACTACTGACAGCCTTAATGCAACAGTCGTGATCACCAACAGTGAAGTGAGTTTCAGTCCCATCTTCTACAAATTCACCCTAGGAGAAAAGGGATAATGTAACAGACAAATGCTGTTTCAGTAAAATAAAGTCTCAGTGCAAACTTTCCGAGGTCCTAATCGTTTTCAGCTCCATGACTAGAGCAGCCACACAGCTCGAGTGCTGAACAAGGCTGCAAAGCCTCATGTATKGTCACTGCTGTCAGTAAAACAAAAACGTGTCAATTAGTAAAATAAGCTACAGGATGGGTATGTGATACCTATCTCCACCCGTAAGCTTTACTTATCTAGCCACAACCTATAGAAAGGCTTTGCAAAAATGATCACATACCACTGTTTCCAGCTTTTCACCATTGCACCACACATCCATAGTGTCCTTTTCTGTGAAGGAAAAAGGAGAATAAAAGGTAGAAAAAAATCCCCCACCCTACCCCAGACAGGAAGATTTAGGAAGACCAAACCAAGCCCCACCTCCAAGCCCTGATCTATTTTACTTTAATTCCTCAAAGTTTTTATTTAACTGTAATGCGAGGGCTTGGCACCCCCTCTTTAAATGGCAGAAATGGAAGCCCCATCATCCATGGGCAAAAAACCTTGGCTATAAACACACCTCTCCCTAGCTCTGGGTATTACTATTGGATTGCTGTGAATATGGTCAGAGCACTCTGACATCCTCAAACTGAAAAGCTGAGTACAGGAAAGTGAATGAAACAGTCCTGAAATGTTAGCACAGATTATTCAGTGGAATTCTGATGTAAACTCATTTTGGGTATGTTTAATTCAAGAGCAGCTTTACTTTATAACTTGGAGTTTCTGAGATCTTAAAATCTCCCTGAAAACTCAAATGCCGCCCATACTAGAATATGAAGAACTTTACAACTGTTTTGTTTTAAGTAGTATTACATTATTCTTCCCAGCACAACCTTAAATTCATTAGCTGTAGATTTCACCTTACTGACACTGCCCTCCACTGGCAATGAGGAGCGAACTGAAACCTACTTGCTGATGGATGCCTCTCCTCCCTGCCAGTTACTAAATGCACTCAGGTTCATTCAAAGACAACAACACAAAGTCATTCAACAGGTACTCACCCAGGACAACTCTGCACACTGTGCCATCCAAACTCAGAATCCACGTATTGGTTGTTTTTGACCTGTTCTCCAGGTACTTCTTGAGGCTTTTCCCATCGATATCCAAAGTATATTCATACGCGAAGCCACCGACCGCATCAATGTTAATAGCGGCTTTTGTTTTAGCTGCCCCAACAGTGAACGTTTCTTTACCCACCAACTTAAACATCCATTCTTTTCTTATTTGTTCCTGTAGAGGAAAAAAAAAGACAGAGTCAATGGGTATAAATTAATAAACCTGGAAGTGTGTCTCAGGATTGAGAAATTTTGAACTAGAATTTGGGCAACAACCTAGTACTTTATTATTTTGGTATGCACTAGTACATGTACAGAGTGTTTCTGCCCAAGGACTGCAAAGAACTTCATAAATACCTACTCAGATCTTAACTTTAAGAGGATGATATAGCTTATTAAATTATATGAAGTTAGCCAAGTGAATATACCTCACTTGCACTTATTAGCCTTTTATTTGTTCTGATGCATTGTCTGGAATCACACAGTTTGTATCATAATGAATTTTAAGCGTATAATAACTTCACCTTTCCATCAACATAGACAACACGCTTTCCAGAAGTGGTCCCGTGTTCAAATTCAATCTTATGAACACCATCACTTAAAGCTACTTCCCAAACGGCCACCAAATCTGTCATCTTCTCTACGTGGCTGTAGCGGGACCTACAGAAACGGCAACAAAAATAAATTAATSGTTGCTGAGAGAGTCAGAACATTGCGGAATTTAGTTCAAAGCTTCACTACTTCATAGCAAGCCACCTTTTACAAATGAAAAGTGAGACTTGCAAGAGTAAGTGTAGCCGATGGTTTTTTATTTTCTTGGAAAGACATTCAAATATGATGCTAGCACAGAAACTGCACACAGGCACAGGTGAATAGGTGGACTCCGACTAGCACCGCACGAGAACATTTATCCATCTAACTGCTACAACTGCCACAGCAGAAGACAACAGAGTTAACAAACTGCACTTGAATTCCAGATGCACACAAGTGACTGCTAAAAGGGGACTCCTTTTCCAAGCTGTTCACGCGGCTGCTGCTTTTTTACCTTAGTTCCTCTTCATCAACAGTAATCTCCTCACGGGACGCCATAGAAACCAAACTGGCGTTTAATCCCATTAGCAGCAAGAAAAAAAAAATAAAAAGAGAGAAGCAGGACAGCAACAGAGAAGCACTGAGAACTGAATTTTCCTAGTTTTCTTCCTTTAAAATAGTATCTTTTAGGCAAGGTGGTGAACTATCATGCATTATCAGATGTACCGATGCAACAAATGTGTTTCTTCCTTTCAGATGAAAAAACAAATCCAAGTTTATCTACAAGTATTACTTTACAAAATTTGTACATGCGATTTACTCTTTGTTTATCACTTATTTAATGATAAAAAATGCCTTCCTGGATTTGAGAGCAAATACTTAGGAACAGACCTGATGGAAACGGGAACCGAATCCAGAGCTCCACAGCTCAGTCATGGACCATAAGGCACCAGAGCCCACTGCCAGCAGAGGGAAGGGGAAATAACCCACCCAGAAAGTTAACATCAAACCGAGAGCAGCAAAAAACCTTGTTCTCAGCTCGGGCCTCTAAACATCAGCGCCAAAGCCAGGCTCAAACGCTTCAACCCAACAGCTCTGCTAAACCACTGCGGCAGTTTCCAGCTACAGAGACCTCTACTCACCACCAAAAACCCTAAAACAAACCAAAACACCCCCCCCCCCAATAACCCCCACTATTTCCTATGCCAAAATTCTTCTTTTTTTTGGGGGGGGGGGCCTGCATGGCTTGAGTGTTCCTACAGCACTGCTGACCTACTTTTCATCTTTATCCTCTGCATTACACATGATAGCTTGTCTGGAAACTATAAGAAAAAAATAAAAATAAATAAATAAATAAAGCCCTGTTGCTCACACAAGCTACAATCAGCCCCGCAGCTCTCGGGGAACCATTCGGGCCTGTGCAGTATGTAACACCACACTATGCTCTTCTCCCAGGGCATTCCCCCTAGYGCTCTAATCCGATGCAGCATCCGCAAAGTTGAAAACAACCAAAAACTCGTTATTTCTGCGCTTTCCCTCCACCCCCTCTCTCCCGCCCTGCCCCGCCGGGAGCCGCCATGGAGACAGGGAAAGCGGGAACCTCCCTCCCCATCCCGCTCCTACCTGCGCGGGGCTCCAAGCGCCGCTGCAGCCGCCGCCTCCCACCGCTCCCGCGCCTCAAAATGGCGGCGAGGCGGCGCGCGCCCCCGCCCCGCCCCGCGCCGCCGCCCGCTCGCGCCGCCGTTAGCGCGGCCCGGAGCCGTTAACGGCGGCCGGGAGCCGTTAGCGCCGGCCTCGGCGCGCGGCCGCCACCGGGTGGGCGGGCGGCGGGCCCGAGGCGCCGCTGCTCGCGCGCAGGGCGGCGCTTCCCAACCGCCTCCCAACCGCCTCCTAACCGCCTCCTGCTGGGATCCGCGCCGCGCCGAACCGAACCGAGCCGGGCCGAACGGAACCGAGCCGGGCCGAAGGGAACCGAGCTCCCTCGCCATGGCTGAGGTACAGTACGGACCCCTGCTTCCAGGGCTGCTGCCTCCAGCTTACACACATGTAAACCGCCTATACGTATTCACATATACGTACATGTGTGCGTTATCATCCAAGYGCGGTGGCGAGGCCCCGGCCGTGCCGGCAGCGGGACCGGGGGGCAGCAGCCTGCCCCGCCGCCGGGCCGGCTCTCCGCAGTGTCGCACTGGCCTTGGGTCGGTGCCCTGCGGGTCTTGCTTTCATGGAAACAGCTCTGGTTGTTTGAGGATTTACRTCCTGTGTTTTTAAAATCATTTGCAAATGCATTTCTCTCTAAAACTGCAAATACAGCAGCTGTATTTGGAAACGGGATGTTCTCGATATGGTTCAGTGTGTTTTTTTCCTAATATTTCTTGTAGATGGTGCTGAGATGCCTCTAAAGGCACCCGTAGCGAGTGCGGGTTGTTGTGGGGGTTTTCTGTTCCGGGGGTGTTTGCTGTCTCTGTGGCTGGGACAGGAGCTCGTGTGCCGCACTGAGGTTCCCATCTGTTGCTGTTCCCGCAGCAGGAGAGAGCGGAATGGGAGAACTTGAACAAGCTGTTAGTGCATCATGGATTGAAACCCGTGAGCTTCGCTGCGCTGGGAAGCAACACAAACACATCAGGTAAGGACATGGGGGCTTCACAAGCTTCTCTGTTTGAAAACATGAGCCCAAGTTCATAAACCTTCCCTAAAGCTGTAATTTCCAAATGCAAACAGAGACGCGTCTTCTCCAGTTATCAAAAGCCGCTCGTTATGATTCTGTTTATTTTAAATATCTCCAGGCACAGTTGTCCTAGACAATCAGGCTTCTCAGGGGATAAGACTGGCCTTAAAAACGCTGGTGGAAGACACGGACCGACAACAGAAAATGATGTGTGGGCTTATGGAGGTGAATCGCAAGCTTAGGTGAGACTCGGTGCTAATGCAAACCAAAGTGTGGTTTGTGCCCACTCTTTCCTCCCAGTAGAGCTCCTGTCATGTGAGCCCTTTGGCGGGATTGTTGTGAAATGTGGCAATATTGGCCTGGTGCCTCTCAGGCAGTTCTGTCATTTCATGTGTTGCTTCTTCGCATGGCAAAACATCTCCCATACCTGCCCCTGTAGGCTGTTACTGAGTGTTGACCAAGATGGTCTGTCAGGCCTGTGCCTCCTTCATGTATTTGTGGAATTAATTTGTTCTAAGCCAAGGTTTGAATTTTGTTTTGGTCAGAGACGAGGTACGCCAGGAGCGAGGTCGGGCATCTCGGCAAGAACAGCGGGCTAACGATTTGGAAAACGTGGTGAAGAACATTAAGGCCAAGATTTGTCAGCTGGAAGATGAGACGATAGCTAAAGTTTGTCAGCAGCAGAATCAAGTCAAAGAGCTTCGAAAAGATCAAGAAGTTTCACAGGTAATTCTGGTAACCCCATTTGAGGACTCAAACTTTTCATTTTTARTTAAAGGCTCTAAAATAGGGATACTGGTCGAAATAAATGCAAGTTTGTTCATTTGTTTGTTTTCCCCTAGAGTTATATTGTTCATATGTAAGATTTTTCAATCAGATGGAATTTTGTAACAATAAATTAGAAAAAAATATATGTATCCTGCTTCTACTGTCTCTTCAGTAGGGCTAGAGAAGAGCTTCCTTGTGAGCAGGTGCCTACTAGGGCATGTACCGTGTTGTCTCCAGTGCGTTTGTCAGTCTAATTTCAGGATGCTCCCGTTCCCTGTTCACAGGCCAAGTACCAACAGCAACAGGAAAAGCTGCAAGAACAGGAGGAGACTATTGCCCGTCTGCAGAGGGAGCTGTGCAAGGTTGGGGTGGAGGAGCAGCAGCGTGTCGCCACTCAAAGCAAAATGTTCTGCCAGTTCTGCAAAAGGGCACCCAAGACTCTCCTGGATCAGCAGTAAGTAATTGTCTTCTACTGTTACACTGATAAATGGCATGTGACATTTAAGGAGAAACACATTTTGGAATAACTGCTTTTGATATTTTGAATTTAAAAAAAAAATGAGTACCTTAGGAGTGTCAGCTGAAATGTGAATCCTTATAGGCTACATTAGTTGAGGAAACTTTTCTTGTGTGCTGAAAGTGAGCTGCTCAAGTCCTCATAAAAAAAGGAAAAAAAATACGGCTACTGTACACTAGGTGGCAGCAAAGAAAAGAGAATGTTTAGCCCCTGGTAGGGTGATTGCATTCTGGATTTTAATGTTTTAAAATGTAAATCTTCAAACTAACAAAAATCACTTGATTTTGGTAAGTAGCTAACTGCTAGCTCACTGTAAAGCCTTGCAGTAACAACCTTGCAGTTGTGTCAAATTGTCCTATATATATGAGTTGACTACAACATCTTTAAGGCATGATTTTTTGATAATATTAGAAACTCAGTATAGCATTTTTTTCCAGGTTTCTTTGTTTAATTGATTATTATGAATCTCAAATTAATCAAATGAAGAAGGAATTAAGGTAGGTGAAATCTTTAATGCAAATCTCTAGTAGTGCCTCATGTTCAGAGTTCTGTAATGTTCTCCCATTCAAATAAGCAGGAACACTGCCATGGAAAAATGGGAGTAGTGATTATGGGAGTTGTGATTATTCCTGTATAAAACATGTAATCATAAACATGGTGTATTTTGTGTTCCAGACATTCCTAACATGTCTGAAGACATGTTAGAAACAGCAGAGAAACTGTATTGGTCTTGGATGTTTGGATTCACCCTGGGAATAGTTGTCAGGCAGCCTCAGCAGCTGCTCGGTGAGGGGGCAGTGCTAGGAGGCTGTGGGTATTTAGATACCTGAGCTATATTATCTGTGTATTTTCCCCTCCCCTTTTTCAGTGCTTCACAGGCACTTGTTATGTTGGTCATGCTCAGCTGATGATCTCCCTAGACAAAGGAAATGCTGGACTTGAGCTTTGTCATGGTGCCTGCATGGCACAAAGCACCTCAGTAGATACCTGAGAGTCATTCCCATAATTTGAGATAATTGAACTGGAACTTGCTTGTACTGGAGTTTCTTTGGGGAATAAGTATACTCAATTAGTATGTGAAGCAGTATCCCAGATAACTGAGAAGAGCAGTAGCAATTAGAACTATTATTCTGTGTATTTTGCAATTTATGTTGTTATGATAGAAACTGCTAACCAGAACAACTTAGTTTTTTGCGGTACTTGAATTTCAGTAAGGAGCAACAATTTGTTTTTCCCAATAGGTTGTACAAAAAAGATGAAGATCATGCACAGAGAGAAGTAAAAAGGGAAGAATTCTTAAATCTAGATGCTTCTCCTAATTACAGAGCACTACTCACGGTATGGTAATGTTGAGAATAAATCACTGCAGAGCTCTAAATGGTAACCCTTGAAAGGCCACACAGAAATACATGTTTTGTTTTGCTTTTAATCTCTTTGTTCTCATGTCATCGTCTTAGTTTGTAAGCTTTTCTGACCAAAAAAAAAGAGAAATCGTAAGTACTATGTTGAGAAATTCCTTTGCTGAGGACGGAACAGGCCTCTCTCATCACAGGTGTGTGAACATGTCTGTGATCTAGTGCAGGGTGTTCTTGATAGTTGCTCATCTTTGCTAACGTGGTCTCAAAGGCAAATGGGAATCTCTCTCAAGACACACATACTTCATAGTGCTCCAGGTTTGTTGATTATGGAATGAATGAACTAAAAGAAATAATACCATCTGTGTTGCAGTCTTTCCAGAATCAACTTGTTGAAACAAGAGCCAGGAATGAGCAACTTTTGCTTGAAAATATAAATCTCAAGAAAGATTTGGAAATCAGGTGAGACAGGATGAGTGTCATCCTTTGTAAAGGCACTACGCAGATGTTGCTTTCTTTGAAAACAACCTAAAGCACCAGTAGTTATAAAAGTGCAGTACATAACCTGCCTTTAATTAATAGGATACAGCAAGAACACTTTCACTCCCTGCACTGTTAATGAGGACTGTAAAGTGGTTCTTTTGCTGTGAATTGGCTCTGGCAATTGTGTTATTTGCACTTAGCAAAAGCAATACAGGTGCATGTGGGTTGAGCCTGAGTCCTTAATGAGCTGTTTGTCCCAGTGTGCTTATAAAAACTCACCCGTTACAGTAGTGGCATTACTGCTAAGCGTGATTTCCACTTAAAACTGCTGGCCTGGGTAAAGCTGCAGACCTTTTTAGTAAGAAAACAATCTGATCCAGCATTTTTGGGGCATGGTGTTATGAAGGTGTCATGCAGAAATGTTGCAGAACTTTCTCTCCAGAATGAGGCTGCAGCACTGGCACAGCTCTCTACTGCTCTTCTTCAATGAGATTTATTGATGACTGCAAATGCCAGCAGTGTGATGTGGTGCTTTCTCTTTCCAACAGGCCAACTGCACAGGAACTCAAACTTTACAAGCACCAAGTGAAGAAACTGGAAAAAACTTTAAAGAAAACTATCCAGTAACTATATTTCTGCAGTAACTTTTATGAGTCCTCTGTACTTTTAAAAGCAAAGACACTCTGCAACCTGCAATGTGGATAGTGGCCTATAAAGTATTTACTTTAGAGCAGGTTTGTGGACAGCCAATTCTACTGTCACTCCAAAGAATGGAGTGCCCAGATAGGAGAGGAGTGCCCAGCAGCTTGTCTTTTCTGTTTGATTTTGTCTTTTGGGATTCGAATGCTGTCATGGGCAATAGGGATGGGACCAAAATACAATATTTGCAACTTCACAAGCTAAAAAGAAGTTATTGGTTGTATTGTGAAGGACAGTTATTTTAGTTGTTTATTCTTCACCATTAAAGTTGCCMAAATGTTTCAGCTACTGCTGCTGTTTAAAGTTTTACTTGGTGAGGTTTTTCTTTTCCTGGAACACTGCTGAGTGCATTAAGGGTAGTAGAGCTCCAGTATTGTTAGAAGGCGTCTTTATCTGTAATTTGACTTTAATCATGTGTGCATGATTGAATACTAAATATTTTGTAGTACAGTACTACATATTCTGATATATATTCAGTATATACACACTATATTCTGAAAAAGACATTACTTGAACTTTAAAAGTGCTTGCCTTTTTCATTTTAGACTGAGTGCATTTGAATGGTCTCCTGTCTCATGCAGTAAATGTGACTCAGGTGGTAGTTTTTAGACCAACAGTTGTCTCAAATGTGACAAGAATGTTTCTCAAATCCATACTTGTCAAAGAAAGTGTAAAGCAGTGTGTCCTGCTGAGGGTGCCTCGGAGCTAACTGTGGGTGTTCTGCACGCAGGTCCTCAGGGAGCAGCCCCGGAGACAGAGTAAAAGGGCCTGAAGAAGCCGAGCGGGTCCCCGGGGAGCAGCAGCACCTACAGGTGGGCAGGTTGCGGCCGCGCTGCTGGCATCACGTTGAGCGCGGAGCGGAGCCTTGCGGAGCCCCTGGGCTGAGCTGAAACACGTTGTTCCGAGCGCAGGGGTTCATACAGACCTCCACACAAAACATGTAACGCTCTGCATTTGGCACTGAGCACAGCCTTGTCCTTAATTTGGTGTAAACTGCCTCAAAATACTGCACGGCAAGCAGCAGATCGGAGGTTTAGCTGAAAGCCCAGGACGTGGGGTCTGCTCAGGGTTCTGTGCAAAACTTATTTCTTGTTATGATTTAAAAAATGCCTGAGGAGATAGTGGGGTTTATTTTTCTGTTAATAAAAAAAGCAAATGCAGTGAAGATGAGCAATATGCAAGCTGTGTAAGTAACAATGACATGAGGGGGTGAATGTTAAATGTCCCTAAAGGGAAAGTGTATTTGCATTATTTTTATATTTCTTCTAGCTAGTATATTTTTAAAGCTTTGMATCTATTATACGTTGACTGCATTTTTAAAATCCAACTATAACAACATACTGAAGCTATTTATGATGTTCAGACTAAATTMTGACTGTGGGGGTACATGATTCTGTTAAAAGATGCTATAGATTTTGGAGCAATGATCTCATTTTTTGATATTGAAGGTTTTGTCCAGTATTGATGCTGTTGTTAGAAGTCAAAGAGCTCCTCCGCTAATATACAGGCACAGTAAAGGGCCAGCCCAAAATTGTGTTAAAGAGAATGGACAGGAATGTGGATTTGAGCACCTTCTTCCCACCATAGAAATGTGGGCARACCAGCTGATGGCTGTAAAGGTAACACCTGGTTGTACTTTTATGTGTTTGCAATCTGCTGAATGGCCCTCTCCCCTCCCTACCTGTAGTTTGCTTGTGCATGTGTGTTTGTACCTCCTGTTTTCTGACTTGGTGGTGGTAAATCTTAAAGAGAATTCTGCTCTCCGTTTGTACACCCCTTCAAAACAAAGTAAGTGAAAACCGTGCAGTTTGTACAGGCCCAATACATTATTTCCTCCGTGTTTAGTGTCTGTTTCTGTTCCCTGAACAAAATTTAACAAAATCCTACGGAACAAAATTTTGTTCCCTAAGAACACGGGCAAGCTTGGAGCCTGTTACTTTACACATTAATGATGATGTTCCCTCTGTCTTCCTTTTGTCTTGCCAGAACATTAACTTTTTGACTTAAATACAAGTCTCTGTGACCAACCGGTCTAGTATTTACAGAAGCAATAAAATACAAAGTACTTTTGTTTTCAGAACATCGGTGCTCTTTTCAGAAAATCAAAGGATGTAAGCGAGGTTTTCTGTTTAAATTCATTTACTGTCTGCAATACTGTCTGTATTGGTTTTGCATGTAAGAAGCAGAAGATCTGCTTGATTCTATAAAAAAAGAAAAGAACTTTAAGCAGTTTCTTTGGTAACAGTCATTTCCCCTCCCTTTGAAAGGATTTGCATAGATCCTTGAGAAAACTGTCCCTGGAAGTGGTGCCCTGGCACCTGACAAACACCCAGGATAGCAGGGAGGCCGTCCGAGTTGAAGACCTGCAGTTCTTGGTAGATGCAATGTTAGAAGAACTGGAAAATAAGGAGAAGGTAATTCCTGCCAGGGGTCTGTAATTGGAAGTTACTCTGGAATTCTTAAATGGCTTCATCACATGCTGGTTAGATAAGTGCATTTGAACGCCCTGTAGGGTTGCAGAAATAGCTGCTTGAACATATTCAGTAGTCAGACTGTTTTAATACGAAGCATAAATTCATCGTGGTGAAGATTCTGCTTTCATCAGTCATTTGATGAGCAATGAATCTGCACTGCCCTGCGGTCTCCCAGGCACCGTCCTGTTCCGTCTGTTTCTCAGTGAGCACTGACAATGCGTGAACGTACTCGCCGAGCTACAGAAATGAAAGCTTTCAAAAGACAATTTTTTGGTTTGCTGGGAATCTGCATCTGCAAACCCTCTTTCAAATGTGTCCTTGGATATAGCAATATTTGAAATGATTTTAACTCATAAGGGAGGTTACACCTCCTTTTCTTCACAAAGTAGTTTCAAGAACGTCTCACGGTTTAAGGGAAATTTTGCTTTGTTAAAGCAGTAACTTTGACCGGTAATTCCTGCTTGCTACAGAGCAGCCAGAGCCCGTCCTTGCAGACGCTGCTTGCAATGGTCTCCCACTTCCAGAAGCTGTTTGATGTGACCTCCCTGCACGGCGTTTACCCGCGGATGAACGAGGTCTACACGAAACTGGGGGAAATGACCAACGCTATGAGGAATCTCCATGAGCTCCTGCAGCTAGGTAGGGATTTGCCCTTCGTGGGTGTGCAGACCCTTTCTGCAGGTGAGAAGCTGAGTGACAGGCTGATCTTTATAGAAAATACACTGAGCTGCTTAGAAATGAATCGAGTGGGTATGTTCTTGACTGTTCGTGCTAAAAGGTAGAAGTATCTTGTTGGGAGTTTAAATAGGAAAACCTTTTTATCTGTAAGCTGTTGTGTTTAGCAGTTGCATGCGCAGTTCTCAAACTTCTTATTCTGCCAAACTCTGAAAAAAGACGCTACAGTCAAACGCTACGTACTCAGAGACCTAGGTAGCTGTGTGGAGGAACCCATTCTCTTCCAGTTCTGTACCGCTCCAGAGCGGTCGCTGTCAGTCTTCCCTGGACTCCTGGTTTTAAAGCCTTGGCAGCTCCATAGGGTTTGGTAGCCCAGGGTTCCTGCAAGTCAAGGTCTCCTTTGGAGCCTGGCTCAAAGCAGGAGGCAGCCTTGCTGCCGGGGAGCTCCGCRTCCTCGTGGCTTCACACTGGGCCCTCTGCAGCTGACGCAGGGAGGGGAGGACGAGGGGCCTGGTGCTTTGATTAGAGCAGCCAGGGCAGGTAAAACCCAGTGTTGCAACAGAGTTCTGGCTAACAGGCACATACCTACGGAGCAGGTTCCGTGCTGGCCTGCACCACATGCCTCCTTAATGCTGCATTACAGGAACCTGAGACAGTTTTAGTTGGCGCTCTTCCTGCTGCCAGGAGAGCACGTGCTCCAGAACCATCGCTCATGTGAAACAGGCCCCTCTGCCAAGGGTTCTGGTTGCTGAAGGATGTGTGAGCAATCCCCCACCTCTGCTACCGTGGGGTTATTTCTGAGCACAAGGGCTTTGTTTTCTGTGAAGGAAGGAACTTGCATGCCCCGAGATGGGAAGGCCAAACGAAACCAAGGAAGCAGCAAGAAGTGAGTTAGATCTCGAGTACTTTCCTGTTATTAGTCATGAAGTGTTTGTTTCTTTTCGCAGACACCTCTGCTCCACCCACGGTGGTAGTGGATACTGTTGGGAAACTGTGTGACATAATCAATGAAAATGTGACTGAGCGGGTGCAGCAGCTTCTGGGGACACAAGACATCCACAGGTATTTGGACTTCTCCACGGGTGACATCTCTTTAAACCTCAGGTTTAGCAAGTGAGAGAACTGGCTGAGGCAAATACTGAGGGGGGCTGGAGCAGGTGATTAAAAAGTTAGAAAGCTAAGACAGGAAAGGGTCTGCTGTTATCCTAGAGGAAACAAATCCTTGAATACTTTCAATTGGATAAAGCTGCTAAGGAGAAAACTTAAGGCCAGAAGGCTCCAAAGCACTTTTTTTTTTTAGCTTTCCTGGATAGCGAGATAAAATAAATCTTTTAAAGATGTTTTTCATAAGGAGACCTAACAAATGCTGTGTGGGCATGGAAAGGAGAAAGCGTTGCGGGAGTTCAACTGTAATGCTAAAAGAGTATCAGTTGTTGTGACTTCCTACAGCTATTTTGTGAACTGGACAAATCCCCTTTTCTTCTTCAACAGATGAAAGGATATAGGGTCTAAGAGGTTAGGTTCAGTTTGCTCTGCAGGAGTACAAACAAGGGGTCGTRGGCAATAAGCTCGACACAGCCTGAGCTAATGGGACTATTTCCCTCAGTCGCTCTTCGCTCCTTGGCAGTTGGAACTAGAGAAAGGTGCCTGTAAAAGATTCCTGCCCTTTGCCTTTGAAGCAGCAGCCTCGGCCACCCCCACACCATCCTGGGCTGGGTTTAGCCCACTCAGACCCTCGGTCTAGCCCAAAGGGCCGTGAGATGAGGCGAGGCAGCGAGGGAGGACGAACCCAGAGCAGAAACAGGGACGTTTCCAAGTGGAGCTTCATCAGCAGCTCATCAATTAACAGCTGTTAGCTGCAGGTTTCACAGGCCAAGAATGTTTGTTTGGTGTAGCTGGACTTGCACCTTGTTTTGTAGCATTGTTTTCAGAAACTTAGGGCAGAGTATGGCATGGCAGCCAAGGAGAGGACCTGTCCTTGCAGCTCTGATCTGATGGTCTCGCTTCCACGTTTCAGTATAATCAATAAGCTGGAAGAACACGAATGCTTCTTTCCCCCCTTTCAAGCTCTCATTCAGGATTTGCTCTGCCTTCTAGGTAAGTCATATTTGCAAAAACCCAGTACCTTCATACCACCATGTCCCCCTGCTCCTCAAATTTTAAATAGTTAATAAATGTTTTGTCTGCTTCTGCTGTGCAAATCTAGGAAGATGTGAGGAAAACATGCTACAACATTTACTCTCACATTTCTATCTTTTCACAGCAAGTGAGGAAAATACAAGTAAATTCTTTTTGAAAATGGGACTGCATGTGTTCAGTGCTGTTATCCATTAGATGAGAGAGAAAAATCTGCACTGAAAGTACAGAAAGGTTGGAGGAGATTATTCTCAGTGGTACTTGCTCACCAGTTTTATTTCTCAACACTGAAGCTGGAATGTTGGTGGACCTTCTACATCTCCCTGCTTTACTACTTTGCTTTTCCTTTTGTTTCAGAAATCAGTAACCTGGATGATATTTTACCTACCGTGAAAAACTTGAAGTTGGCAGCGAGTTAAGGGGCTTGTCTGCCCCACCACAAGGTATCTTTCTTGTGAACGTATCACCTAAATGACACCCAGCTACCTCTAGCCTTTGTGACCCTGCCTGGCAGTTTCGGAATATTTTGACATAAATAAAAGCTTAACTTTACCCCTGAATCCTTTTATTTCTATACTTGTTTCATGGTCAGTGAAAGTACAGCAAAGACAACTTATAGCCATGGCTTTGTGGTCTATTAAGTTCCAGAGCTAGGAAACTCCTGCACCCTGCTCTCAGGCTAGGAAAACAACCCCCTGCCACCTCAGAAAATAGGTGCAACCTCCATGTATAGTGRGGGGCACAGGATAAGCAACGAGGCTAAGGTGCTCTAACTGCCGCAGCCCTGGCACTGTCACCTTTGATAAAGTCTTGGGTCCTGGAGAGTCTGTTTCAAATTGGCACATTCCATCTTCCTGTAACTTTGACATTGGAGGTGGTGACATTCTCCTCTGCTCTGATATCTACCTGAGTTCATGCTCTACAATTTGTGCTGAAAATTGTTGATCAGTGGGTATTCTTTCTGATTTTGGGATAAGACAGACTACATTAACATAAGCCCCTCTCAAAATAGTTGAAGGTTCCCTCAGGGGACAGTTTGTAGATTTCTCCACAGTATGGATTCAGGATTCATGATCTCCTTCTCAGGGTCAGTCTTGGAAAGGATCAAGTTTCTAAAGCAAGACATTTAAGAGTTTATTGTACAGAAACAGGTAGGTGCACTGAGCTTCTGAAAATAGTTCCATGTATTTCACTCCAAGGTTATTAAGCTTAGTTTACAAAACTCTGCTGYTCCTYAGGCAGAATGTTTTACATCAAAAKTATTTGTAACAAAGGACAAAAGACRTTAAGGCATCACAACCTAAACCTTAATGATATCTTGGTAAACTTGCTTTTTGGAAGCTCCTTAGATACATACCAGCAGCAACACTCTAGGATACGCGAAGTGGAATATTCACTTCTTACTTTCTCAACACCAACTGCCATTAAACACTTTGAACGACACTTCTGAAGCCCCCTAACTGAAGGATGTTGTTTAAAGGTCTGTTATTTCACAGGTACAGTTGTTAAAACAACATAAAATCTTGGAAAAGTGAAACTGCCCAAGCAGAGCAATGAGGTGTAGCTGACTGCAGCTAGAATAACTTCAGGTGCAAGACTTGCTTAAGAGTCTTCATCCTTAAGGGTTCTTTAGGGAAAATATGCCAGAACATAAGTGCCTAGTGCTAGTTAAACTGCTTTACTTAAATAAGAACTAATTGCTTAGTAGCATCTTTTAAATATACATGTCCTGACCAAGAAATTGCTCCAAGTTTGCAGTGACTGCTCAAAACACATTCATTACAAAAGATATGTACATTTGTATAAACTTTACAAGTTAGCACCTTATGCACATGAGAAGAAATCAGCTTTTCTTGCGTCTGCTTCTTGTCAGCTCATACCTGCAGGACAAAGACAGCAAGTAGTTAAAGCAGTCACAGCCTTTGAACAGTTTTCAGGGGCACCAGGGAGGAGGAGAGGGGAGCTGCTTTCGTGCCAGTGGGGGCAGGGGAGCTCTGCACTGGCCTCGCACCTCCGTCCTGCGCTGGGAACTCGGCCCCGTCATTTTTCTGCTGCCTGCCCGAGGCCCGGGCTCGAGCCAGGCCCAGGGACCTGCTGGTCCTGGCTTGCTGAGCAGCAGCATCGTGTCCTCGTGGACAGCAGCTCCCACCTACTGCCCTGTGCTCCGGGGCTCCTCCRTGCAAGGAGGAGCACGAGCTCCAGCTGGAGACTGCAGACTGAGTGGGGGGGAGGAAAAAACAGGGTCCTGCTCTTTGCCTCAGGCCAATGCTTAAGGGTTTTGAGCCTGAGCCACGAAGAACAAACAAGCAAAACTGAAGAGCTTATCACAGCARCTTTGGAAAATGCTCTGTAATTATCGTTTTATCATATTTATATGCATTGCTGAACATGCTATTAGTTAAGATCTTCCTCCACCTTACAATTTGTTACAAGTATACTTTAATAAACATAACCCTTTTACATTTATTTCCCAGTGGCTTTTGTTGTACCTTAAAATATGCTAAAGACCGAGAATAATTTGCCATGTGGGCTCTTATTAAGAGACAGTTTCCAAGGGCAAATATTGCCCTAACAACTGAATTAACAACATTTGATAAAACTACCAGATTAGTTCAAGTCAGTCCAGTGTTTGCCTATGCCATATTCTCCAAATTACACAAACCATTTACAATTCCTCCAGCACAAATGCAGAACAAAGCAATTAGGGTTGGAAAGGATGACGATGAAACAAACTTACCATTGTGCAAAGCCTTTGATTAAGTCTTCCTGGGACAGGTCAATCCGCACCTTTAAAAAGCRCATTTTATTTTATATTTTATTTTTCAGCGTACAAGTTTATTGGCAAAGTTAGTGCCCTCCCAGTCAGTCRCACTTTAATTCTAGGGGGCCTGGAGATGAGTTTTGTGCAGCTCCAAAATGCAGGGATGAGCCAGCCCCAGCACTGAAGCTCTTAATAGCACAACTTGGAAGTCTTTCCATCATGAGAAATGAAAAAGAAATGAGGGGAAAACACCACATAAAAGTTCACAGAAAACATGAGTGTTGCTGGACAACTCTGGGTTTTAATCACAGGTCACCCTCARCTTCATGTTTGCACTAACTGAGGGGTTGCCCCAAGGAGCCGTGGAGGATCCCAAAGGCACATTTTTATTTCAGGAATACCCCTTTCCAATGAAACAGTGTGGCTTCTCAATCATGTGAGAGCATTCAAMCCTCTGCAGGGATGTGGTTTGATAAAGAATGAAAATTTGGGAGAAAAAGAAAAAATTCTTTCAGATTCTATTCTATTCTTCTGTTCTATTCAGCATTAGTTACTGAATTGCAGTTCAAGAGTGGGAGAATCTCCCCCCAGATCCTGCTGCCAATGCAGCTGAACTACTGGTCCAAACTTACCCTTCCCAGTTCCTTTCTTTCCAGTGAAATGAAGGGCTTGCTGTTTTTCACTGCGATGTCCAGGGTYCTTTTCTTAACTTCTTCCAAAGATTCAAAAAATTCAAACCTAAAAGTAAAATTTTGAGGGGAGAGAATTAAGGCAGAACCCTAAATGAGGTTAAAACCCTATAGGCCTCGGTGGCTGGAATACACTAATTTTAGCCAAGAAGGACCATAGCTTCATGGTGACCTTTACAGCCCAGATGAGTCACAGCCAGCGTTCAAAGAGGCTGTTCTGTTTACAAACCCTGGAACACTGTTGCCCAACCGCAGCGTGTTTTAATAGGATAAGAAACTGGTTTAGAGGACCGACTTTAATCCACATGTGAACAAAGCCTATTCTCCACGGAGCAGAAAAGCCAATTTAATAATTGCATTTTATTAGCGTTCTAGGCAAACTCTTGCAGGATTCGTGAAAGAGCGTGACATTCTGTTTGCCCTCAGCCTCTGCGCTGTGCCAGGGGGTGAAGGAAATCACGCATCCAGAGGAGATGCCATTTCCTGACAATCTCCCCTTCATGGAAGGGCAGTGTGTTTTCCATGCAGCATCTCTTACTCAGAGGAAATAGCTGAGCTGAAGCACCAGCTTTACAGAGCAGGCTTATACCACATTAAGGGACAACAAGGGGAGCAACCTGTGGCAATTACGCTCTTAATGAGCCTGACTCAGGACTGGCACACATCATTAATATCGAGTCAGGTTTGTCCATGCTAAATCCTTTTGGTTGTGCCTGCCTAAATAGTYTTCCTGCAAGTCAAAGCTGTAAGGCAGGTAACGTGCTTGGGAGCTTAGTGTTGGTGCATGAATTGTGCTTAATTGAGGCCATGCAGGATCTACCAGGGCAAGGGATCCTACTCCTAAAAATGCTGCTTGGGCCTCACTGGAGTCCTTTGTATTTTGSCCTGTGGCTTTGAGCAAGATGTGAGAACCTGCAAGGGGCCAAAGCAGCAGCATGAGCAGAGAAGCAGGTTTAGTAGGTCCGGAAACAGAAAGATGAAGCCTGCAGTGGGCGAGTTCCACACGGGAAGGGGAGCGTGCGGCCCAAGGAGCACCCTGCACCTCCTGGCGCCAGGGAGGAGGGCGAGGAGGGCTCTGCTGAGCAGGGGCAGCGATACCGCACACGGCGCAGCCAGCCCTGATGCCCTGCACAGCTCAGAGCAAGAGCTGCTGCTTCAGAAGGGAGTCCCCATCGTGCAGTCCTCCAGCTGCAAGCCCAAGTCACCCAACAGACACTGCAACTATACCAGCAGCGATTGTAATTAATGATGTCTTACTTTTCATCATACTGGGGGTTCAGAGTCTTTTTCTTAACTGAAGTCTTCCTTCTGCTTGTCCATCTTCTATCTGGAAGCAGGTATATGCGAACATAGGGGTCTACCCCACGATTACAAGAGGGAACTAAGTTTCTGTTAAAAGAAGTACAGTGGTGACAAGCAGGACAACTCTCACCGTGTGACTTGTGACAGGTTGTCACTTAGAATCAGACCCACCCTCCATGAGCAAAATATGTCTATCCATTCCCTTGGGTGCTGGAATGCAAGCAAAAAAATGAGGCTGTGCAGTTCCCAACATTTCCATCACTGGAAGCGTGCCRCTTCCAGGGCTGCTTAAACTAACATTTACRCGAGAGAGGCTCCAGTCCCTTAATCATCTTTGTTGCCCCCGCCGGACCCTCTCTAGATGCTCTCTGGAAAGGTCCTGCAGCCCCAGCGTTACCTGCAGCCGTTGATGAGCACGACGAGGCTCTGCCGCGCGGCCGCGTAGCGCACCGTGAGCTGGATCTCCCCCAGCGGCCCCTCGCTCCCGCTGCAAGACAGGCAGAGCTTTCAGGAGAGCTGTCAGCAAAACGGGCACAGCACTAGCGGCACGGGACAGGGCACGCGCCTCCGGAGCTGCTGAGGCCTCAGCAAACCAACTCTCAGAGCACCATTACTTGTTCCGGCACCGCAAAGCTTCCCTTTAGGAGGCTGCTGGACCACGAAGTGGTCACAGAAACATAACTCCTGTCAGCAGCAGCAGCAGGGGCAGCAGCGCTGTCCTGGGGCAGCTCCGGGTCCCGCGTTACGAGTGGAGTCAGCACGTGCCGCATGGCTCCTCCAAAGGTGCCTGTATTTGCAGAATGGGGCCCTCTCTGTATCTGGCTCAGTGGGTTAACTGAAGTGCTTTGGAGCACCCAAGCAGCGCCTAACAACAGTTAGAAATGAGCCCCTCTTCACAGCTAGAGAACTGGCCAGTCYAGAAGTACTAAAACCAACAGATAAGGCTGGGTTCAATATTTGGGTTGAGGCCTAGTTTGATGCTGTGTAAGCTGAGACAAAGCTGATGTTGCTACTCCCTTCATTAGGGGTTCAGCTATCTCCATGCAGGACCCCTCAAAGCCACGTGAGGGTTTCCCTGCTCCTGGATGGGAGAGGTTTTCTCTGCATCTGCACAKTTAGCCCTGTCCAGGGACAGGCACAACGCACCAACATGGGAAAGCTTCGTTTGCTGCATGACAAGTCTCAAAACTTGCTGGATAAAATACAGTGTCCAAAATATAAAGCAACTAGGTATGGTTATCATGGGCTTAGGTTTTAACGTGATTTCAGGCTTCCATTCACCAGTTTAAAGGGAARCTGGGTGCTAAAGTTGTGAGTGATATGGGATCTGGAAGATAACATAAACTTAATACAACCAAGACCTCAGACTCCAAGGGACTTGGCAGTCTTGAGTCCAACAGGATGAAACAGCCTCCCAGAACCCCAGCCCTCCCAGAGAAGCACAGGTCAGCTGGAAGAACCACCTACTTCTGAAGGTCCAGACTGCTGCTGCTCAGGTCAAAGCAGGAAGAGGGCAGCGAAGCCAGCGAGGCAACGCTGGGCGCAAGCCTCATCTCCTGCACGAGGGGCCGCGCGGGCCTGGCCGCCCCCCGGCTCTGCAGCGGTGCCGCCGGCCGGGCCTCCACGGGCCGCTCACTGCTCATCCCAGCTTCGCTGCCCACGGGCTCCGCCGAGCTGCCCTCGGGCTCCCGGCTCTGCTGCCCCGGCAGGGGCTCGGGCGCCGCGGAGCCGCCGCTCACGGGAGGCGCCGCCGAGGCCTCCGGCTGTGGCGGGGGGACGGGCGCGCGCTGGGTGCCCCGCTCCGCCGCCGGGCGCGCGGGGCCTTGCTGGGAGGCACCGCCGGCCGCCTTCCCCCGCGGTGCATCGGSTTCCTCTACGCTCAAGGCCTGAAAGCAAGAAACGCCGCGTTGGGAACGGACAGTACTGCTGTGCCCGCCTGCTGCGCAGCTCAGTGCCCCAGCTCCGCTCGGCACCAGCACCGCTCTGCGGTGCCAGGAACCTTAGGAACTTTAGGAACCTCGGGGGAYGTTGTCCCCACCGCCACTCCCGCCTCCGCAGGGACCTTTCCGCGCTCTCACCCTTCACCCGTGACACAGAACTGCCTTCCTCCTCTTTCACCCCTCTTCCTTTTCGCCCAGCTACAACTGGGAATTCCCACCGAAGAAGCAGAGCAAATACGGAAAACAACTTACTCGCAACACAAGTTTCATCTTAATGAAGCTGTCCGAACTGGAATGATCCAGCTGGAACCTCTGGTCCAGKGTCAGGTCTGGGTCCTTCAGTAGGTGGGACAGAGACACCACTGAAGTTCCCAGGATGCTATCCCGATCTTTGTCTTTTACCTAGAAAGAATATGTATAATGGTTTTTTTTAATATTATTATATAGCAAACTGGTAAGCACATCACTGGGAGAACAGCAAATAAAGGTACTTTAGACAGAGACCAAAATTTGCTTATTTACTTCAAACATATCAGCATTTTATAAATATAACACATAAGTATACTTGGAGAAAGAAAAAAAAAACAAGCAAAAAACAATCAAACATCTCTAGATATGCAAAGAAGTATCTTTATTAACAAAAAAAATGAGGTCCTAGATCTATTTGAGTTTCCTTACTTGTTCTGGAGAAAATGTCTTCAACTCCAGATGCAGCTGGGATGGCGACTAGCCTACCCTTCTGTGAGGTTTTTATAGTCACAGCTGTTTTAGYCTTTCCAGCCTCCAGCCTTTGGAGCTCAAATCCACTGGTGCAGCCCAGGGAGCAGCCCCAGAGCTGGCTGTGACTGCGGTGTACAGCAGTGAGACACGGGACATCAGGAGCAGGCAGAATGCCAAGGTGGGAAACCAGGACTCCGGCTGAGGACTGCAAAGGCTCCAGTATCTGACTGGAGCATCCAGGGTTTTGCAGCATTCCTGCCTACCCAAAGCCTCATTCACAGTTTGCAGAGAGAAATGTCCCATGGTTTGTACCAAGACATTAATAGTACAGGATCCCTATAGCAAAGGGATGCTGGCATCATCTAAAATAGAATKGCCTGCACAACATGATGTTTCTTCCACCTTTGTGGCAGTATTTCAGACATGGGTCCCACTAAGAGCACACAGAAGTGACCAGCACTGAGATCATGCCCATTGTAAAGGAGGTTTCTCCCAACAAACGCACACTAAGTATTCCCAAGAAAGGCTCTTCTCTCACCTCCACATGCAGGGACTGGGACTGAGCGCTGTGCACAAAGAAGGTGAAAGCCTGGCCCCACGTGGGGTCTTTGTTGAAGCTACAGGTCTGCAACAAGAAGGTCATGGCACAAACATCAGCAACGCTGCGAGCAACGACACCCCCGGGCAGTGCAGGCGGCCGCAGCCACCCTCCTGTTTCACCCAGGCGATGCCGCATCCCGGCCTCTGCAGAGGAGGGAATTCCCTGGGAAGGCGTGTGCAGGAGCCCAGGCTCACTGCATCCCAGCCTGTGCAGAGGAGGGAATTCCCTGGGAAGGCGTGTGCAGGAGCCCAGGCTCACYRCATCCCAGCCTGTGSAGAGGAGGGAATTCCCTGGGAAGGCGTGTGCAGGAGCCCAGGCTCACTGCATCCCAGCCTGTGGAGAGGAGGGAATTCCCTGGGAAGGCATGTGCAGGAACCCAGCCTTGTAGGGTAAGGTCTTAGCAGGGAAGTGCCAAAGGGTGAGTTGGGCTCCGGTGCCAGCCCAGGACGCTGCTGGCTGCAGCAGGGTTGAGCTCCCCACGGCTCCAGGAGCTGGGAAGTGAGACCCAGCCTGGGAAAGGCAGGACATGTGGGGCAGGGAAAAGCCAAGGATCCAGCCCTCTTGCCTGCTTGTGCCCAGGCAGCAGCGTCTGCTCCAGGTTGTCCTGTGCCTACAGGAGCTCAGGGGCCTCTGCGACTGTCACCTGCTCTGCGGGGTCACTTGTGCCTGGCCTGATGTCCCCAAGGGCACCGTGGCATTAGCTGCCCTCCTGGCTGAGAGCACGCAGGGAAAGCTGAAGAGCCAAGCAGCTCACCTTGCTTTTCTGGGTCTTGTTCCCCACGGTGAGCAGGACGAAGGAGGAAGGCTCTCGCTCCGTCCTCTGCCATTTCATACAAGGGGGAGAAAGGCAATTGTTAAGAGGCAATTGTAAATTTATAGGCAGCAATTTCAAATCACCACAGTTACTTGAAGCTCTCTTCTGGACATTATTATCACTAGTTCTTCAGACCCAGTACACCTGAACTAATAGACCATTATGCAGGAAAGATTCCAGCCAYAACCCAGTGTACCCTTACTCTCCACATCAAGTGTTCACATTTAWGCCAAATCTTTATGCATTTTAGATATAAATGGACAAGCAGCTGTTCTCATCACAGTGAGGTGAGGAACTGTGGGAATCTCCAGCATTTCCTGATGCAGAAATGGTTTCCTGGGCTCACAACTCACTGTAAAGCRGCTATAGGCAAGTTGGTGGCACTGATGTAATTTTTTTTTGTTTAAAAGAAATAATACTGAGCCTCCTGCGCCAAGCTCTTCTCTCTCACACTAATGTTACAGTATCAATCTGGCAGGGGGAGGAAAAGATAGAGAGAACCCTTAGGACACCCTTCCCTGCCCCTTCCCCAAAGGATAATAGCATCATGTCAAAGTCATCCATGCAAAGGGGGAGGATTTGGTCCGRTTGTACTGCAAAGAAGTGCACATAGTGAAGTTCAGAATGAAGGAGCATTGAAGGCTGTGCAGATCACCCTGTCTGCATCTCATTTGAACTTTAARGATTGTTTTTAGGTAACAGCCAAGCTCTATCCCACTGCTCAGAGCTGTGGTTTATGCAGCTTGCTCAATGAAACAGGAGAAAGACATTCTCCCCTACACCCACAGCTCAGGTTACAGTGGCAAAATGCAGTATCTGGGGAAAAAAAGCAACCTGAAACAAAGAGGGAAAAGGCGTGAACAGCAGGCAGGCTCCAGAGCTCTGCCAAAAATGGGACAGAGGGAATCACGGGGTCATTCTGCAACAGGGCAGAGTTTGTCCCTCCCCAAGCTAGGCCACGGCTGAGCAGAGGACCAGCCCCTGCAGCAGCAGAAAGAGTAGCAGGACAAAATAAAAATAGGGAACCCCCCCATACACAACCAAATATTTTATTGACGCGTTTCCCCTCTGACCCCGTTGACTTTCRCTAGGGAAAACTTTTATTTAACACCTTGAGCCAGTGCAAAGAGATAACCTCCCTTTAAAAACCGCTAGGTCCAGTGGTTACAACACAGTATAATTCAGCATGTGATTTTGCAGGCATGGAAAGAATATAAATTTTACCTTCATATACTTGTTAGTTTTCAGCTTCTTTGCTCCATATTCACCATTTGAGTATTCAAACTGGTTTTTCTGAATTGATAAAAGAACATTTTAAAATAATTAATTTGTGGGCAGAGAGAGAGAGAGAAAGAAAGGCTAGGCGTGGAGGCTGCTGCATGTGGCTCATACTTACTGGGAGGTTGAACGCGTTCTCCAAGTAGACTATCAGAATTGCCGTGGAAAGACCCTTCTTATCCTGTGAGGACCAGCAAAGAATAAAACAAAGCAAAACACAAGGCAGGCCGGGCCATTCACCAGGGACAAACCAAAGCCAACGCGAATTCAGAAAACACTTCCTGAGAGCCGGGCAGCTCTTCAGCTTTCTCCCAAAACCTGCGACTGAGAGGAGCAGAAGGCAACACACAACAGTGTGGCTCGTTTAGGCAGATCAGCCAGATCCTCAGCTCCATCCCCTGTTTTATTTATTTTGGTGGAACATAAAGGCTTTGGAGCAATGATGGAGAGGTAGCATCTTTGGGAGACAGGCTTGGTCCAAGCAATCATGATAAGCGAATAGGACCCTGCTTGTAGCCATAGTGCTACCAAGCATCACTGCTGGGTATTTATGACTAGCTGGGACAGACAGATGCATGGGGACTATGCAGAGTGTAGAGAAAAAGGGAAAGGAAGAAATAGGGAAGGGAACTGTGTGAGGCCACTCTGTCACAGCAGCAACTCAAAGAAAGCAAGTATTTAAGTAGAAAGAGTTGCCAGATTTTAGTTACTCCTGGATTACCAAGTGACATGGGACAAGCACACACCTTCCTCTTTAGGAAGGGCCTTCTCATCCTCAATTATAATTAAATGAATAAAATAAACCCATCACCCCTAAAACCTCACAAATAAAACTTGGCCAAAACAAAACAATCAATAAAATATCTCCAAAAACACCCCACAAGGAGTTTACCCCAGGTTTCTAGTTTCACGCGTCTTGATGGCTGTGCAGGCTGTACCTGAATGCCTGAAGTAGATTTACTCACCTCATGTAGCTTTTCTTGGTCATTTACTAACGAAAGCCACTCCAGCTTCAAATGCAAGTGTCCACTTGTTGTCTTACTTAAGGGAAACCACTAAATAGAGACAGCAAAGAATAACAGAAGTGACACCTGTGAGGCAGGATAATTCTAAAATCTACATATGCTGCAATCACTAGGAGTTATGTGTACAACAGACAACACGTGGACTGCATTTTGCATTCCTCTGTTTGAATTCTGGACACTTAGACTGTACCAGGTTCACCTACTTGGGAATCACAAGCCAAGAATTCCAAAAATAAGACACTCATATATATGCAATACACATGGATATTTGGACTCTAGCAGAGGACTGGGCTGCAGGATCAGTCACAGTAAGAACAAGTCATTGCTTCCCTCAGCAAATCAAATGCTTTGCTAAAAATTATCCATAATCTTGCAGAAACAATTGGTAAATAGGGTGCATGTGGCACCAAGGCAAGATACCCTCACTCTGGCTCACCATAACCTGAGTTTACCTGTCTGAGTTTATCAGCTTGCTTGCAAGACCAGCTGCACTAGTTACTTCAAGTTTTTTTGAGCAAAAGTAATTAGATTTCTTTCTTCCTGAGAAAATAACACAGTTCAAGGAACACGTAAGGAAGCTCCAAGCATGCAWAACACTGCAGTGATAGAGAGTGGGAATATGTGTCAGCAGGCACCACAACCCTGCTTAGAAATACACGGTGACCTTTACCTCATCCACAGTTCTGTCATTCATGACATCCACCAGGCTTATAAACAAGCTGAAAAAAAAAAAAAAAAACAAAAAAAACAAAAAAAAAACAAAAAAAAACCAAAATAAACAAACAAACAAACCCACCATTTCAGCCTTTATTTAGGCACACAGCTGATTAGTAGGTTATATGTATATAATATGTGTATATATATATAAAAGAAAACTCTTCTAAATAATATGAGTTACAAGCATCACCTGTGGATATACACACTGCAACACATTGACACAGTCCTCCTCCCCTTCTAAGTGCTTTCAAATGTCCCATTGGGTACATTTCCACCACTTCCAACAGCTTCCTAAGGTTCCCCAGTGGTGTCAGGGCTTATCCTCTACCACAGTCAGAGCTGTTTGCAGTAGGATCTAATAACACTTGGCGCTCTGGATGTAAATGTTTGAACAAAGGGCACAGCTTCCTTCCACACTAACTTTCATGTATGAATAACCTGGATCTCCTGTTTCAGAAACTACTGGCTCTTGTGCAAGTGTTGGGTTCTTTTCTTCACTTACTTGTGTTTTTGGTTTAAGTCAAGAAAATACAAAGACAACTGTTCTKAAACAGCAGGACCTGACATTCTGGAAGCAGCTCATGGCCCTCTCTGTGCTCTCCCATGTGCTACTGCCTAGAACACTGGGGATGCTGCTCCACTCACAGGAGAGCCACAACTCCCCTCCTGTTACCTGCTGAGGGCAGTTTCCAGGCTGCCAGTCACCTGGGACTTTGTGCATTTTCTGGGAGAAYGAAGAGACGGTGTCAAACGTTGCTAGAGGGAACCTCTCTGTTAGAAAACTGCACCAAGAGGATCAGAGCAGTAAGAAAACATCCCAGTCAGGCTGCGCTCAATTAGGACTGACTACCAGGAGGAGAAAGGATCTAATCCTCAGAATGAATTTCTCAAATTTACTGAACAAACATGTCTGAAAACTACCCCTTTTTCTGAAGAATGAATAAAAGTCATACAAATTTACCTGCCCATAAAGTCATCTTTATCTGGATCTTCATCATACAAGTCCACTTCTAAATCCTGACCAGGTACTTCATGAACCACAAACTGGAGTGAAAAAGAAGTACTGATTTACAATAACAACAAGCATTCACACAGATTCTCAGCACGTGTTGTGYACAGGGACATTACACTTCACAGCTGTGACACATAAGGACACTCCCTGCTGCTTCATGGCTAATCTTAGAACAAKGCAACTGGTTACAGATGAAAATAATTCCAAACCAGTTGGCGTTTGAATTGTAAGCTGAACTCCTCAAATGGGGATCCCTAATAMGGGTTTACAAAACCAGAAAAACCTAAACGCTTCCAATACAGACAGGAATTGKTTTTTGAGCAGACTTCAGCTGCATAGACTGCTGCACTGATTAATACTTAAGCTCTGTGTGTCCCCCGAAAACCCACACATGTAAATCAGATCAAACTGAGCACTGTGCCACAGCTGCAAAGCAAATCTGAACCTGTTCAAGAAGCAGAACTGACTGATCAGTCAGGTACAGGGAAGTCCACAGGAGAGCTGTGAGAAAGGTCGTGACATTCAGTACCTCAAACGTCTCGTTCCAAAGTGGGTTGAGGTCTCGGGACACCGTCTTGCTTCGATGCTGCACGGTGCCAACTCGAAGAAGGGCGTATGGGTCAGACTTGCCCCTGATGGCACCGAGGAAACTGTCCTTCTGCACAAGGTTTTCAGCTTCCAGCAGATGCACTCTTACTACTCCCTGGGTAGAAGCGGGTGAAAAACTGCCCATGAAAATGTGATCTTTGGGTAATTACAATATGCTGCTTCCTAAAACTAGTAATTATAGGCAGAAGGGGCGGTCAGCATGACAGGTTTACAAAGGCTGGCTTTTTGATGCAGAGTCTTTCAGATGGCAGAACTGTAAGACAATTACTTTTTCCTCCATTTACTTAGAAAAATTGCCTAAATGAATACAAAATTCAATCTAGATAATTGGGCAGAAAGTGCTCTTCAATTTTATTTTAAAACCAGAAACATGTATATACACACACATACACACACACASAGAGGATGACAACCACAGTCAAATCCTGTGTGGAATCCAGCCACATTCCCACAAACTGAAAGAGGAACTAAGGATCCACTTGTAGGTTTCCATTTTATTGCAGAATGGCCATTCAATTTTAATTTGGTGAGGTAAGTTTACAAGGCAGAGCATCCTTCTCTAATTCACTTATATTTGCCCCATCAGCAAGTATATTAGTGCCTACACTTCAGGGACACGGGAGGTTGGAGATTTGGGTGTGTCAAACAGGAGGTTAAGGGCTTATTTTTTCCTCTTAAATATATTATTTAATGAAAAGATCTTACCCTCTGACCTTCCTTCTTACACACTTTCACAGCATTAGAAATCTAAGTAGACGAACACTTCTTGCTCATGTAATTACTTTCTCCAGCTGAAGATCCTGTGTTGTTACATCCTCAAATCAGACTGATGGTTTCAGTTGGTAAATGGAGCTTAGTATGTTTAAACTGACTTCTTCCACCACATACAGAGGATAGGACCCCTCCATCCTCACCCAAACAAAGAACTACCCAGTATTTCCTATACTAGATATTTACCTATAGGTAATATTTGAGATATTACCCATACAARGCCTGAAATCCATGTGGAAACAGCTGCTGAGAATGGAATGTGCGGGACCCTGACACTGATCGTTGCTTACCCCTCTCAGGAAACACACGCTCGAGAGGTGTACCAGGCTCACTGCAAAAACTCACATATGGGACAGGGAACCTCAGGAGGGCAATGTTCATGTTCTTCTTCAGAGGCACCGTGACTCTGTTTGGTAGAACCAGCCGTGAGGCAATGAAGTCCTGAATTATTGAGTCCGACATTACACTGCAGGGAGAAAAAACCAAAACAGCCTACCTAAACCTCTACAGTCCACCACAATTACAGTTAGAACGGAAAAATGCGGCACAGCGAGAGGAAGAGGCTCTGCAGAACCTGTGGTCCTACCCTCCCCAGCAGTTTCTTGGACTAAGACTGTGCAATGACATTGTCATAGCTGACACTGGTTTCACCCAGACACAAGGAAAGGCTTCTCCTAGTCTAAATGTAAAACCAAGTTGAAATCCTTGGTCAGGTAGATGAATTTCCTGTCAAAATTGCCCAACAGGAAAGCCAGATTGTCCCTCTCTGCAGACTTAGGCCCAACTCTATGTAGCTTATAAATGAGAACAGATGACTGGATCCAGTTTCTTTGCTCCCAGGTAAGCCAGGCTCCTTTGGAAGGAAGAACTGTTGTCCAACCTGTATTTCAGCCTATTCAGTCAGGCATGTCTTTGCTCATGGCTTATGTGCAGCGCTGAACAAGCAAGGGTTTCTACCTTCAAATCACTGTGGGAGAAMCAGGGAGAAAAGATTCAGGACACCAAATTTACACTTAATTATATGAGTGGCTGTAGGTTGAACACCTACATAGTTTCTCCTTGGGAGGATTAAGGAAAGCTGCATTAGAAAAGAGAACAGATTAATTTCTCTGATAAAAACAGGAGCTCTCAGGGCAAACTGCAAGGCAAAACACTGCTCTTCAAATTAAGAAAAAGAAGTTCCTCTCACTTGGCATCAAAGGTCTGCAGAAACCCTTTACTGMACTTCGTTCCCTAAGTTGTCACTTAGGGCAGGAAACTATTTCCTGTGCATCTGCAAAGCACAAGCTGCAGCAGAGGAGAGGGCAGCAGAAGTGTCTGGGYTTGCTTTTGAAAGGATAGAGGTACTGACTAAGTCCCTAGGTCCACTCTCATGTGACAAAATTTCCTCCTTGCTCTGACWAGCAAGGGAAGAAGCAACCCTCCAATCTGGAGAAACAGTTTGACGACCTAAAAGAGTGAAAACCCCTGAGATTTCATTCTTGCTGTGCCAGTTTCAAGTATGAGACCAACTGAAGAGGCATTGGGGGAGAAATAGGTTTTCTGATTAGTGAAAGGTACAGTGAAGTAGATTAGGAAAAAAGAGAAGGATTTTTTTTTTTTTAATTTCAAATCTGTTGGAGTTTTCTATATCACGGATTGTACTTCTGTGTRACAAGAGAGCACTGCAAGTCTGGGTATGTTCCTGTTTTCATTTTAAGGCAAATAAGCACAAGCACTGACTGCTAATCACCTAGATCTGCCACTCTAAGTGGCTGGCACATGGGAAAGGCTCATATTTCAGATTAGACACCATTGTCATTTTAGTAATTTACTGTTTCCATCATAAATCCCAAGAAGCAAGTTTGTTTGAACATAAAAGGCTTCTTTTTTCATATTTTGCAAGCTCCACAACCACATATGTTGGAGTGCTTATCAATGTAACACCTTCTACGGGTCTCTCTTCAGAATAAGAAAGAGAATTCTCTTGAGAATAAGAAAGCTGGCCCACCTTCTGAATGATTTTAAAAAGTAACAAAATGAAGCAAACCACTCACTTAATCCCTGGGACATCCAGGAGATTGCTCACGCCAGTCCAGTTCATTTCCAAGTGCTAAAAAGTAGAAGAGAAAAAAAACATAGAAGAAGTAAAATTAATTTCAGGACAAATGTGGAATTTAAGGGGAAAGCAAATGCTTCTAAAACAAAGCCGTCTATTAAAAAAAAACCTGCAACAGTGAATGTATGCCTTTACACACTTAACTAACTTCTGATAATAATTTCCTTATCTATTTTACCTGCCATACTTGAAATGACGGTTTCACTGGATTTATCCTGCAAGCAGAGGGGAACGTGGTATCCAGCCCCAAGCAGGGGGCATTGCCAGATGCCTCGGGAGCCTCTCTGGTAAACCCAGCAACTCTGCCTACCTTTGAGGTTGTTTCCTCACCCTTTCACTTGGGTTTGACTCATGCCCTGGGGCAGGAGGATTTACAAACAACATCCAACTTCAGGAGATGTCTATTTCTATTCACCCAATAAACAAAACAGGTTTTCATGTGCTGAGATAGTGCTACTGTATATTAATATGCACTCAAAAAAACCACATCCAGTATCAAAACTGTAAGACTTCCATGAGCTCTAGCATATAAGCAAGCAAAGAATCCTGTAGCTGGTTCTTATAGGGCAAGAAGGTTTCTCATACTTCATTAAATTGAACTCAACTAAGAGGTATATGTAAACTTAAATAAGCAAGCTTTCAAAGCATGAATGGACACAARGATGGGTGCATTTAAAACCCATGTGAGTATTTGCCAGGATCCTTGCAGTAAGTGCCTACAAAAGTGCTGCCTGTTGTGACCATCATAACATCCACCATTCTTACCCTAAAGCAAGTAACTTCTTATGGCAGTTGCAAGAGAACAGGGCAAATTCAGTCCCTTCCAAGAAGAGCATTTAACAGTCAGTAATTTGCTAATCCAAGAGCTGCCTCATGAGCATGGTTAGGTGAGTGGTGATGGCCTGACTGTGCCTTGCACTGAAGACCAGTCAATGCACTAAGGCAGCCAAGAAGTGGGAGGGCTGCAGGACTGCAGTTGGAAAGTGACTCACCGGTCTGTGCATGAAAAACAACGTCACTGCTCCAATAAAAGGTGCATCGTTGAGGAGAGGTTCCAGTATCACTCGCAAGGTCCCATTCAACTGCAAGGAGAGCAGACCAAGGAAAACTGACTATGAAACTCTCAGGGGATCCCGGGGCACTATAAGGTTAAGCCTGGTGTATACACTGTGCTGAACCCCAACTTCTGCTCGGCAGAAGCTACGTGTGACTAGTGCTGGAGGGAGCCCTTGGGTTCTGGCACCCTAAGTGATACCCTAAAGGACACAGGGAAAACAAACTCCCCAAACACGTCCCATCTCCTCAGCACTAGAATCCCACAGCTGCTCTTAAGCCAAACAACACATGTAGTTTCAAAGCAGTGAGATTTCTAGACATTTTTGTCATTTTTAAATAATTTTACTTAGAATTTGATAACAACAATAACCCCTTCCCTCCTCCCCCAGCACTGCAAGCCCGCTGCCACTCAGCCCGTGGATGAGCGCCATCCTGTCACTGCTTTTGTGATCTAACTTYCCTCAACGTTGTAAGAACAGGTTATAAGAACAACCTAAGACCTTTTATGAAGATTCCAACATAATGGGCTCTCAGGAGCATGCAGCTCCTGTGAACTCRTGGGACAAGAGCTGGCTCACACATGCTGGGGTCTCTAGCACTGGGCCTATTTAACAGCCACCTTAAGAAGCTTAAAAGTGGCAGTTAGGGGCTGTCCAAGAAAGGCATCATTTTCCCAGCCAAAACACAAGGACATTCAGTGATTTGCCCCAAATTAGTCAGCCTGTGGTTTCCTAGTCAATCCTAAAGTCTCCATTGGGACATTGCCCTAAAAGGGCAGCTTGAGCATCACACTCACCTGCACACCTTTCACTCCGAGCTTAATCTTCGATATGTCCATGTGAATCTCACAATCCCCTATGTAACTGAAAGAAAGTTCTCACATTATTCCAGTTTGCAATCGTCTGAGGAGCAAATTTGTATAGAAAATAAAGGAGATGAGTTTAAAGACTGACAGATTCCAGCTGCATTTCAAGGTTGATTTCCCATTCTTAAGATTGGAAGGATTGATTGGAGAAGGGTTGCTCTTAGGAAGGGATTGAGGGGCTCACTGGGAATTCAGGGTCACGGCAATCGTTCTTTTTCTCCCCTCTGCCACAAGCCCCAATGCCATGAAAAAGAAACCAGCATCCCAACTTCTGAGCTGATGCAGAGCCCTCCTGCTGTCATGTTTAGGACTCTATGTGTTACGGTTCATCCCTGTCAACAAGCAAACAGGCCAGAAGAACAAAGTCAACACTAAAAATAACCTGTTTCCTTGAGGCTGAGGTAAAGGACAGTGATTTAGATCAGATTTTGGTCAGTTGCCATGGAGAACATCAGGCTTTAAACAAAATGAAAGCCAAGGATGGTACTTCTTGCCATTTGGAAACCATTTGAGAGTTTGATAAAAGTTCTGATGCAAAAACCAACCAGTGACTCCCCTAAGAGCTGAATCCAGCAGCTTGGTTGATGCCTCTGGCAGAAAACAGTCCAAGGACTCCTAGGTTTCCTTTCAGTCCTTGGAGAAACAGCTCTCTCTGTGTCTCTGTGTGTGTCTGCGGACACAGACACACAAATTAGCAGTRGGTAAAGCAGGGTGTACAGGTACCACAGTGCATGGAGCAAATGTGCTGTGCTCACCTGTGTGCACTTCCACCCCATGATCAAAGAAAAGGAACCTTTTCTTTGCTGTGGCCACATGTGTATATGGACTGTAGTTCCCACTAATTTCACCCTTTAATTTATACACAAACAGATTATTTCTCCCCACAAAAATGCAGTGCAAAGAATGTGTAACCTTGTGCAGTCTCCATTTCTGCAAGCAAAGTTTCCAAGCTTATTAACAGAGAGTCAGTTAGTAGAATCTAAGAAATTCATAATATACAAATTAAACCCTTTAATGGTAGAGCATTCTAATTTTTTTAAATAACCAGCCTCACAGGGCACACWAAAATTAACACAATCCTCCTTATAATAAATGTGGAAATAATTATATGACTTGCTTAATCTCTACAATTTTAACATTATCTTACAGTCCATTACACTGTCTGCTAATGAAGCTTTGTCGCAACAGTCTAAATAAGAAGCCAAAACGAGCCCCTTAATTTGTATGAACCCAGGAGAATTTAATTTGCCTGTTGCCAGTGTCCAACACGCAGCAATTACAACTTCCAGCGTTGCCATTTACAATCCTTATGCCTTTCCACACACTCGAAAGCTCTTCCCACCCCATCYTGGATGTCTGTCTTCTCTAGCAAGTCCCACACGAGGCTGTTTTGAACCGTGGCTATTACAGCAGGCCCCAGGCCACGCCAGGTGCTCTCCCTTCCTCAGTTTTACTTCTCRTTTCAAGGCCGAGCTGCTCACTGCTTTCATCTGCCTCCTCTGCTCAGCTCATCCTTTCCATCCCAGCAGAAAYGCTCCTGAGAAACCAGACCCCTCTGCCCTTCACCTCCACTTGGGAAGCAAGTGCTGCTGCTCTGCTCGAGATTGCTTGGACAAGCTTCCCAAACCCTTCTGTTTCTTGGGAACACCTCCAAACTCAGTTCATGCAAACCCACCAAGGCTCACAGTGTTGCTGCAAACTACTGTGGATTATTTCTCCAGTCTGCACTGGGTGACGGTGACTATCCACAAAGATTTGCTAATTTGCTGGTTAGGAAGTTCAGAGCTTCTTCTGAAAATGGAGTAAATGGAAAYGCTGATAAATTTTTAGTTGAATATATCCCTCCAAGATATCTCGTGCATTACCAATGCCATAAAAGAGCAAGTGGAAAAGAAAATATTATAAGAGTAATGAATTAGATGAATGAAATCAGAAGTARTTGAATTCCAAGCCATCCCTTTGGGGATGTAATAGGGCTTTCAAACACTTTGAGCTCTCATGATTATGGAGCAGGAATCACAGAGTCCCACKGCAGCTCTGGCAGTTAAAGGATTAATGGCAAGCCAGGCAACTCTGGGAGGTCAAGCGGCTGCACTAAAGGAGCTCCTTTTGTTTTGAAAACTGCATTTTTGGGGAGCATTTCTGGGATGCTTTGATATTCATTCACTCGGTGGACTCAACTGTCAGCTCCCTAGCTCAGCAGACAGATTCTTGATTTAGGCCCAGGGCCAAATGTTTGTAAATGCCAGAGCTCTCCCAGTTTATTTCAACAGACCTGCTGAGATCTCATCTTTAATTTAGCCCTTGGGAAGCTCTGGTACTTCCCTGTTTGTCACTTGAAAGCTGTAGATCAGGAGCACTTCTGTGCGGGAGTGGACATGTGAGCAGGACAGAGAGATGACAGGAYTTTCAGACAGACAAATGGCTCAAATCTGTACAGAAGACCGGTGGGCAAGCAGAGATTGTCTCAACACTTCTTCTTGGTCCTACAAGCCATGATAAAATTTACACCAGCTTAATTTGCAACAATTGGGTGCATCATCTCAGGGTAAAAGATTTTGGAAGAAAATTCATGGACTCCTTTCTTTGTCCCCCACTCAAAGCCTCGATTCTCCTGTCAAGGATCCCAGGACAGTCAGGTTCTAACGAGACACTGCTTTACATACCCATTCCCAATGCCCTGATGCTGTGGACACATAGGCTGTTATTAACAGATTTAATTAAAGCACCTCCTCACTTTGCTTCTGGTAACTCCACGTGATACCCGACCTAATGTACCACTGACTTCGCTGACAGCTGTTGCCCACACAAATGAGGAACCTCTAAGTGCCTTTTCTCATGGCTCCCAAGCAAAGTTGCTCCCAACTGAGCTGTTGTATCACAAATCTAAAAGTGGAAAGGACACCTCCTGCCACCCACATRGGCCTCCTCCTGCCCATGTTGGCCTCCTCCTGCCCTCACGGGCCTCCTCCAAGCGGTTCCTCTCCTCAGCAGCGTCTGCAATAGCTCACATGGGGTCTGCTGAGACAGAAATGCTTCCATCGCCACAGGGCCCAAATGGAGACACCGTCTTTCCCAGCTGCATGAAAACCTCCGTCACCCTGCTGGGTTATTTTGAATTTAACAGAGGTAGCCATAAATAACTATTGGAAGGAGATGCACGCTTCATGTGACGGGACAGTGTATTCAAAATGGGACTTTCTCTCCCCACAAAAACGGAATTTGCCCATGTCTTCGGTTAAAGAAAGGAAGAAGAGCCCCAAATTCTTTTGGCACCTTGGAGAAAAGCAGGTAAAGGCCCGGCCCTGGTTGCCCATGGGCTCCTCCTTGCAGCCCCTGTATGACCTGGCTCCCCTATGAACCCTGTGCCCACCAACCAGTGTGGGAGGAGCGGGGCCCTGAGCACAGCCTGGGATAAGAGCTCCCCGCCCAAGGGACAGGCCAGGCTGGACACCCCTGGCTCCGCACACAAAACCCTTGGCTTATCGGATGATGGTTCAGGCAAAGCTACTGCCAGAAGGAGGGGCAGAAACAAGGGGCCGGTTTGGAGATGCTGAAGGGTCTGCTGGAGGGATGGGAAGGAGGAGGTGGGGGAGCCCCCTCTTTTAAGCAGCTGCTTATTAAAAGAGAGCAGAAATGAGGACTTGGGAGAAGCAGGCAGGAGCAGCAACTTAACAGAGAGCAGCAGCAACCTCCTGAAGAGCCTTCAGACAGGGAGGCCCTCCATCTCCACGTGGAAAAGCCGGAGTGATCTGCCATTTGCCAAAGGCCCTAAATCTGACTCCACTATTACCACGGGTGCTCCAGTGCTTGCCCTGGAGCACAACAGGCTGTGGCTTCAGAGCAGCCCCATGCTGTTGTGCAGGGAGCACTGGTGCCCACGCAGCTCCGAGCAGCTCTGTGTCGTGGCCAAAGTCATCCCATAATTTCACACTATTTCTTTTCCTGGCACTGCTGTCAAGAAAAGTCTCCCACCAYACTTGGAGAGCTACAAGAGCACGCAAGTGGTAATTCCCCAGTAATTTCATTCTCCAGGCTAAGCCAGAAGAGAGTTCAGCTCTGCAGTGCTGCTGATGTTGACAAAACACACAACAAGCTCATTCAAACCAGCCTGGAAGGTATCAAATGTTTTATCTAATTTTCTTGTTGCTAATAGAGCTTAAGGCAGTTTTTCTGCGGAAAGAGCAGCTGCAATGAACARAAAAGCAAATATGTTGGGTGACACATGGAACAAGTAATGACTAAAACAAGATCAGTCTAGGGGAAGAAACTACATAAATAAATGGTGCAACTAGTCCTGGAAAAACTGGAGTAGTTGGACTGAAGAGGAACCCTAGAAGGGCAACACACAGAGTTATCAGAGCAAGAAATACTGTCCCTACTGCAGTGGGAGGTCAGAGCCGAGGGAAAATACTCTGATATCCAACAACTCAGAGACAGCTGCCAGGTGGGCAATGAATTAAGAACCATGTATACAATCAATAATGTTATGTTACCATATCTGCAGGTCCAGAGTAACTTGTCTTCTATCAATTTCTTTGGTGTAGACTTTTATTCCGTTGATTCTAGGGCACTGCAGTAAAGACAGACAAGATACAGCACAGTTGATATCTTCAAAGTCACAGCCAATTGAAGAGTCTTACCCTCCTCATGCAATCCAAGTACATACACTTGTGTTAAAGTGCACAACCTGCATGACTGCAGATAAACTAAGAGAAAACTGCACAAGTTTGTCCCTTAAAGATGCAGTTTGAACAGCCTTGGCAGTTCAAAGATACAGGGCTAGCTGCAAGCAGCTCATGCTGCAAAGAAGCCTAACGAAGCATCAAAAGCTCCTGCCACAAAAGCAGAGCACCAAGGAATGCTGATAAGTGCCCCATTTTCCATCCCCGTCCCTTTGTATTGGCAGCCAGTGGGAAGGGATCTCTGCCTCCTACAGCATCCTTCTTTCATGGAGAAGATGCTCAGGTGAGCAGCAGGAGGAACAGCAGAGGCAGCAGTGCCCTACCAATACCATTCTCTTAAATACTTAGTGCTGTTGAGGAGCTGAGTCTTAGAACCCCATCAAAACGCTCTCCCCTTCGTGTCCCAGCTTTTCAGAAGGTCTGAGCTGTAAGTGCTGCAAAGGATCCATGCTACCTTCTCGCCAAAGTTGATCTTGGTGAAGGTGCACGTTTTCAGATGCACGTGCTTTGCTCTGATTTTCGGTTCAAGAACTTCTTTAAAGGTTTTCTCCATAATTGTTGTGAAGTATGGCCATGCCTGTATCAGGACCTACGGAACAGCGAAAGCAAAATTATCCTGAATATTCTTTGCACAAGATACCTTTGACTGTAAGACAGACACATCACAGAACACCTATAACTGTCTCTCCTTTTAAAATAGCAAGTCACATTTCAGACCTGAAGTCACTCCTCAGGAAGGATCCATTCCTGTTCCTCAGGAGAGGAATTTGCTTTAGGAACTGAGAAGTAAGTGTTAACATCAGGGAATTTGCTGCTTCAAAGTGCAGCAGCTCAGCTGGCAAAGCCCAGGGTTAAAGTTTCTAAAGTGCTGAAGCTGCTAATTACTGAGAAGTGTTGGAAAGCTCCCTGGAGTTAGATTTATTTAGAGAGGAGTGAAGGAAACTTTTACATCAAAAAGRAAGTCTGCTTAAGAAAAAGAACAAGCATAATGGTTGCAGGATGCTAATTTGCCAGATCAGACGTTTTTCTTTGAATTCCCACAGTTCCAGTGAGAGCCCAGGTAAACCTGCAGATGGCAGAACTAGCTCAAGAGCTTATATATTTAATTTTATACTTATACACGCATACATACACACACACATATGTATATGCACATACATATCTCAGAATGAAGTGTCATATTCATCCTCTCATTCTACAACAGATCTTTGGTTGTTTTGTTTTGTTTTTCTCAGTAAGAAGGAACAAGCTGGTGATATCAGTTCTGTCTGAACTGAGTCTGATGCAGTGATTCAACTTCAGATGCCAACCCACGAGGGAGGCATAACCTGTGCCAACCAGGCAAACACGTGGCCCTTGCTAAATTCTTGTGGCAACTCTAGACCCGTCAAAACGTATGTACARGCACTGATATGACTGAGTCTTCTTGTAGCAACTTGGAAACTTCCTCAGATTCGGTTGTGGAATTTGTGCTGGGCACAAATCGTGGCAGACGGCCTGGGAGCCTCACCTTGTTCAGCCACTCTGCTCGTTCCATGTCAGGGAAACGAACCTGGATGCAGAGGAAAACAAAGTGAGTGCCACATGCAATGCACCTCCCTATGCTGCAGCATATGGAAAAAGATACCTGGGACTGCGGAACAGGTTTAGGAGTGAGCTGAGATCCCGTCCCTCATGCCCACACCCTTTATCATTTATTACCTCATATTAAAATCTGCACTAAAATAGTAAAAGGTGAAAGAAGCCACGTGCCRTGACGGGCCAGTCTCTGAGTGCACTTATGTGATTAAAGCAAGTGTCATATCCTGTTGGGAAGTAAAGCAGCACATTGGGTTTCTCATCCCTGCCTTGGTGATGCAGTGGGAAGCCTCAGGAACCAACTTCCCTTCCCCACTGCGAGTGGCCCAGAGCCTGGTTCAGGCGCCCTCGGAACAGGACATGGCGCCTTGGAAAACAGGAGCCTGCCTGGGAAATTCAGGTGATTGTTTGTGACAGGATTTCTGCACCCACACTGACACAGACCCAGTGGTTTTAGGCAAAAAGAAGTGCTGTAAGACATCAAGTCTATTGGCACACACAGTCAGCTTAGAAGCCTGGCATTTTCATCTCTCGGAGCTTTTGAAGAAGCCAAGTCATAAATTAAATAAAAGGATSATGGGGCAAATCCATACTAAACTGATGGTATGGAAATGCATCCCAATTCAGCCTTTTTCTTCTGCTTTATTCATCATAATTCACATTTGTGACAGACRAGTGAAAGGCTAACTTCATCATTTGTGAAAAGCAGGTATTTACAACCTTTTTTTAAAAAAAGCAAGCAAACTGGACTGTTCAACCCCAAAGCGATGCGCCATGCTTTGCCGTAGGGTGACAGGGTCATCCTATCTATCTGATATGTGTATTTTTTTATATATATAGATTGTCTGATATAGAAACTGGGTAGGATGATACTTCAACCCCTTGCACGTGAGGCTGTGAATTAGACCCTTCACTCAAGGGTTTGCTCTTTAATTTAGCAGCTTTCAGAGAGGTGCTCCGAGCTCTTTGGGTACAAGGGACCATCACTTGCCTTTTCTTCCTGCCTGCTGTGTGGGGCTCATTTCCCTTGCTCAAATAATACTTCAAATTATCTCCAATTATCATACTAAAAAAAAAAAAAAAAGTGATATTACTGCATTCTTTATAAGCAATTCCCTTTGATGCTCTAAATAGCATCACAGTCATCCCCAGTCCCACACAGTTAAGAGAAAAAAACACCAAACACTCCCTACTAAGCCCAGATCCAGCCACCAGGAGCTGCCAAAGTTAGCACTATCCCAGAATAAAGCTTGCTCTGTAGCCTTGGGCAAGTCACACTATCAAAATCAGTCCTCCCCACCCGCCAAAGCAAGCAACAGTTCTTGCCAATATTTTAGGAATGCTGCAAGGGTTACTTAGCATTTGAAAAAAAAACTCTGAAGATCAAACAGGCCAGGTAAGGGCCAATTACTAGCAAGGAAATAAGACAGAGAAGGGTCTGCTGGGCTCCATCCTGCCCTGGAGCAGGCAGCAACCATGGTCACAGCAGAAACCACGTCAGATGGACAGTGCCATCCTGTTCAAACCACACAAGACCGGGCCCATCAAGGTATCCACCAAGATATCCATCAAGGTATCCATCAAGTACCCATCAAGAGACCTTCCTCCTTGGCTCTCTGTGAAGGGCCAGAAGGAAATCCTTCTGCATAAAGAAGGAATTAGTGATGTTTTACAGGGACCATTTGTAACCAGTAGCATCCGCTTCCCTCAGCACCAGGTTCACCCCTGGATGTTCCCCTTGCTGTTTGCTGTGGAAATGCCGCGGGACGGTCCCAGCGCCGCACGAGCAGTGCTGCTGCTGCTTGGCACTTCCAGTGCCTTTCCCAGGGATCCACTGCGCTTCCAGCCCCCACTCCCCCYCGCCCAAGGCTCATTCCTACTCCCACCTCTGCATGTCAGGAAAGAAGAACACAGGAGCCGTTTTTAGAGTGGTTTCAATTGAAGATTCGTGAAGATTGGGAGGCACAAATGAAAGCCATAAAAAGATGACACCACAGACAATAGCTGTGAATAGACAGCGGGTGAGAAGAAACCTCCAGGACTGGCACGAGAGAGAACGGGGAATAGAGGAAAATGAAAAACGAACAGAAACATCAGGAATGAGTGCACTGTGGCACCAAGTGATGGAGAACAAATTTATCAATGTAGAAAAGGAAATATGAAGATGGGGCAACACTGATGAGCAYGACAAGCAAACATGCACTGAAACCCCTTGACCCTTCAGTCCTACCCCCTCTCTTTTTCCAGATAACTCCAAAGATGCTGCAGTCAGGAGTGAAGCAAAAGTRCTTGCCCCTCGCTTCCCACTTTGGGAATGCCCTGTCGGGAATGGGCTGCAGGACATTTACTCCTGGCTCTGTGGATCACACTGTGGGGAGCACCCACCATCTCTGTCCTGCATTAGAGCTGTACATTTGGGAATGGGGGAATAATTCGTGTTGGAAGGCACCTCTGGAGATCCCTAGTCCAAACTGCTCTCAAGGCAGGGATAATATCAAAGCAGGGAGGTCAGAGGCTTCTCCATGTGGGTTTTGAGCATCTCCAAGGCTGCAGATTCCACAGCCTGCCTGGGCTCCCAGCCCAGTGGTTGGCCCCTCATGGCCAACAAGGAGCAACCTCCCCTTGCTGCTTGTGACCAAGGGGGCTTGTCCTTCTGTGGCACTCTTACCCCTTCATTCACCCCTCAGGATGAGCAAGGCAGCAGTGAGAAGCCCTTAAACCCTCCCTTCTCCTGAAGCAGCCCCAGCAACCGCAGCTCGCGRTGCCTCCTCACACACCCAGGACTGCAGTCCCTGACTCTCACAGTGCTCTGTGCTGGGGCCTCCCCTCTGCCAAAATCTCTCCTGTTGGGGACCTGGTGCTCCAGGGGCAGCTGCCCAGGGGCAGTGCACAGGGAGATCCCTTCCCTCCACCTGTGGCATGCACTCAGGCTACTATTTCAGGCACTTCAGCAGCAAAACTTTGCACCTTTGCCCCACTGTGGAGGGGGTTTTGCTATTTAAAATGGACGCAAATGGGCTCAGCTTGTGTTTCCCTGGGGCTCGAGGACAAAACGCAGCACTTTTACACAGGATCAGCGCAAGAGCTGACCACACGAACCTCAGCAGTGCTTAGAGCTGCTGCAAAACCGCTGCCAACACAAAAAGCAGAAGCCGCAGTCAGAGAGACCGCGGCAGCCTGTGGGGAGCCGCGCTGCCCGGGCCGGGTCCCGCTGCTCCGGAGCGCGGCCGCCCCGAGCTGTCCGGGCCGGGTCCCGCTGCTCCGGAGCGCGGCCGGCGGCGCTGCCCGGGCCGGGTCCCGCTGCTCCGGAGCGCGGCCGCCCCGAGCTGCCCTCGTGGGGTTCCCGCTGCTCCGGAGCGCGGCCGCCTGCGCTGTCCGGGCCGGGTCCCGCTGCTCGGAGCGCGGCCGCCCCGAGCTGTCCGGGCCGGGTCCCGCTGCTCCGCAGAGCGGCCGCCCCGAGCTGTCCGGGCCGGGTCCCGCTGCTCCGGAGCGCGGCCGCCCCGAGCTGCCCGGGCCGGGTCCCGCTGCTCCGGAGCGCGGCCGCCCCGAGCTGCCCGGGCCGGGTCCCGCTGCTCCGGAGCGCGGCCGCCCCGAGCTGTCCGGGCCGGGTCCCG